TTGTGCTCCCGTGTTTGCTTTATCTCTCCTGTCCGTCTACTCCCGGATGGTTTTGCACAGGCCGCGCCCGATGAGTGGTGGAATCAACGCGGGGGAGGGGGGGGGGGGGGGGGGGGGGGGGATAATGTGGAGAGAACTTACGCCCACCGCGGTACATGAAAGTGAAAGTAGCATATGGCCGATCGCTCGGGTCAATTCCAGTAACAGTTTGTGTGCTGATGCTTTTGGGGTCGAGGGATTTCGGCTTTGCAAAGCTGGTGGTATGATCAACATCAGCATCTCCTCCACCGCTGTTGTCCTGGCCACCTTCTTCGTCCTCGTGTGCGTCGAATTGAGGCGAGTATTCACCCCGCTTGATTTCTCCCGATGCCAGCACCCGGAACAAAGCGACCTTGATTTGGCCCGCTGTCTCAGGGATGGGATCGTCGTCATCTGAGTCCGAGGAAAGATCGTCGTCGGAGACATCCTCGAGGGGCGACTTTTCGTCATTGCCGTAGCGCATGATAGATTTCGACCTGGCGGGATGGCTATCTTCCATCTCCATAGCGGTCTGTTCCTCCTCACGCTTGACGCGTCGCTTCTCCATCTTCTGACGCCGACGCTCAATCTTGGCTGCAGCGTCCTTGCCCTCTAGATCCAATCCATTGAGCCAGCGTTCCAGACCGACTTCGCGGAACAGGAATTCACGCTCTGCAATTCCCCCACCTTCGGAATCGGGCACGCTGACCCACCGTGAGTTGACCCAGGTCTCCTCGCCTCTCCTCAACAGAGTGGCCACTTCTTCTTTCTGCCTCCCGTCGAAGTAGATGTATGCAGCCACGGTCTCGTTCATCGACTTCGTCAGGCCTTGGTAGGGGGCGACCGCTCCGGCAATTTGACCCGCCTCGCCGGCCAGTTTGCCAACTTGTTTTGGTTTCGGGTCAGGGCAGTCCGCTGTGGGCTTTGGCGTCGAGTATGGAACATCTTGTTCGGGGTTCAGGAGGGTGATTGAGATGGCGAAAGTCGATTGTTCTGCTTTCTCGGAGCCGGATTCGGGTACTTTGGGCGGAGGAACGGGGATGAAGCAAGCTATCCGCGAGGCTCGCGATTGGCGTTGGATAGAATATTCCGAGATAGGTCCATCTGGGGTGTGGATGCTCACGGCGAGCCCTTTGAAGCAGGGCATGATGAGGAAGGGGAAGTAAAACAAAGTTCTGTGGGGAGGGGGAAGGTCCAAAACGGAGGCGCACGGCCAGATCTGCCCCGCAAAGAAAGAATTATTCGGGGTCAAGGCAGGGAAGCGTAACACCAAATTGGGATCAAGCAAGGAACTTTTGGGTTTATTTTTTTCCGAGGAAGTTGAGCTATGGAGAAGCGGTCAAGGCAAGTGGGTTTCAACTCACCCAGCAGCCCACAGTAGTCGGAGCTCCACTGCAGCTGCTGGTGTGCAGTAATATTTGCGGTTCAAAAGGAGGGTCCTGAGGGTACAATGGGGAGATCTCGAGGTCAGGATCCACCCGTCAGTCGATCCAAGTGAAACTGAAAGAGAACCAAATCAAGAAGGAGTTCAACTCCAAAAGATCCAGGAAACAAGCTAGAAAGGAAGAAGAAGAGAAGGGTGAGGGGCGGAGTGGACCAAAACATGAGGTGCCGAACCCCACGTGATTACCTTATTGCTGATTTCTTTGTGCTTTTCACCTCCGACTTGATCTTGACCTCTAGAAGATACCTGAACTGGGGATTCGATCTACCTTACAGACAGTATAATCTATTTCATACTTGGGTGTCTATATGAGCTTGGTCGCTCTGTCCTTATGACATCAAAACATCGTCTTCGATCTCCACACAAGCTGGTGGCCCGGCAACCATGGTTGCTCGGTGGAGTGACTAGTGCAGTATGGAGTCTCATTGATTCTGTGGCATACACTGCAGTTTGGGCCTTGGTGAGGCTTAATAGAGGCTTCTCATTGGGTTTTGTCTGAGCTGAGCTACTTTGGCGATTTTCTGAATCCTCGCCATCAATTGAATCCTCGCCATCAATTGAATCCGGGTTTGGGGTTCGTTCATCTAGAAACAAGGTCAGCCACGCTGCACATCCCGTCGTGAGTGCTATGGCACTCACCTTGATGCTCTGAGCACCGTCTTGTTAATATGGTCGCTGGATACCAGTATCATATCACCATCGGTTGAGACCCTTGGTCCCGTAGTATTAATTTGAGCTTCTGTCTGTTCATCGGATTTGTAAGAACGGCGTGCTGCTTTCACTGCCCAATGTTGAGGGGATCTCCTGTTTTGACTTGAGACACTGGAGAAAATCTCGCCTGAGCTTGCGAGCTCAACACAGGATTCTTTCTCCTAGTCCTCACCTTCAGAATGAGTAGGTCAGACCTGTAGATAGATGTTGTGCCACTTCTCTCTCTCTCTCCCTTCCTCTCTCTCCCCAGTCTCAGTTTTGCAGTAGCAATTCACACCATTGAGTTGCCTCCTGCGTTCTTCCCACAGACACCAAGGCAACCCGGGCTGAGTCTGATCTCAACCTGACACCGGAGGTCCTGGGAGTGGGGTTTTCATGTAAGAGCTCAAGGAAATGGGTTCCACGAAATAGCCAGGAGCCCGAGCAGTAATTGACAGGTCTGGCCGCAGCTCGGCGTGCCTGTGGATAAATGCCGAGTGTGTAATCCCTAAACAGATTCCGTCCAGATCGGGTGAACTGAGTGAAAAGGATATCGAGCTTTCGGGCTCCGCAGTGCCATGCACAGAGTAAACGATGACTCTGATCTTGCAAGAAACAATGGGGGCATCGGTTGGATCTTCGGGATGGAAGTTGAATTTGGCGAAGCCGTTCAGCGTGGCGGTCGCGAAGTATACCTCGAATTCGAGGCTCATGTTGATGTCTGGGTGTAGGCCGTTTTGCTTGGGGGTTGTTGTAAAAATCCACCCAAGATCTATGTCCGGGCACACAAGGACGATTTGGAACGTAGTCAATGTTGCCATTGTGGGTAGAAGTTCCCTCATCACCTGGACAGAAGAGAAGACTGGCCAATGCCTGGATGGATTATGATCTCTGGGATGGAGAGATATATCAAGAAGGCCGATCAATGTAGAGAGAAGAAAGAAGGAAGAAGAATAAAGAAAGAAGAGAGGATAGAGATGTAGAGATGTAGAGATATAGAGAAGATGAAGGGGAAGTATAGAGTAGAAAGTAGAAAGTAGAGAGCAAAGAGCAAAGAGCAAAGAATAGAGAATAAAGAGTGGAGAGTGGAGGGAGAGGGGGGAGGTAATAATGGTAAGAGTGAAAATGACAGTGAGAGAGTAAAGTAAAGAGAGATCTAAAATCCTACCAAAGATCACATTACAACGCCTCATAATTCATCTAAACTATAATCTTTGATTTTGAATTAAGGCTTATGAGAAGTAACGTTTGAAGGTTTACTATCGCGTTGAGATGTAAGTGATCAACTAAACCTCTTTCGATACTCCAAACATTGTAAGATGAAGACAGGAAGAGACTCGAGAGATCTTCAAGGTTCAATCAACATACTTGGTCTGTTTATTGCAACGAAAAAATACATGTAGTGAGCGGAGACTGAGGCCTCAGAATTTTATAACATTTCAACCATGCGATGAACAAATATGTAGGATAACCTATCAAGAAAGTGAATCTATACGTCGATGGGAATTCATCCTGCTCACATCACACCCTATTACTCAAGATTTGAGAACATTCGCAGCTCATGGGTTGATATGCCGCTGCTCAGAAGAACAGTTGGGGGAAATGAACACAAGTTTGAAAGTCAGAAGCCCACTCGTCGATGTCCTCTAAGACTTAGCATTCTCTGAGACAATTTTCTGCGTTCCTGATATTGCAACAACCTTTGCATCCTTTGGAAGATGATCAAACTTGTAGAGTGGCTCCAACTCGACGTTCTGGCGGAAGATGTAGCGTTTGACCCAATATGGAAGCGCTTGAGTGACCTGATATTTCATATGAACCCGGGTGGGCACCGCAAAGATATAATCCAGCTCCTCAAGAGTCCGCTGTTTGGTTTCTGGGACCCAGAGGAATATCATGACTAGAGCTGTCACGTTCAAACCACTAGTGACTCGTTAGAATCTGGAATCAGAAAGAATCTCGCAAATACTTACGCGTAAAAACCAAATGCACCCGTTGCTGTCATGACATCCAACATCTTGGGGAATGTGATAGAAAGCACTGCAGCCCAACCAAGACAGGTTGCCACGGCCCAAGACATACCGACCTCTGAAAAAGGACTTTTAGCTCCAAACTCACTCCAGATAGAAAATGTAGGTTGAACGTACCTCGATGAGAAAGAGGGAATACCTCTGCCGAGTAGGTAAAGGGCACGGGTCCTTCGCCAGGGGAGTAAAACGCAGCAAAGAGGAAGACGAAGAACGCAATTGATCCCAAATGAGCCTTAGTTCCCTCGGGTGTCCAGAAGCAGAATGCAGCCCCAAGCAACGTCCAGGCCATTTGCGGGAAAGTGAAAAGCAACAACGATCTGCGTCCGTAGGTATCGATGGTCCAGATGGCCGGGAACGCGAACAGAAAGTTGACAAGCCCAAAGCCCCAAGAGGCAAAAAGAGCCTCTGTATCACTTGCACCGGCGTTGGAGAAGACAGTCGAGGAGTAGAATGCAACGATATTAATACCACACATCTGCTGTGCGATCATGACCACGAAAGAGGCAAGAGTTGCACGACGAACACGAGGGATGGTGAAGAGCTCGATAAATCGGGTAGCATAATTACTGTCACCAATCAAGCTAGCCTCAATCTTGATTTGTGAATGAATGTAGTAGAGATCCCGAGCAGCTTGTAAGGGTGTGTTACGCAGACGGCAAAGAGATCGGTAGGCCTTGCCCATCTCGCCCCGTCGAATGTACCAACGAGGGGACTCTGGGCAGAAGTAAACACCGAAGAGAAGGGGAACAGCGGGAATAAAAGCCGATCCCAGTTGAAGGCGCCAGGAGATAGCACCAGTGTCTTTAACTGCAAGATTCGCACTGAATCCGAGGAAAATTCCAAACGCAGTCCAAAGCTGCCAAGACATGACCAGACCACCTCGAATGATGGCGGGTGTATTCTCGGCGCAGAAGATGGGAATAGTCGAAGCTTTGAGTCCCATCCCGATTCCTAGCAACAGGCGGACCACAAATAATTGCTCCCAGGTCTGCGTAACTGCACAGCCAATAGGTGTAAGGACACAGAATATGGAGGACATGAATATTGTTCCACGGCGACCCAAGAATCGATTGCAGGGATCCGAAAGCCAGCAGCCGAGAACTGCACTGGCAATATAAGGCGCAGCATTGATGACACCAACAAGCCACAAGTTCCGAGCGGCGTTAGGGGCACCCTTCGCGTCCGAGATACCAAATGCATCAGGGAATGAAAGGTTGGCACCATTGGATCCTGTCTGATCCCATCCTCTATAACAGTATTAGCCCTGAATGTGTTGCTCGTGTGGGTGTCACATACTGCACCGCTGCACCGATGGAACAAAGAATAATCGTGAAGTAAAGTTGTTTGGGCTGGCGCCACTTGTGTAGCACTTCGTCCCGCAGTGCAGTAAGCTCGGGGTCAGTCAAATCGGCGACTGTTTCAAACTCGGTAGGATCACGAGCAACAAGCGCACCCTTTTTAAGCTCCGGTAGGATATATATGACGTTGTACTCTTGTGCGAACTCTTCAACGTCCCGGATTATTTGGTTTTTCGTCAAGCCGGCCAGAGGATTTTTGATTCTGAGACACAATTAGTAAATGTCACTGAGATTTACTACAAGGTGGATATCTCTCAAGGTAAATTGAGATAGAGAGCCATTGCTTAGAGCTCAAGATCATGATGGTAGATCCCACTTCCAGAGTAACTTACTTCGCGGAAACATTGTTGTGAAGATCGACTTCCTCCACATACCCCTTTTCGGCACTGCTGTGATCATTGCTGGAGCTAGATGGGCGTAAGATGAGTATGCTTTGCTTCATTTGAAAATATCGGTTTTGCAGCTCACCGCTGATCAGATCCGACCTGGGCGATGACCTCTTTATCCATCTTGAACAAATATCAGGGTTGGCAGTATCAGTAGGTTGGCAGTGGAAACTAACTCCTATAGGCTGGGCTGACTATTTGGCTGTTAGAGAAGTAGGATACCGAAGGCTACTGCCTGATGGGGTACCAACCTGCTAGGCCTTAACCACAGCAGCTGAAGGTGATGCTGGGGAACTCCGTGGAGAATTATTTGTCTTGGGGATGGGAAGTCGGCCTTTTATCTCTTTTTTAACATGCTCCTCTACACCAGCCCGTTTACCCAAGGGGCGATGGATTTTGATTGGGCAACTGGAAAGATGTCACCTCGGACTAGAAGAAAGCTAACTTGATGTGGCCGTGTCTGATCTCTTTCCTGAAGCGGTCTTCAATCTGGGGTGTGACCTGTGGGGATCTCTGCCCATGGGGAAAAAGCCCCACGCGTCTCGGGTCTTCCCAGTGGTCTCAGCATGGTAAGATTCAGGTTACTGCACTGGTACGCAAAATTAGCCAGTCATCTGCCTTGCAAATTACCTCTGCTCGGCCTGTCTAGTGCGTATCCGGCCCAGGTGCACTGGGTGCATTTGGCCGAGGCCACTCCAATATGATGGCTTTTTTTTTCCATCTTCTTGAACCGGCATCCCGGCCCAGCGTTGCAGGTGGGCCCGGTAATTTATGTACAAAACGATTCTGTGCGAATCCTGGGGATTTATTTTGGGATGCTACTCGGTAGATTGCGCAGGATTTGTTCAGGATGCGCTCACCGCGCAGATCTCTTCAGATTATGGCCAACTCCGTGCTCTCTTCAGCCCCCAGATTTCCATGCGGGCATGGACACCGATTTCCAGGGTCAGCTTGGTAGTACTTGGAATACATTTCCGCAAATGTCGTAACTCTCTTACGACCGTTTTGAAAAGCGGCTTCCCCGCCGAAAGAAAGTAAAGAGGGGGAAAAAAAACAAGCCCTGGGCGTAAGTTGGCCGCAACCCAGCCCAGTTTGTTGACTAGCGTCGAGGCTAGAGAAGCCAATCTGTTGCCAAGGTTGCCTCCGTACGGCTTGTCTCTTGTTTTCAAGATTCTTATTTTCTTGTTCTTTGACTTTAGGTTTTTGATTTCTTTTCTTTGCTTTCAAAATATTTGGTCCACGTGGACGGCAAATCGCATTCAGCAAGGAGAGGGAAGATCGCCTATAGGAAACACCCTTCGAGGTTCATTTTAGTTTGCGGAGAAAAAGTGGAACTCTGGGGTGCGATTCGCAGAGATCCAACCCCAACGGCGCTTTAAGCTCACGCTTGACATTCCTTAGGTCTCGCTCTAACGCAACCCACTTTCTCGGCGGATTCTCTAGCCTCGGGCACGGGTTACTCTTGGAGCCTGATCGTAAGGAAATATGGAGCGAGGTCGAAGTCTGGGCAGACATTCGGCCCCGATTTGTGTTATGCCGGTCTGTCCCGTAATCGCGTGGCGTACTCCGTACCGATGTGCATCTCCAAGGTTGCATCTGCGCCCGATGTGGCCATTGAGGATTAAATCGCCGGGTTTAGAAAATATGATCTGGCACGGAAATTGAGGCGTCGGTCAGACCATATGCTTTCAGAAGTCCCAATTGCCATCCCCGCGTGCAATGTAGGGAATGTGGGGTCCGGGGAGCTTCTTCCTTTTGGGGTCCGCTTTTGGATGACTTCGGCGGTACTAGGCCTCTCGGACAATGACATCCCTTGTCAGCTAAAATGACTGGCCGCCTTGCCCAGAAATTCGTTGAGAAAAAGAAGGCCAGGTGTATCATTGTCCAGATCCTTCCATTCTTGTGGATTTTTCCTCTCGGATGTCAGATCCTTGAAGCACGATTTCACCAGAATAGGTGCCATTGGAACTTTTCTGTCGATAACCAACTAAAGGTGCATAGACTGAGTATTTCCCGGAATAGTTTGAAAATAGTTTGCTTCTTGGTCCTATTTCATTCCTCTTGGGGAATACTACATGGTACTGCCGCAAGGGGTGAGGGAACAAAAACTGAAATAGAATAGCAAAAGTAAGGTCACTTTTTTTTTCTCGTCTTTGTTTGCTTTGACACAAACGGACTTCTCCAAAGTCTCCGTTGGCTCCAGACCTCTTGCAGGATTGTGAAATATTTTGAAATATGCATGGATTTCTTCGGTGAAACAGTCCTCAGCATGGCCCATAGTAGTCGCTGTTCACATGCTCCTGCGCCAAACAGAAAGAGATGTGAACCAACTCACTAAATCTACTTTATAAAACAGTCCAGTACCAAGGTCCCAGACAGATATTCTCCAGGCTTCTTCTACCTGACTCGAATACCTTGGATTTACATTGTGATGTTAGAGTCCAGTAGCCTGTCCTGTCTGTTATCCTGGTATTCCCGCCCACATCCATATACAGCGTTGTCTACATTTGATTTCATTTGATTGATTATCAATACCATCCTCCAAGCATCTTCCCTTTCAAACATCTCATAGTGCAACCTCGGTGAATAATCCGCTGAGATGATATCATCGATGGCTCCCGATAACTCCGGGGAAGCTGACAAATGACAAGGCTGGGGTAACCCAAATCCAAATCGATGTGTTTTCTTATATTCCTCGTCAATCCTCATGTTTTCTCCATTGAAAGCTGCGTCTAGACTTTCTCGACTACCATCTGCCTTACACGCTTATTCCACGATGTCCTCAAACATCACTCTGTACTCTTGGCCTACACCAAATGGCATCAAGGCTTCGATCACCCTCGAGGAGCTTAATCTGCCTTACAAGGTCGAGGGAATTGATATTAGCACCAATCGTCAGAAGGAAGAGTACGAATGTCTTTCCATGATATTGAATTGGATAAAATTGTGCTAACAAAATTGTGTGCAAAGATGGTTCTTGAAAATTAACCCCAACGGTCGTATCCCCGCTATTCTCGATGGCTCCCAACGCGTGTTCGAGAGTGGCGCAGTCATGCAATACCTCGTCGACAAATACGATACCGATAGGAAGATCAGTTATGCCCCTGGCACAGCAGAGCATGTTGAGCAAACCTCCTGGTTGATGTTCCAAATGGGAGGACTTGGTCCAATGCAAGGTACTTATACATGTCCTGTTCAGCGCTTTACTCAATGACTCTTTTTAAACATTGAACAGGCCAAGCAAACCATTTCCGTCTATTCGGTGGCGCGCGGTCGGACTACGGTATCAAGCGATACCTCGACGAGACCAAACGTCTGTTCTCGGTCCTTGAACTCCGTCTGAAGGAAAGTCCCTATTTAGCTGGGACAAAGTATACAATCGCGGATATCGCGAATTTCAGTTGGGTTCGCGCTGCACCCATCACCCTGGAAATCGATCTATCCGAGTTCCCCGCGCTCAATCAATGGGTTGAGAAGATCGAGCAACGTACCGCAGTTCAAAAGGGCGTGGATATTCCGCAGACGAACAAGACTCAGGAGCAGAAGGTTGAGATGTTCCGCAATCTTCGTGCAAAGGTTGATGGCATGACCAATACGGACAAGCATTGATTGTTATTTGGGTCAAACCTCAGCCGATGACTGCCAGTCTCAAGATTGAAAGTGTGAACTATACTCACTTATGGTACGAAATACTATCAGTTCCAGATTGAATACTTTGGATCTCCCAAAGAAATACAAACTATACTCTACTGCAGAGAAAGACTGTCATCATCATTCAACTTCTATTACAACGCCATGATCTAAAAATCTATATCGTATGCTCTAATGCAATTAAGTGGTCGTTTTGGTACACCACCGGTTCAAACCGATGTCTCGCCAGTATATCTACTGGCGGATCAGAACACCGCGGTATCTCATCTTTCCTTGGCGGAGGGTCTCCATGGCATCCTCGACACCGCTGGCAGTCAGAGGGAATGTCATGGTGGTAGGGGTAATCTTCTTCTTGGCAGCAAACTCGACCAAAGAACGAAGGCTGTGGCGCGAGGCAACCAAGGAGCCCTGGATACGGACACCCTTGATGTTAAGAGCCAGAAGGGGGACTGGGGTGGCAGAAAGATCGACGGTAAGAGGGTAGATCGATCCGTGAATGTCCATCAGGGGCATGAGACTATGTGATGTCAGTACTTGTCAATCGGTTTTGCAATCAGGACAACATACGATGGGTAGTCAACGCTGGCACTTCCGCAAAGAAGGAGGTGGTTCACGGGCTTGAAGTCGGGAATCTCCTCGCCAGCCTTGAAGACGTGGTATTCAGAGGCACCGAAGCTGAAAGCTTCCTCGCGCTTAGACTCAGAGCTGGAGAGCACAACAACGTGGCATCCCATGGCGGATGCAAGCTTGATGGCAAGATGGCCCAGGCCTCCAACACCCATGATTCCCACACGGTCTGTTGACTTGACACCATACTCTGACAGAACAGTCCAGACAGTTGCTCCAGCGCACTGGGGGTTTGGTTAGCTCTGATAACGATATCGGATCTTGAGAGAAGCTTACCATAAGGGGAGCGGCGTCGGCGGAGTCATAGCCATCGGGGATGGGAATCACACAGTCGGCATCCCAAACAACACCCTCACCGAAGGATCCAAGGTCATGGTCATGGGTTCCGTACTCCTTCTTATTTTCGCAATATTGATCCCATCCTGGAGAGTCGACACGTTAGCTCTGAGCTTGATTCCTCGTAAGAGTCTAGATCATTGGAAGCCATACCAGTCAAGCACTTTTCACAAGTTCCGCAGACGTAGTGAGTGTATCCGAAACCCACGCGTTGTCCAATCTTTACGGTGGTGACATCACGACCAACTTGACTGACACGTCCAACACCCTCGTGGCCGAGGGCCATTCCTGAGTGAAGGAAGTGCTCATCGGTACCACAGAGACCAGAATGGCTTGTCTCGATGTATACTTCATTGGCCTGGAGGGTGCGAGTGGTCTTGTCGGCCACAATCTTGCCCTCTTTGGAGCCACGGAAAACCTCGAAAGTGACACTCATTTTGTGAAAGATGTGAAGATGTAAAGAAGTAATTCAAACAATTTAGAATTTTGGATACTGAAGCAGGCTACATATCTGCTTTTAAACTCCAAGAGCTTTCGAATTTTGATGCTGTGCCGTGCCGATTCTCCGTCCAGGCAACGAGTACAGAGGGTCTCCTTGGTGGATCAAATAATCATGAAGGTCGTTCTAGAGAATTCCAAGGTTCTGCCAAGGGACGATCAATCGCCATAAGCTTAACCAGTAGCCGGGGCTCCCGGTAGGAAATTTCAACGCCACTCTAACCGCGATGGGAAAGAACCCGTTGCAGAGTTCTCCACTGACCCAGACGGAAGGGGGTTTGCGGCACCTGAATTCCTCCGAATCGACGGCTCATCGGCGACTTTACAATCGGGATTTTTTCGGTGACGTGATCAACCCGGGATTCTAAGATACAGCGCTGGAGTACAATGGTATTGAATTCCTAAATCTGTGGCGTGGTGTCCTAAATTCTACTTCTATTTCTACTATACTCATACTTAGTACCTAACTTTAGAAGTACACTCGTAGGTACCCTGTAGGAATCAACAACTTTAGTGTAAATAAACTTGTGGGTCGAATTTCTAGGGTCCTGGCTCGGTTTGAACTCATTTTGAAATGTACCTACTCGTACTCCTGGATTCATACTCCTCAGCAAACCTAAGAAAGGAGCATCCTGAGTTAAACTGAGCACTTGCGGTGTATCAGAAGCCGTGCTCGGGATGTCTGGTGACTTGGCCAGGGCTCGACCATTACGCATCGGGTAATGGTACTCTCTGGGGCTCTGGTTTTGTCCCCGATGAATCCGCTGGACTGCTACTCGTACTTGAGCATCATACCATATGATTTCACATCCCGAAGTCTATCAATGTTCCGTTATTTCTCGAGGATGTGGATCATCTGAATCCTTTAATATATATACAGTCCGGGTGGGTTTGCAGCGTCAGCCCTGGAGACCTGCAGTTGGTTGCCGGATGACAGTACTCCCCAAGCAAGTAACAAAAAAGGATTGTTTTTTTTTTTTTTTTTTTTCAAAAAAAAAATAATTCCCAAAAACAATGAAACCAGAGGATGTTTCAGAAAGTGTCAGGGGCACATAAATACCAATGTGGGACAATGTGAGAGGCAAAAGAGTCCAAGGAAAAAAATAGTTTCGCTGGGAATCGAACCCAGAACCTTTCCGGAACACTCGCCTGTAAGGCAATTGTTAACGGAAAATCATAACCGCTAGACCACGAAACTGCTTATTGACAAACGGCTCCTTATTGGGTCTCCCAAGCCAGAATGGACCAGAATAGCTGTTGTCGGAGCTCCAGTCCATCTGCAGGTAGGCACAAAAAGGGTGCACACTCGTGAGAACTGTCATTTTCAGCACCGAACCTATCTTCTGATATCACGAGGAAATGGATAATCATAAAAGTAAGCAAGAGAGAATGGGGGGAAGAGAAAGAAAGAGACGGCGCAAGGGGGAGAGAAGGGGGAGAAATGCCCAAACACATACTAAGTACACAGCTAAGACTTGACAGGCTTCGCAGTGTCTACTCGTACGGTGGCATCGTACAACCATAGGCAGGCACAATCAGCTGCTATCATTTAGTCAATCTAAGGTGGATTCAAGGTTTCGCATTGCCTAGAGCTAACCGAAAATGCGACACAGAGACAGTAGTAACGGAGAATATACAAAATATGTCAATGCTAGATATGTGCAAAGTACTATGTACAACACTCGAAGTGGAATATCTAAAATCTACACCGGTAGACGTTGATGCTCATCACCATCGTCTTCGTCTTTGTGAGAGACAAGTTGGTATGGCCCACTAGATTTGGACCCCTGCAAGGATCGACGGTGGACTGCAAAGTAAATACCACAGCCCAGACAACCAAGCGCAACCATTACTATGGCCCCTATCACCCACGGATTCCCATCGGAAAAGCCATCAGAGGGTTCCAGCACTCGCTGAAGCACTTCCGTGACACCCAAGCTGTCTCCATTGGAGTGGATTGCGCGAACCCGGAAAAATGAGTCCACGTCGGGTGATAAGGGGATTTCGGTTTCGAAGCCATCGCGCGCGACTTGGTCGACAGCTATAAAGGTCATATTGGTCAAGCTTTGCTGATCCCAGGCCTCCACTTGCCATGATGCTACTTCAGTGGCGCCGTTCCAGCTCACAAAGACACTGTCTGCGGTGGTTGCAGCTTCGGGGGCCGTGAGGGGACGGCCGACCCAGTCGAATTTGAATACGCGATATGACACCACGCGACCGAAGGTAAACCAGGCAGAGGCTCCGAAATGCACATCGCATAGAACGTCACCCGCTGGGGAGAATTCAGTGTAGGCTGCAGAATGACCCCAGCCAACGAGCACGTTTCCAGTGTCGAGTACCTGCAGGTTTCCCTGAGACACCGCCATCATATCCTGGGGATGCTCGTAGGACTGTATTAATGTCGCCTGTCGAGCTTCAATATCCAAGTCAACCATCAAACCACGGCTTATCGCAGAGGGGTTGTCGTTGGTAGAAGCCGCATTGTTGAACAGACTTAGGCGGTTAGCCCCGCGCCACCGAGCATCGTGCTGCCACGAGAAATCGGTGGCAGCTCCATCAGACATGTCCTCAAAGTCGTTGCGCTTGCCTCCCAAGGACCAGACGGTCTCACCGGAAGTACCATCTATGCACGCGATGGTATGGATGTGGCGCATAGAAACCAGATAACGACCCTGGTCATCCTTGTCTACACTGTTGATGTGCAGGTAATCGTATGCCGAGGTTCGTTCATGACCAGCATCACCGATAGGGTGGTAGCTATCGACAGGGTCATAGAAATCAGATGCGCGCCATTGGAACAACAAATCGCCTGTTTCCAGGTCCACCTCTTGGAACACTCCATCATACATCCATCCCAACTCCGGGCCACCAAGGGGGCTAAGATCCACCGGGATGGGGTCGTAAATCATCAAAAGTGCAGTATCGTTGGGGGTTATTTGGAAATCGTGTAGATCACCCTCGTACATGCCGACGGGTGACACCACCCGTCTCTGGGTATATGTCGAATCAAGCTGGTTGGGACGAGAGAATGTTAGTCAACGACGGGTACGACCTGCACTGGGTGTTCTCCTACCATGTACCACAATCCCCTGCCATAGTTGTCGTCTGTATCTCCTTGCCAGTAGGTGAGGTATTTCTCGCCCTTGTACTGTTGAACCTTGAAGTCCTGGGTTGTGCCCGAGTTCCATTGGGTCCATACCAGTTCACCGGCGGAATCGAGAATCATGGGACCGGGATGAGCAATTGAGTCGCCCCGGGGGGCCAGGAAGGTGTACCGAGCGTTGCATTTCGCATCTGGTGGAGAGATCTCGATTTTGGGTGATTCTTGGTCGAAGGAGAGGTAGGTTTGATCCGGACCGAACCCTTCGGCTCCCAGGTCATACCAACTCAAACCAGCGCGAATACGCAATCTTAGAAGCTGGGGGACCGCGAAGAGATAGAACGCGATGGCGCCGACCAGCGAGGCCAGGAGGATCAACCATCGAATTGGTAGCGATTTGGGTCGCTCACTTCGAAGCCAGGAGACCAGGCGAAGTACGCCAGAAGGAGTCCGCCAGAACATTAGCGCATCGTGGTCGGAACAAGGGATTCGATCAGGAGAGGAATGCTGTCCGTCGAGAGGGCACGAGTTGGAGCCACGTCATGCTGGAGTCATGGTGGTATTTAACACCATTCTCCGCTCCCCGTTCTGAAGTTGAGTCTCCGCCGTGTGCCCGGCAAACTCCTTGCTGAGGCCCGCTCTTGGCTGCACGGACAGGCGAGACAGGGTGAACGCGTACGTTGATTTGGTGGCTCCCGGCGTCGTACCCCGTACGAAGGACACTATTCTTGGGCCGCCAAGCTTTGCATGGGTCACAAACTCCATTCGAGAAATTCTCCTGTTGTGCGTCTCCGCCAGTGAACATCGACAAATGGCTGTGGCGGATCTTCCCCTCGTGGTTTTCGACCGATCCGACTATCCGTTCTCCTTAATGCCAGCGGGCACCGCCACCAGCCCGCGCGTCCCCTCGGTAGAGCGGGATGTGGCGTATCTGAGAGGTCCCATCAGATAATCAGAGATCCAGGATCAGAGTGTGTCTTTTCATTTCTTCATTGTCTGGAATCAATTCCAGCCGCCAGGGGTGGGGTGCCTGTAGTACACAGCGATGTCCGTTCTTTCTTTTCTTCAGTGTCAGTGCCTTGCGACAAGTGGAGATTGGTCTCGGGTGAAGAAATTATTAGCCGACTAGACTCGTACTCGTATAGCGAGATAAGACAAGTACACTGCGGAATACTTAGACGATGTATGTTGAGAAAGGAATAGTGATGTAAAGAGGGCGCACTCAGAGAGCACTCAGACACGATATTTGTCCTTGTACTTTGATGTACTCGTACTTCGACTCTATTTGTCTCTGCGCAGATCACTGTCGTATTCGGAAATCTGCAGATAGACCCCCCATGGGTGTGACATCATAACTAACGGGGACATGGCGTAGTTGGGAACGCGTTCGACTGAAGCTGTAACTTCATCTGCCCATTGGGTTTTCGAAAGATCGCCGGTTCGATCCCGGCTGGCCCCATTGTTTATTTTATTTTTGCTTTTATCACACTCCGCATAATAGCCCTGGAGATTTATAGTCACAGAGTCAGCCCACAGGTACGGAGTGTATTTAGAAGTTGCGAAGGAACAAATACATTCCAGGGAGTCTATGAACCCTAATAATAACTGATGTCTGTGATAAAAAAGATGCCTGGTTAACCGAAGAATAGCGTGGTCCTTCCAAGGTTTCTAGTGTCCAACTAAGAACACTAGTACGCTAGGGACTCCTTACCTGTAACTGCTCATTTTTGGACCAACACTACGAACCAGACTGTCTACACTGGAAGTCTGTGGCCCATGCTTTTTACAATTAGATTTGCATATCATGGAATACTTCCAAGGTAACTCCATGTACAGAGAACATCCCCAATCAGGTGTTGATCCAACGTGCTCTAGATTGCGGGTCCACACTGAAGAAATGAGCTTGGGGCATTTTCATAATGCTCACTCCGTACTCCATTCTCCGTTCTCCACGCTGGATTTTCATGGCCCAAGCCCTCGCCTTGATGTTAGATTCGGCCTTACTATATCCTGTTTGATACTCCGTGGGAAAAGAGGGAACGTCAAAATGCCCAGCATCTGTCGCTGATCCCTGCCTGCATACGGAAGGTAAAAACAAGAGGTGCATTAGTGTCGTTACATACATATCCTCGTACATACTGTCAAAATGCCATCCAACAGGCTGTCGATCAGCGGATAATATCTCCCGACCACGAACCGATAAACTTCATCCTTTGCTCCACTTGCGCTCTGCCCTTCATGATTGGTAATCTCTGCCCCTGACCTTGGGGACTTTTCTTTTTTCCTCTCTCTTCTCCTCTATCTCAACCTGTACAGTATATCTTGCCCATGATGAGTGTGGACAAGGAGATGGTCTCCAGAGAGGTTGACGTCGATGCGACCGCCCAGGATGACTGGGACATGCAGCGGTTGGGCAAGACCCAGCAGTTCAAGGTGAGCGCGATTCGATCATTGCGGGGACCCAGGCTGATCAGCGGCAGAGAAACTTCCGGTTCTATTCGATCTTGGGCTTCACGACGACTTTGATGGCCACATGGGAGTCCATTTTGCTGTAAGTGGAGACGCCACCCGCGACCGCGCAAATGCGATCGCTATCCCGATCGAACATCCGAAAGGCTCATGATTTCGGCGCAGGACAAGCACCTACGGGTTGACCGACGGCGGCCGAGCCGGGATGGTCTATGTATACATTGGTTCATTTGTGGGATTCTTTTCCGCGGTCATCTCCATGGCCGAGATCTCTTCGATGTGAGTTGAATCGCGTGCGCCCGAATGGAAGGTATATTAACGACTCGCTAGCTCCCCAACTTCCGGTGGACAATATCACTGGGTCAGTGAATTCGCCTGGCCACGCTACCAGCGCTTCTTGAGTTATCTCACCGGTGAGTCGCAAACCCCAGCGGGTCGCTAGCACAGGCCAATGGATTAAATAGGATGGCTCTCGGTGCTGGGCTGGCAGGCCGCCTTCGCCAGTATCTGCTACCTGGTCGGTACATTGATCCAAGGACTTCTGGTATTCAATTACTCGGACCCTAACGGTTGGGTCTATGGCTACGAGCGCTGGCACGGCACCCTCCTCACCATCGCCATCGCTGCCCTCGGAACTGTAGTCAACACCTGGGGGTACAAGATCTTGCCTCCCATGGAGGGTCTCATTCTGGCTATTCACATATTTGGATTCGTCGCCGTCATGGTCCCGATGTGGGTGATGTCTCCCGGAAAGGCCACTGGGCAGGAAGTCTGGAAGGAATTTACCAACTCAGGTGAATGGCCGAGCATGGGTTTGGCTTGCTTGGTGGGCCAGCTGACCCCGATCTTCTCTTGGACTGGTCCAGATGCTGCGACGCACATGGGTGAGTTTTGGACAGAACCTTGACGATTTATCATAGCTAACGAATGACTAGCCGAGGAGGTTCAGAACGCGGCCTTGGTCGTGCCCTGGTGTATGGTTTCGACCGCATTGATCAACGGAGGACTCGGATTCGTGATGCTCATCACGTTGCTGTACAAAATGGGTCCGCTGGCGGATGTCCTTGCCCCGGCAAGTGGCTTCTCTTTCCTGCCGGCCGTGAACCATGCCACTGGCTCAGTCGCTGCCACCAACGGAGTGGCTGCGATCATTCTCATCCTCGAAACCTGCAGCGCCATCGGTATTCTCGCCACTGTCTCACGCCAGACCTTTGCATTTGCTCGTGACGATGCCCTGCCATTCTCAAAGCACTTGGCTCACGTGAACCGCCGGACCCAGATCCCCGTCTGTTCGGTGCTGGTATCCACCATCATCACCGTGCTATTGAGTCTGATTAACATTGGATCCACTGCGGCCTTCAACGCTGTTGCCTCTGTCATGATTGCTGCTCTTTTCACCACTTATATTCTGCCGATTGCGGCCATCATCCGCACTCGCTTCCAACCAGGCGGCATTCCCCCTTCACGCTTCACACTTGGTGCCTTTGGATTGGCCATCAACGTTTTCGCTCTTCTTTGGCTGTGCTTTGCCATTATTTTCACCTTCTTCCCGACCGCCAACTACCCAACCCTCGTGGACATGAATTGGTCTATTCTGGTATTTGGAGCGGTTGTCATTTTCGCCATCATCTTGTACATTTTCCATGGCCGCCATGTGTACCGGTCTCCTGTGACTCAGGTCCGCAAGGTTGAGTAGATTCCTTATTGGAGAGGTCTGTGGATTTGCCGCATAGACACGCGTCGTCTTTAATTGGACATTATATACCTAGACATGTGTTGGCCCATGCGGTTCTATGGACACCATGACATTTAACAGAGATCCATGGATCTGGATATATCTTAAAAATAATATGATACCCGAGATTTTTATTTCATCGTTGTGGGAAACCAGACAGTTTCAGTTCAATTCTTGACAGAAAGATCCAGCCCTGGAAGCATCTATAGATCGTTCGCAACCATCGCCTACCAGGCCCGAAACCGACTGAGATTTATTTGACCGTCGGGTGAGAGATATCTATGGAGGGGGTGAAGGGGAAAATGAACGCACACCACACAGGAACCATACACAGTGGGACAATGGGGAAGGACCTCGGGATGAGGGAGCAGCGGATATGGCTGAGTTAAAAGAAGTGATTGTAGTGACAGGATGAGTTAGTTAGCTAGAAGGGGTAGTGTTGGGGATTTGTGGTGTCCACCTGGGCAGTGGAAGTCCTTAAGACTGTTAAAACGGCCGTGTTATGCACCAGTAGGCTTGACCAAGAGAAGCACCAGCACTTATAGTTCCGACCATTTGGAACATATAACAACACAGCTCCCTTATCGGCTGTATCGAAGAGTGAACAGGGAACTGTGCTAGATGAAAGAGCACTACTTACCCAATCTTCAGCTTCAAATGTTGTTCCAAAAGACTGAATTGGCCGATGGGCAAAGAATTTTTAGGTTCACTCTGTACATTGCGAGTGTCAGAATCTGTACCGGAGCACTGTATAACATCCTTTGCAAACAGACCAAGTGTTTCCTGCTTGAGAATGGTTTGTTTAGCGTCAAAATCCTTCACGGCAAACTGTGGAAACAGCTCGTCTACTTCGTTACTTTCAATTGGCGTGAGGCTCCAGTAGCAGGGTGTATAATCGCACAGGGGCACATTCCGATGGAACTTTCGGATTTTACTCCAAAGGAAGCTCAGGAGTGCACTGGAGAAATGACTGGATCGTGAAGCTCTAATCCAATCCGGAATTGGGACGGTATGGATCAAGTTTCGAATGAAGTCACAAGGGGCGAGACCGTGTGCAACATTGGTGACTTACTGATGTCGTGATAAAGGGAACGGCGCAGATCGACTTTCCACTAATGTGAGGCACTTTCTGAGACCGAGGACTATTTTGGGAGGCTGACACAGCGTCGCTAGGTTCAACAACTCCGTAGGGGACATTGAATCCAGGGATGTTGAAAAGTATGTCCGACGGTTATCGGCGTTCAGTTTACTGAAAGCGCGATGGATGGATATTTGGTGCTCTGTAGGGAAGGTTAAGGTCGCAGCGGCATCACTTGATCAGAAGTGCGTGGGCATCAAGTTTCGATCTGGGGGCTGTCAGGCGTAGTTTCGCAAGGGAGGTTAGGCGCAAGGGGAGAATAAACACAACACAATCAAAAGATTGGGATGGGAGTTACGGCCTGTCATCACAGTAGAGCCGTGGTAGAGCCGAAGCCGAAGTAAAAGAAAAGAATATTAGTCCTATAGGTTTCCAAAGTCCCACCATGTTGAGAATCCTTCAATGTTCCCGAAATTTGATTCCGAGTCCGGATACGCCACATTGTTCTCCATGTCGACGAACTGGGATGGATCTGCCCACAGCCAAGGTGTATTGGTCATTAGACTGTCAGCTGGTGCAACTAGCTTCTCGCCAAGACCCAAGTCTGGGGAGCTTTGGGCGCTCCCAGAAGATTTGCGTGGCAGGGTTGGTGGCATATGGGCAGTCACACCTCCATCGGATGTGTTGACGGTGACATTAGGGGACATGGCAACGATGACCTCGACGGTGAAAGTCGGGCTTTCGTCGCCTTCTTCTGTGGGAACAGTAGGTGTCAATGAGGAGTGGAGTAAGCCGCCCGTGGAGACCTCGTGCGGTTTGGGTTTGCAGTTGACCTGGAGCACATCCCACATCAACGGTATACTGAGATGAATCTTCTCAGGCTCCCACTCGTAATCGATGCTCTCCGAGCCAGAGGCAATTCGCGTCATCTTGTCTAGGGTTTGGTCCTGTATCATTGTTAGTGAATGCTTCCGGTCGTCGCTCTCGAATGTCATACCAATTGTTCACATGCCGGTGAGAAGGAAACAAATGTTTTGAGAAACCTCCTGCATTTTGTGAAGTCAACTTTGGACTTGTATTTGAGTCGAGGATCTGCGGCACAACAGTAGTACAGGTGCACGGTAGCTGCAATGGCAGCAGCGTGTCCAAAGAAAGGATCGATCAGTCGCATCTTTTTCTCGGACACCATATCTATCATTCGAACAATCCAGGTAGCGTGCAACAGCACCAGCTCAGATGACCGTCTCCAGAAGGCGTTGGGGATGGCTAGATTTTCGTTGTATTGCGATGCCACAATGTAAACAAATGGGTGGTTGAGAACAGTCAATATGCAATGATAAGTGAACTGGAGCTTCAGCCATGGAGCCCAGTAGTCTCGATTTACTCTGAGCTCCTCCGCTGTGCGTTCATAGAACTTGACTGAATCGTAACGATGGCACTGGGAAAGCTTGTTCTCAATCTCCGTGAGGTCAGACAAAACCATGGAGTACATGGAATCGTGTCTCCATGGCTCTTTTAATCGATTCTGAGCACAGTCTGAAACATAAGTTCGCACCCTGCTCCAAACCCAGCCGAAATGGGCAGCGAGACTCCAGATTCCCAAGTCGGATGGATTTGAACAGCCGAGGTCATCTGTTGGCAGGGGTGGAGGCTTTGCCGCTGTGTCACCTTGTAATGCGCGGTCGCCACTGGAAGACACGTAGAATGTGCGCAAAATTTCCGCTGGAATGCAGAGGAAACCATTTTGCTGGCCATATGATTGCTCGAGGCACTGAAGACTCCAAAACAGACGCTTTTTCCGTTCAGTGGTGGGCCCCTCACCGACATATGCTGATTCGAGATCTAATGTCGCCGACCTGCACAGGTGCAGTGCAAGGCCCAGGTGAAAGCGACCCAGATGAATATTTCCATCTGGACTGACTTTTAGCAAACGAAAATCCGTTTGAGATGTGAGGCAGCCTTACCTAAGAAAGAAGAGTATGACAACAAACAGAGACTTTCTATCGTCTCAAGCCCAACTGTGCCATTAGCCATCCGAAGCATGATCAAACTTCTGGCGCTGTCTCCATAATGCTGCAAATGATCTCGATCCCGCGAGAACCGTGAAGTTAGAGCCAACAGGCAACAAATAATTTCCTCCGATAAAAAGCTTGGGTCGGAGACTTCCTCGCGCTCAAAGCACCAAATCGGCTGGCGATGGCAGTATTCAAAGTAGAGATCTATCGCTCTTGCGATTGCCGAGGATGAGGGATGTGAGATTGAGTCATCATATCCAAACCCTAGAAAGAAAGGGTCGTTGACGGCCGGCGGTTCATTGGAGGACAGACGTGTTGTCGTTGGGTATGTGTCGGCGCCATTCCCATTCTCGTGCGTCTTGTCTGGCCGAACTTCTTGCGTCGGCCTGGTTCCACTGAGAATGAGATTTACCTTCTCTTCCAGGAACGCCAGTCTATCATCCTATCCCGAACAGAGTCAATCATTGGCCAATGGTTACCCCGATACGCCAGTACTTACGGACTGCCCTCCTCGCGAACCCCTCGGAATGGATGTATAGAGACATGGCTGATTTAGCCGAACACAGCTGGAGCATGAGGGTTTCTCGGCCGGACACCGAGTCTTCTTTCGCCTATCGATGACATCAACTTCACATCTCGGGTGGAACGAGAGCAGTTGGCCTCACCTGCAATTGAGACAAGCCTCATGGGACTTTAATCTCCCGCGCGCACTATCCCGGGGCATCATAATCACTAAAACAACGGACAGTCGATGTTTTGAGCCGTGGAAGTGGAAGAGAAGAATGCCACGTCTCTACTATGTGGAAGGGGGAAATTTAGCTGCGGGGTATCGACCAAAGCACACCCTCGAGATAGGCACCGGGTTATAAGGGCGTTACGGGCGGGAAACTTGTGGAGAACGATAATGCAGACCCTGATACCCGAATTGTATTTAAAAATAAAAGAGAAAAGAGCAGAGCGATCGTACTCGATCCTTGTTTTGGCCTCTCTGTTCTCCTCATTCCTTGCCCCCCCCCCTCTCGCTCTAGAATCCCCTCTTTTTGCCCCCGGTTAAATATGGGACTAATTCTGGACCACCCCGTAAAATATGGGCCTCTTCTAAAAATGGCTAAAAGATCCAGTCAGATGGCCACTATTGGCAATCTCCCGATCTTCGGAAGAAGTTCATCATGGCATCCTGGAGCAAACATTTGGAACATTCCGTATTGACACGTAAGAAGTGGCGTTTAACAGGAGTGACTTATCTGTATACTTCGGCGTCAAACCTCTGATCTCCCCTTCGCTAGAACAATTAAGGTTATCGCCTTGAGGAGAGATTCCTATTGGCCAGGTTCTGAACCAGGCCCGAATTAGGATGTTCATATGACCCTGTTCTTTGACTCGTACTCCAGGGCTGCTTTAGTGTTAAGCCTTTTATCAAGCCATTTAGGGGTCTCGTGATTGGTGTGGGTTTTATACGATAAGGAGATGTTCTTGCAACTGGTATCAAATATGGGTCAAGTAGATTGCAATTCGTCATAGTCATAAGTGTAAAAAGAAACTATGTAATCTCGCTAACTAGCTGATCGAAAAATAAAAAATAAAAAGAACAACTAAAAATTGAAGGGGTGTGGAATATCATGCAAATGAAGACAAAAAGGCATCGTGATCAGGAGACCATGATCTCTGGAGCGGTTGCTGGTCCGGGTGCAGGTCCAGCGCCACACGCCTTGCCTCCACAGCAACCACCACCCTCTTCGGTCAATTTGGAGCAGAAGTCCATGTCATCTTTGCTGACCGCTGCCTCTTGGGGGAGTCGTTGCCGGGCAGGCCAGACCTCCCCTTGCGATTGTTTCTCGATTTCCTCGTGCTGCTCAACCAGATCGCGAACGATGGATTGGAAGTAAATTGGGCTATTCTCATTGCGAGGCCGGAGCTCTCCATCTGTTGACACCCGGTTGGTGATGTTCTTTTGGGTTTCATTGTAGACGCCCTCGTCTTCAGAAACCATAAGTTTGTACGCCTCATGGGTGTGTTCGAAATCTTCATCACTCGTATCCTTGTGACGATAGATCTCATAACGCACGGCAGTCGTGGTAGGCCCGGTGGGAACAAATCGCTGCATGAAAAACGCGTAGGGTCTGAGAGGTGTTAGCGCTGCCAATTCATCAATGAACTGAGAGAAACTCACGAAACAGTCATGTACGCGTTGGGGAAATAGTAATTGCTGGCATTGCGGAGAGCCTTGGCAATCTGAGGAATCGATCCGTGCGTGTTAATAGTGAAGGGACCGGCGTTATCGGTGTGATGCTGGTGGTTCTCGTTGTAGTTGTCTGCAATGGTCTTCCAGTTGTATTCCCCAACCGACTCCCAGCCGGAATCGAAGTCGTACTCTTCAAAATCGAAGCCATCGAAGCGGGGCTTTAGATCAATTCCATCAAAGTCCCTCTTCCACGAGTTCGCAGGCTTATCATCCGCATCCAGATTGAGCCAAACAAAACCATTGGTGTCAACATGAACGTGGATGGGGAAGAGGCCGTTCTGGTTCTTGTCAAATCCATCCAGTTCTTGGTAGTGGGGAGCCTTGGCTAGCTTTCCATTGAGACCATATGACCATCCGTGGTATTGACAGGAGAAGATGCGAGCGCTGCCACCATCTTCAGTGACCACCGGGAATGCTCGGTGACGGCAGATATTGTGGAAGGCATTCACATTTCCGTCACGGTCTCTCACCAGGATGAACGCATATCCTGCAATGTTGAACTTGAGCCAGTCGCCAGTCTTGGGAAAGCGCAACTTGTGTGTGGTAAGCAGCCATTTACGGCTAAAGACGGCACGTCGCTCGAGCTCATACGTGTCTTTTGAGGAATACCAGGAGGCAGGAAGAAGGCGAGGTGGGGAATCATAAACGGGGGCCTCAGTAGCCCCAAGGCCAAAGTAGCTCTTGAACATCGACATAGAGAAGATCGACAGACGAGCGTCAAGGTTATAAGAGATGTATTGATAAATCAATCGAGTTGAGGTTAAACGTTAAACCTTTTCTGCTGGCAACTTTCTTGCTCTCGGGTCAACGGTCTATTCATATAGTGATGGACGGCCCGATCTATTAAGTCCCCGATTCTGACTATGAGCTCATACTTCCCCATGGGGGATGCCCAATCTACACAATGCCACCGATCACAAGATCGGTACGGGGGCCCAGCCGTTCATCGCCGCAAACTTCGGCCAAAGGACTCCGTCAGCCAGGTCTGAATGATGAGAGGGGTCTCCTACGGAAGACGGCTGCCCTACCGCGATCGCTTGACGCCACTCGGAGAGTCGGCTTCTGGCCGGTATCGAGCGAAAATAAAAAGAATCTATATATGGCTCACTCGCAATAGGTAAATAACTGCCCTGTTGCAATATTTTCCGAATATACGACAGATTCTTTAAGGCTCCTGAATATTTAGGCCTGTCAAGTCATGCCGGACCAAATCTCTAGTTCTATACATAGAATGATGAAACTACATGGACGTGGTTCGTCAATTCATCCACCGATCACATGAGCGGCTCGTACTATCAGAAGTGCGGGGACAGGCCCATCGCATCGTTATCTTATGTGCCGAGACGGGTACATATGCAGGTGGTAACCGTGCTATCTGATCTTCGTGAATTGATATGTGTTCAATTATAGTGAGATATTCGCGATCAACCTTGAAGCAATTCGATATACGTGGCATCGATTGACAGGGAATTGGGGAAGAGTAAGTTGCTTTCCAACCGGTCATCCTATACTGAGTACTTGTGATTTCGAGTTGTGAAACTTCCGAGGTCACTGGAGCTGACATGGACTCGACACCGGTTCCTTTGAGTCCAAGCGAGCCCAATTGCCTCCGTTCTTGTATCCCAAGGGCCACATGACAGCAACACACTCATGCACTAAGTTCGTCTGTGATCAAAGGCTCGAAGGTTCCATGTCTGCCGAGAGCACATTGAGGGACAGTACGCGTCGAAAGCCACCACCGGTCGACCTTCGCACTTTCTAAACACTTCGAATCGGCGATATGGATTATCGAATAGATTGGGGGGCGTACAGCATCACAGGAGAGGATGCCCAGATCAGGAGTTGAGATCCAACCGAGCTCACTGTCGGGGCACCAGTTGCCACAGTTTCTTTGTAAAACATCAGCAAATGCAGCCCATATCGAAATAAACAGAAAAAACAAAAAACAAAACAAAACAAAAAGACCGTGAATATACGAGTATCAAAAGAAACGTGTGGCAAAAATGGTCTGCACCAGTGGAGCTTCAAGCCCGGAGTACCCCGCACATGAGTAATCTCGGTCTTCTCTCAATGACAGCAGAATATCCTTCTCCAATTTGGATCTTATTGCGATGAGCGAACCCGATGATAATTATATCATACACAAGGTGTCCCTAAAGCGCACTCGGCAAGCTTGTGGTCCTTGTCGGTAAGGCACACGAAAATTCTGCGGTGGTCAAATGTCTGATGTGAGGTGTCAATGTCGATAGTCGGAAGAAAGCACGATGTCCAGGAGAGAAACCAACTTGTTCGCTCTGTCACAGACTTGGACAGAGCTGCTCGTATGAGCCTCAAACGTCCGCCCGGGCGAAGATCCAGAAGGTCGCCTCAGCTCCGACGCGAGCTCAGTGCCCGGAATCGCCGAAAGAGGACAACTGCGAGTCCACTCAGACTCAAGCAGATCCCTCAAGCTCGGGCAGACTTCAGCGAATTGAAGAACGATTGGACTGGATGACGCAATTGCTGCAGTAAGAAAGAATATCCTGCTCCGGACTGAACAAGCTGCTAAGGTCTCTACTTCACAGGGATGGCTTACCAAAATCCAACATATCCCGGGAAACATCCAACGATGATCAACCCAGCAATTCGTATGAACATGAGCCTTATGGTCTTGAAGCAATCGTTTCGCCAGAAAACAACTTAATGACCACACAAGAGTACGCGACATTGTTTTTTTCATCACTATTCATTACAGTTTGATTAACGCAGTCCAGCAGTTTGCCCTCTCCGTTTATCAAGAAAGAGATTGACTTATATCTCACCTACGTTCATGATCAACCATATTGTGTATTCTCGAAAGAATGGCTTCTGAAGTCTCCAGGCTCATTACCGCCAGAAATTGTCCTTCCACTGGTGGCTCTTACATCTCGCCTTCCTCGGCGCACTTGCGACACCATATTTGGAGACCGACCCAGCGCGAAGGGATTTGCAGAAGAAGCCTGGGAGGTATTGTCGAACCAATACCGACATGGGGTGATGGGTCTTTCGGTGCTTCAGGGTACCTTCCTGATGGCCCAGGTGGACTTTTCGGATGGGAAAGCCCACCGAGGGTATGCGTCTGTGGCTCTAGGAATGCGGGCTCTCCAATCTGCGAGATTGAACAGGCATCATGATTCCTACCTTTCAAAGGACAACCCCGAGGCAGAAGCTCGAAAGCGCATCACCTGGGCATTTTTCATGCTCGATCGCACCTACAGCGCTTCTCGGAACTACTCACTGTCCCTTTCAGACAAGCAATTTACTCTGCCTTTTCCTTTCCCAGAAACAGACCCATCGCCTACACGTGATTCACCCCTGAACTACGGGTCCTTGCATGATGGACCTGGAAAACAAGGCCAAAAGGTCGACCTTGGTGTCTTGGCGTGTTTGCTCAGGCTATATTCTCTATGGGGCAAAACTACCGAGTGGGTTTTCGAACCATTTGTCGAAAACACGCTGCCTCCTTGGCAGACCGGATCCGCCCTTGCGATCCTCGAGTCCGGGTGGCTGCAGTTTGAAACGCACTTTGCAGATGCCCATCGATACATAAATGTTGATTTCAAACGACGCGCCCGGGAAGATCCCGAATCGCGTACATACCTCTCGAGTTGGGTGTGCGTGCAATTCCTCTTTCATACAATTCAATGCCTACTGCACCACCCGTTTGTCATTATGACCAAGCTTCGAAATTTCAACGGAAACATTTCAGCGACATTTTTACAAAAGTCATTCGAAACGTCGCTGCTGCACTCCCGATGGATTGTCCGTTTCATCAGAGAGATGGCTGAGGTGAACTTCGAAGTCTGTGACCCATTCCTTGGGTATCTGGCTGCGATCGCAGCCACAATTCAGCTCGAGCATACCGGCAGCAAAAACCCCCAAATTGCCCATTTGGTCAATAAAGAATTTAGAACTCTGGTCGAGTTCATCACAGAGCTCTCGATGCACTGGGAGAACATGAGCATATTGGTAGGTCTGCTTGGTCACAATTCAGTGAGAGCCGCTTTTGCTTACTCCATTCATGCAGGTAAACAAAGTGAATGAGCTGGCTGCCCGTCATCAGAATTATGGCTCCCTTTATTACAACCAAGAAGGGTTTTCTGGGGCATTGTCTAAAATGCCAACCCCTTCAAGCATGCCTAGAATGTCCCCCGAAGATGAAACGCTCATGTGGGAGATTCTTGACTTTGGTTGCTCATCTGAAGGCCGCGAACCAGGTAAATTCGGGGACTTGGCTATTCCTCACCCGGACACAATAGGAGATCAAACAGGAACAAGCAACGATATGTCTACCGTAGCGCCAGGGGCACTTGGGCCGTCTGGAAAAGCCGGCGAAGGGCAGTCAACGAATCATAGTGTCCGTACTCATGGGTCTCCGACCTTTGACGCGATGTCTGATTCCATCGGCCCAGGTCCCTTCCCTGCGTGGCCATTCAATACTCGAAATGGCGACGTGACCGGTCCAACCATACCGGACATTCCAGACTGGATGATACTGGGAGATTATATGGCCGAGCATCTGTGACGTACCCAGGGCTCTTTCCGATCGTCGACACGGGATACTGCGGATCAACCGGGCGCGAGAGAGGTTGCATACGAGAATAGATTTTCTCAAATTCGATATGGATTTCTATCCTAACACCGGGCTCGGATGGGGCATATGTGCCTCAAGAGCTCCACGAAACATTCATGCCCACAATTCAAATCTTGCTGTGCCGGGATGAAGCAGCCTTTAATGCCGTGTCAAACTTATCCAACTCGTGCTCCGTCAATTCCCTTCGCTCTGGCCCACCACGACTTCCATCCCCGGTGAAAACCTCGCCTTGGAAGCTCTCGCGGAATTGAGTATGGAACTTCCACTTGGAAAGCAACTCCTGCGAGAGTTTCCTCTGCCAGCTTCCCACAATATATTTGCCAATGACTGGTAAGAATTTGAATCCACTAGGAAAAGAAGTTAATACTGTGAGCTTTACCACTCATTTGATTGACTTACTGTCCGCTTCCTCCTGTGGCAATGAACAAGTTCTTATGCTCCGGGTGATAATCAAAGATGAAATCACCGGTCGGGGTATCATTGTACCAGCATAACCCAACTTTTTCGAAACCTCTTGGGGCTAGCTGTGGGAAAAGATCCCTCAATCCAGATGTGAGTCGTTCGAGTCCATCTGGGGGGATGTAGTTCGCCCGCGATGCGACTGCGGAACTGGGTGGTGCGGAAGTGGCCGCTGACTCAGTACGAGTGTAGCCAAACCCGTGACAAGCGACCTTGAGATACCCAGTGGGCTCGTGTGGTGGGAAGGCAAAGAAGCCGGTGGAGAAGTTGAAGTAAATGGGAATATCTCTGAGCTCGGCAACTTCCTCCGGGGTGAGACGCAGGTATCCTACGATCTGCCCAGCAGCGAGCATGGAGTTCCAAGACGGGATAAGACTCGCGGTCCAGGCACCAGTGGCGACGATGAAATGGTCGCCTTCTACTCGTCCGCTCTTGGTGCGAACAGATTTGATGCTTCCATCCGGCCGCTTCTCGAATTCTTCAACCTGTCCGTTCGGACCAGTTATAAAAGACACTCCGGCAGAGGCACAGCGAGACATCAAACGGGCACACGCTAGGCCTGCGTCTGCCCATCCGGCAGAAGTGTTGTAAAACCCATCAAAGCCAGGAGTGGCGAGGCGGCCCGTTAATTTTGGGAAGTGCTGCTTGGCCTCCTCGACGCTGTTGAGAGGAACCCATTCCTGGCCCATCTCAGTCAAGACCCGTTTCGTTTTGTCGCTGTATTCATGGGCCCGAGGCTGTACTGGTTGTTGCGGGGTGCCGTCTTGACACACCCACATGCAGGGTGCTTGGTGAAATGCCTCCTTGTAATCGGGAGTCTTCCACAGGTCAAAGGCCTCCTTTGCTATCTCAGCGTAGATTGGGTCTCCATAGTCAAAGCGAATGATGCGGGAAATGTCATTGCTGGAGCCATCTGGCACTGGAGGGACTGATCGGTCGAGAACGGTAACAGACTTGTAGCCTTCTTCCCTTAGTCTCAGCGCGGTGCCGAGGCCAAATGCGCCAGCTCCAATGATGATAATCCGTTGGTCTTTTTCCATGGTGATCTGAAGATGTAGTTGAGAGGTAGACGTCTGTATTGGTTGTATAGCTGGGAAACCCGGGGGTCACGGTCCGTGAATGCACATCTATGGATATGGTGGAGATTGGCATATCTGTCAATCAGAGAGACGAAACGAATAGATCTTCAAGAATTTCAGACCAATCGTAATTCATCGTGAGTGCGGTGGATAGCAGTGCCCACAGGGTAAATGCAGCAGGGTGTGAATCCGGCCCGCGTACGGACCGGCCACATGAGTTGCCACTTGGTAATCTGTAGCTTGCAAAAGTCCTAAGCAAGTTGAGAACGCGAGTTCATCTATAGATATCAGATATTATTCAATGGCATGTATGGTTCTCGATGGATAAGTCGGATACCATGTCTAGCTGAGCTCGGAGCATTCACAACAGATGGCCAGAGTCTTCCATAGATTGTGTAGGAAAATCGTTTATGAATAATTGCAAGATATTCCAAGAAATGTCGAGTTATTTGTGCAGTGCAAATAATGTGGCTTAGTGGCTGGGAACAATATCAAGCTTGACATTGTTCTGTTCCCTTTGTCGGGTTTCCCATACTTCGTCGAGTCCTCACCAACTTCCATTACTGTTCCCCCTCAATTAGGTTTGTCGCAAAAATGGACAGGGTGGTTATCGTTGGAGCAGGTTTGCAGTGTCGGAGAAGACTACGGAGAGATCTGATAACTGATGTACCATTCTAGGTCTGTACGGATTGATCGCGGCTAAGACATACCTCCAAGTAACGGGAGCCTACGATGATGCAGAAGCAGATAAAGCAGATGAAGCAAGCAACCTGACAGCAATACCAGCATGTTTTACAGAAGATGCAACGCCGTCCATGAAAGAATCCCAGAATCGCCTTCTCGTGATCGACTCGGCATCGGACATCGGGGGTACCTGGGCCGAAGAGCGTCTTTATCCAAACTTGCTGAGCCAGAACTCATACGGACTATATGAGTTTAGTGATTTACCTTTAACCGATGTTGTCCCGGAAGACGAGAGCGATACTGGCGACACCAGGAGCCAGTTCATCGCAGGCTGGAAAATACGACGCTATCTGCGGGCATGGGTCGCAAAGTGGAAGCTCGATCGGCATGTACGCTTGAAATGGACGGTAGGACAACCCTATGCTCTCAATTCACATAGCAACGTTCGTTCTGATCATTCATAGGTTGGGAGCGTGTGTCGCTTGGAGAGCAAGGAGTGGAAGCTGAGCATTAGTCTCTCCACGACTCCAGCTCGCCACATCACTGTCATCTGCGACAAGTTGGTTCTGGCTACCGGATTGACCTCGGTGCCAAATTTGCCTGAAATTACAGATTCACTTGGGACAACTGACCATGCCACTCCCGTGATACATGCCAAGGATGTTGGAGGATGGGCTCGGCAATACCTAGGGTACCAACCGCTGGAGCCTCCAACTGTAGATATTCATGCCTCGAGGGATGAAGCTGAGTACCCGCAATTGCGGTCCGTGGCTATCTATGGTGGTGCAAAGTCATCGTTCGATCTGGTGCACTTTTTTGCGACCCTCCACCGCAAAGATCCAAAGCTGCACCTCAAATCCAAACAGAACAACCCAGTCCAGGTGCATTGGATTATTCGCGACCAGGGGGCAGGGGTTGCGTGGATGGTGCCACCGACATCCACCCTCCCCAATGGAGACACAGTTCCAAGCGACAAGGCGGCAAGCACTCGGTTGCTCACTTACCTCACCCCATGTTGCTACATGATTCCCAAGCGCCTTTCGCGTAAAGGAGTGTGGGGTTTGCGATGGGAGGGGTCATGGCTGATTAGACTGTTGCACGGGAATCCTTTCGGACGGTGGTGGGTTCGGTGGTTTTGGCGGTCCGTTGATCGAAGCTTGGAAGAGTCGGCGCAGTATGGGACAGATGCAAAGATGGAATTGCTTCGCCCAGCAAACAGGTAAGAATTTTCGATCTCAGCCAAAGCAACTATTAACTAGAAGATGATAGTGTGGTTTCGTGCGCATCAGGTATTGGGATTGCAAACCAAGGCGACCTCTGGGAGGCAATCCGACTACCCCATGTCGCTGTTCATCGATCGACTATCACAAAAATCGTGGCATCCGAGGAACAAGCTGCCACAGATTCATCCAAGCGTGCTGTGGTGCATTTAGCTGACCATACCTGTGTTGAGCCAGTCGACCTGGTAATCCACGCCACTGGATACAAACCGATCGTTCCAATCCAGTTTGAACCGGCCTCCCTTCGTCTTGAGCTGGGGCTTTCTGCTTTGGTGACAAGCGATAATCAAAACACGAGTGACAATATTCACAAAGCAACCGAATCCCCGGAAAAGATCCAAGGGCTGCTAAAGCCAAGCATCAAAGATCGCCTAATGCACCTGGAGGACATAGATCAACGGTCGGAAGTCACAGTGCGACAGACTTTGCAGGCTACCGGATGTACCCCCATGGATCGTAGTGCCCCTTCCTGGACCCAATCTGACAAATTGATTCCGTATCGACTGTTCCGACGGATGATTGCCCCTGAACTGGTTGCTCAGGGTGACCGTTCTTTTGCCACGCTTGGTGTGATCTTGTCATCCACAATTGCGGTCATTGCTGAAGTCCAAGCCCTCTGGGTCGCCGCCTTTCTGACCGGGGGACTAGACATACAGGCGACTGACCCATGTGGAGCCCTCTCCCTTGAAGCCCTTTCGCTAGATACAATGGATCATGCTGTATCCGAGGACGCGGTGCTTGGTTCGATGACAGGGAGTGGCCTTGAAGTGGACGCGATCCAGGTATGTTTGCTCATGGAAACCAAGTACCAACTCTGACTATTTATCCAGTATAACGACATGCTGTTGCGCGATCTAGGCATAAATCCAAACCGACTAGGCGGAGGAACCTACCAAGAGCTGACTGGGGTGTATGGGCCATCTGCGTACAAAGGGATCGTTGACGAGTGGAAGCAACTTCGAACTTCGAGAAATCAACAGTAATGATATTGCCTATGGTATCAGAGTGAGACTAGAAAGATCAGCGCCATCAAGTGAAGACGGGAGATGTACAATGGACAGATGAACATATGAACCTTGGAAAGTAAAGGAATGTCCTATTGCGATAAAGAAGTGTAAAAGGGAAGCGACCAAAGCGCCGATCGACGCTCGGACCAGTCATGTGACGGTGGTTATGCCTTCCCGATTTGGAGTGCGGGCTGGCACCTTCCCGATTGGAACCTTTGCTACTTGTGCTTGTGCTTCACCTCTCATCCCAGTTCTCCCCCAGAATCTCATGGACCGGAAGCAGACCCGACTTACCCGATGCCGCACAGGATGTATGCGCTGTCGGGTCCGTCGAAGAAAATGTACGTTTCGCAAATTTGCATCGAGTCGTAAGCTAACAACATAGGTGACGAGGGGAAACCAAGATGTCGCAACTGTGTTGATCGGAATTTCCAATGTCAGTATGGTCCGCAGTTGACGTTCTTGACAAAAAATGCGCAGACAGTTCTACCGTCGGAAGTTGGCACTTCATCGAGCTATGAGACAATCCGGGTATGTCCCGAGGAGACAAAATGAGCGCCGAGACCTGACCAGTCTTAGTTTATCGCCGAGGAACCCCAAAACGACAGCAATCTTGACGAGGATGCGCAAACTCCTCGCGGGGATAACCAAGGAGCACAAGAGGATGCTAGCTTTACCACAGAGGTGCCATCATGGGAGCCTACCGATGAGCAACCAACACTGAGCGACAAGGATGAGTCTGCGGTTGCAGGTCTGTTGGCCCTAGGGATGAATGAATCCCCAATGGACCTGTCAGGGTTCTCGGTCAACAATCCTCCATTGCCGGCACTGCCTCCGGCTTTCTCTCCGCACGCCCAGGAAGAGAGTACTTCCACCGAGATCCAAGCGCTACTGCGGCACTATCGCTATGAGGTAGCTTCATGGGTGAGCATGAACTCAGATTACCTCTCGAAGTCGTTTGTTTGACTGACCATACGCAGCTGGATATCTGTGATCTAGGCCAATCCTTTGGCATCAATGGCCTTCAACTAGCAATGGCCTCGCCTTCTGTGTGGAACTCGATTCTTAGTCTCTCAGAAACCTCCTTCAACCAACTCCGTCCACATGATCTATCAAGAGGGAGATTCGTTCGACTGCGCTCAGATGTGCCCGCGGATATTACTCAAATTGCCTTGCTCGGTGTGCTGGACCGAGTGAGAGATTGGATCTCAAACATATCGGCTACGTGGGCGTCGCAGGCGCCATGTGACCAAAAGCTTCTGAGCGCAGTCAGCTCACATGCAGTCGGAAGGGACCTCAATTCCGCAATTTATTGGCTTTTTGTTCGGTTCGGTATGTTTACTTTCATTTCATGATTTCATGGACTGTGGCTCCCTATGGATGATACTTACTGCAAGTAGATCTAGGGGTAGCATTAGCTACTGATATCGATATGCGCGTACCACTACCACCGGCGTTCCCATACCTCGCTGAGGTGGACATGGTTGCCGATCCTTTCGAAATGGTTTTCTACTACGCCTATCGCCCGCTTTGGCTTGCGGCGAGAGCCATTCAGTTCACGCACAATGAAGAGATCTCCCAAGATCGTCCTCCGCTCCACGTTTGGATGGAGCTGGTAGAAGAATTGGAGCAGTGGTACCGTGAGCGACCGCAAGAATTTCTGCCAATGTTGGAGCTGGATATGGATCATCAGTTAGCTGGCCCCGAGCGAAGCCTTCCCGTGGTTCTGTTTGCAAACGGAGCTGGGCTGTTTGGTAATCAGCTGTACCATACGGCGATGTTGATTTTGCTACACAACCGGCCGAGAACCGCGCGAATCGGTGACTTCCATTCCGCTGCAATGTCGCCGTTGTGGCATGCGCAGCGGATCTGCAGCATTGCTCTCCACAATGACCGCCGAGAGTGCTGGGATCCGTGTCTCCTAGCATCTTTTCTGACGGCTGCACGTCGTATGACCCATGAATCTCAGCAGCGGGCAGTGATTCAGGGATTTGAGCGAATTCGCACTGTGACAGGATGGGATACGGGTGGCTGCCTACACACTTTGAAGACAGAATGGTGTCTTCTGGACGAGCCGTAGTAGAATGTGCCACTTAGGCCGAAATATCGAGTCATGTGGATCGGGTTCACCGGGTGATGGCAAATCGAGATTTTGTCGCACGGTCGGACCGTGAAGCTGGATAACCCCAAGCAAGCTCCAGATCTCGGATGCGCCAACAAGCGCCCCATCCCGTCTCGGCTTCTATGTGTCGGATAACGTCGACAATGATGGCGTGTTCCGACATATGGCTGAATAGCCGCCCTGCAATCCACAGCGGTTGTATCGCATTATTCAAGCAACCCTGGTGAGGATTTGCGAGTGAGATCCCGCAGATTCGTCTTGCATGCCACAGTGCGGATGTGGCAGATGTCGCCGGGAGGTTGATTGACTTGGGCATCATGTTCAACAGCAAAATGCACGCCGTGTGATATAACTGGGTCGAGGAAATGGCCGCCCAGTGCAGGAATAGGATGTGTGGAAATGGCTTTGTCGTGGTAGTATGAATAGGCAATAACTCCGGTGGTCGGGTGTCTAGCCAATGCTGCAAGTCATCCCACAGTCGGATCCAACGACGACTGAGGACATCTCCAGTACATTCATTTTGCACGCCGAGCTCCATAAACTGAGTGCGATCAGCGACCAATTCACATGCTTTGGCGCAGAGATAAACAGCGTAGTTTGCATGCATGTCTGGCGATTGGGCGGCCTGGAAGAGCTGAGCCGCGTCGTCTTCATGGCACCCAGGCGCAAGCCATTTGCTCGGCCGAAGGAGAGTGCTCTGTGTGCCATCGGAGATCAGCGCACCACACAGGTCTGATGAATTAGCATATATTGTATTGAAGCGTACCAAGGTAGAGAATATGCTCACCCATACGCGCGTAGCACCAGAATACTGCTTGTAGAAGATCGTTGCTGAAGCCATTCATTTCAAAAGCCTCAAATAACGCAGCGCATCCCTCCAAATGACGCTGCCAATCTTGCGCGCGGGCAGACATCATCTCGAGACAACATAGCAGGACGCAGGCGGCAACCACCTTAGGGTCACGCATTTGCAGGAGCGGGCTTAGCAGACGGATCGCTTCCTGGTATAATTCCAGACTGTCAAAAGAGTCTTGAATGCCCTCCTTGCGTTCCATTTGTCGGGCCGAGATGGCAAGAATCGCGTTTAACAGTGCGGGGAACGAGCGGGCGAGCGCGGGAATTTGGACTCGGAACGTGCATTGCGAATCAAACATGTCGAGCTACTGGATTATCAGCAATCGTTTTGTCGTTCACCTGGTCAATTGCTGCTCTTTCTTTTCCCCTCTCTCCGCCTCATCTCCTTCCTTTCGGGGGTCGCGACGCAAGTCACTTACCCAAGGTGCCACCTGCCCAACATAGTTTTTCAAATATTCGATGCGACGGGGGCTCGAAAGCACAGGGCGAATGGGTGCTGTGGAATCGCGCAAGGCATGGATTTCGGGACTGGGTGCGCGGGTCGGGGCAGCAGATTGGGCTATGTTGAAGAGCATGCATCGCAATTCTTCCTGCGATGCCAGGAAGCCCGGATCGTGAGAAAAGCCATCATGGCCCCAACTGGCTGCGCCTAAAGGCGACGGAAAGGTGGGCGCATCGGTGGAATCCGAAGGGGTGTATGGATGTAAAGGGGTCCATTCGGGACGCAGAGGGTCGTCGAGGGGGAACATTGTGAGTTGGGAGCCGCGATCGGCGGGGAACCCGCCATTTTATAGGCGACGGGAGGCCAATTGCCCTAACCCAACCCCATTGCAGTTTGATGGTTTATATACCTCGTTCACTTAGTTCTATATTCCACTATGATAATACTCACTTTTACAATGGCTCGCTCACATTCCGGTGAGCCCCAGAAAAAAGGGATCGTGGCCACCCCTGGCACTTGACAGACATGCAAGGGGGACAAAACAAACAGTCTGTTCCTGAGATCTTGGGCTTTAACTCGACAGTCGCTTTCCAACTCGTTCGAACTACTCCGTACCCCGTATTTCAGTCGCGAAAATATCATTTCGACGTGATGTATGGCTTCAAATCATTGTCTATCCTGAGCATGATGCTCGTGGCAGCCTCGGCCAAGCCGAATCAGAAGACCACTGTATGTATGTCATTCGAGGCACAGAAGATCATTCTAACACTGTTTACCTAGGTCGGTATTGCGACAGCGGACAAGAGTCGTGGCATTGATGTGCCATTGAATGAATGCCGTGCGATTGAAGAAGAGTGAGTCCCGGCACAAGTTGCGAACGCTCGAAGCTTGAACCTAATGAACTACAGAGATGTCCTCACGATCTCACTGAGGAAGCCCTGCCGCCTGTTCACGTAAGGACCATGATTCTCGCTACACTCAATCTCGCTAACCGGCATCTAGTGGCCCTGATTGTACTGGCCATAACACATTCTTGAGTCCCGGCGACCACTCCTCCGCAGACCCTATACCCGTGGTGGAGTCCATCTTCTGTCAACAGTCGTTCTAGGTGTGAATTCTATAGAAGTGAAGGCGCCTATAGCCTCACAGCCTCAAATTGGCATATAATATGAAAATCAAGCCTTTTAATACCGAGTCTACAAAGGTTGCGTCCAGCGAAAACCTACCATTGAAAAAAGTGTGTATTCATCTTATAAAGAGGCATCTTGCTCATCTACAACAAGAACCTTGATACTTCCATTCCGGGTATCCGCGCAAAGGTGAAGTGCCTCTTCAGCCTTTTCCAGAGGGAACACATGCGAAACCAGTTTACGCAGATCCAGGATTCCACCACTCAAACAGGAAATTGCTGGGGGCCAGGTGTCACGGTAGCGATTGATGAATCGGAGATCAATCTAACACGGTTAGCATGGATATAAGGTCATCTCAGACAAGAGACAACACTAACCTCGGCAAGTGAGAGATGCATGAACGGAAGGTTGTTCATGATCGCTTTTCCAACGCCAATCACCATCACAGTACCTCCCCGTCGAGCAGTGTATGCAGCAGTGCACACACTACTTTCCACGCCCGTACACTCGAGCACTGTTTCCGGTGCGACGTATTCGTGAGATCCGAAGAGAGCTCGAATCGCCTCTGCGTTTCCTTGCGCATCCTTGGTACGATCAACCTGGTAAGTCATACACGACGGGACAAACTCCTTGGCAAAGGCCAAACGAGCAGGTTCCAAGTCGGTGATCACAATTGGATTGGCACCGGAGGCACGGGCTGCGGCCAACGCAATCAGTCCAATTGGACCGGCACCACAGACTACCACCCCCCGGCCCAAAGAGAGACCGGCCGATTTGACACCGTGCATCACCACCGAGAGTGGCTCGAGAAGTGCGCCCTCGGCAAAACTGACATTCTCAGGGAGCTTGTGTAGCCATTTCGCGGGGTGATTCTTGTATCGCTGAATGGTGCCTTCGTAAGGATAGACACCAGCAAACTGGACATCCTCACATAGGTTGTATCGACCGTCGTCGCATAGGAAACAATGCTCGCAGGGCACACCGGGTTCCACGGCCACTCGATCGCCTAGCAAACGCGTCAGTCCCATGAAACCTCCCTGGCCGATATTCAAATCGCTCCTCATGCATACCTGGCTTCAGATGGGTGACACCCTCTCCACACTGCAGCACAATACCGGATGCCTCATGACCGATAATGCAATCGCCTTCAAAGACCAGCGACCCAATGCGCCCCGTCTTCCAGAAGTGAATATCTGACCCACAAATTCCAGTGGCCTTTATGTGCACCAAGGCTTCACCTGCGCGAGGACTGTAAACCGGTGCCTCGGCCGATTTGAGGTTATGATCTGCCGTGACCTGTAATGATGGGTTGGGATGCGAGACACGCAGAAGTGTGCGGTCGCTCGACTTGGTCGGCACAGCCTGACTGGTCTGATCCACAGGTACTGAGGGAGCCATCATGTATATTTTTTTTGTTCTCTTTTCTTGAGGGGCAGAGAGTCATTCTTAAGGCGTTCTGGCGGCCAAAAGCACCCGAAATAGTAAGTTGTGGCTCGCGATACCCGTTTCGGCTGTGGGGTATCGCGGGGGGCCCCATAGTGATTATTTGTTCTTCTTTTTCCTCGGCCTTTTGGGGAATTTGAAACACTTTGAGGAAATTGAAGCTGGTTGTAAATTTGCTCGACAAGTATTGCTGTAGCAATAATGTATATCAATGTTGGCATTGTAAGCATTTCCTATGAAGCACGTAGTACCTCGTCCTCCTGAACATACTGAAGTATTTCTACTAGGAAAACACCATTAAAAACGAACACAGACTTCAGGAATTGGTTGCATGGAATAATCATGAGCTAGTGGATGTCGGATGATTATCTCGGATCTCGATACTGGACACTTGAAGATCGCAACATGGGGTCAAGTGGAACTGCGCATCCAAACGTTCGAATGTTGGCGGTTGGACTATAACCCGATTAGGAAATATTAAGCATCACCTCACGCATCTATTTGAAGGCGCATCTCGCCGTGGGAAACAGCATACTGCATTCAGTTTTGATTTCTCCCCATCATGACTGTCGAGATCCAAAACGGCGTTAGCGCCTCTTCCGCGTTGCCTCTGGTGCACAAGCTCTCCAAGGACCATGATCTGGTGCTGAAGACCTTCCGTCTGCTCATCGCAGATCTTTGCCAGCAGTTCAATGGCGGACACCCTGGGTATGGCATTTATTTTTAAGAAAGAGCGACGACAAAAACTGATATGTTCTAGTGGCGCCATTGGTATGGCTGCAATTGGTGTTTCGCTGTGGAAATACGTGATGCGCTATGCACCCCACTCCCCGGGCTTTTTTAACCGGGACCGATTCGTTCTGTCAAACGGTAAGTTGGAAAATACCTTTCAACTCATTGTTTGAAGTGGTCGAGGACTAAATTTTTTTCTGCAGGCCACACATGTCTTTTCCAATATTCATTCCTCCACCTTACTGGCTACAAGGCTATGACCTTTGAGCAGCTCAAGTCATACCACTCAGATCGCGTTGACGCGCTGTGTCCAGGCCACCCAGAAATTGAACATGAAGGCATTGAAGTCACTACTGGACCCCTAGGCCAGGGTATCGCAAACGCGGTGGGTCTGGCTATGGCAACAAAGAACCTGGCGGCCACCTACAACCGCCCCGGATTTGACGTGGTGAACAACCACACTTGGTGTATGATTGGTGACGCCTGTCTGCAGGAGGGTGTCGGCCTGGAAGCCATCTCATTGGCCGGACACTTTCGTCTGAACAACCTCACCGTCATCTATGATAACAACCAGATCACTTGCGATGGATCCGTCGATCTCACCAACACCGAAGATGTGAACGCCAAGATGCGTGCATGTGGATGGAACGTGATTGAGGTCTCCGACGGCTGCTTTGATATCGAGGGCATCGTCCGTGCTTTGGAGGAGGCTCGCTCATCCAAGGACAAGCCCACCTTCATCAACATTAAGACTGTTATTGGCTTGGATAGCAGTGTGGCTGGAACCGCGGTTGCCCACGGTGCCGCCTTCGGTGCCAAGAGCATCGTGGATATGAAAACTGCATATGGATTCAACCCGGAGGAGCACTTCGTCATTGGGGACACTGTTCGCAAATTCTTCCAGGGACTTCCCGAGCGTGGCGAGCAGTGGGTCCAGGAATGGGACCAGCTGGTGAGCGAATATACCAGCAAATATCCCGAGCTGGGAGCCAACTTCCAAGCTCGTGTTCGCGGCGAGCTTCCCGCGAACTGGCAGGACAACATCCCCGCCAGCTTCCCAGACAAGCCCACAGCCACCCGAGCCGCGTCTGGGTTGGTGTTCAACCCAATTGCTAAGGAGGTCAACTCCTTCATGGTTGGAACAGCAGACCTTTCACCGTCAGTTAACATGATCTGGCCTGGAAAGGTGGACTTCCAGCATGTAAGTTTGATTGTTCATATTGGAGCCGTGTTGAGTCACTAACCCGATCTTCAGCCCGATCTCCGTACCACATGTGGGATCAACGGTGATTATTCAGGTCGCTATATCCACTACGGTGTACGCGAGCATGCAATGGCTGCCATCTCCAACGGCTTGGCTGCCTATTCCCCCAACACAATCATTCCAGTGACCTCCACCTTCTTCATGTTCTACCTATACGCTGCTCCTGCTGTCCGAATGGGCGCACTCCAGCACCTGCAGATCATTCACGTTGCCACACATGACTCCATTGGTATGGGCGAGGATGGTCCCACTCACCAGCCGATTGAGCTGGCTAATCTATACCGTGCAATGCCGAACCTGTTGTATATCCGCCCTGGTGATAGCGAAGAAACAGCCGGTGCCTGGATCGCTGCCATCGGTGCCAAGAACAACCCCAGTATCATCTCTACCTCTCGCCAGACTCTACCCCAGCTTGCTCAAACCCGCCGGGATAGCGTGGCGCTTGGTGCATATGTCCTGTCGGAAGCGGAATCAGCTACCGTGACTCTGATCGGCGTTGGAGCCGAGCTTTCGTTTGCATTGGAGGTTGCCGCCCAGCTCAAGACCCAGAAAGGAATCACTGCACGTGTGGTCAGCTTCCCCTGTCAGCGCCTGTTTGAGAAGCAGTCTTTGAAGTATAAGCGCGATACTCTGCAGCGACACCGTGGTATTCCTGCTGTGGTGATTGAGCCCTACGCCCCCAACGGATGGGAGCGGTACGCGGATGCGGGTATCTGCGTGACTCGCTTCGGCCACAGCCTTCCGGGCAAGGCTGCATACAAATTCTTCGGGTTTGAGATTGATACGCTGACCAGCAAGGTGGCCAACTATCTTCAGCAGATCCAGGAAGATGAGTTCCTCCGCGGCGAGTTTGTCGAACTATGATCACGTTTTAAGGACTTGTTTGTTTTATTTCTTCAAGACTATAGACTGGGCTGGGGACATCCATTTTGCGATTAATTTAACGGTACATATTCAGACTTTCATGATATCATGTTATTTCTCATTTTCCTTTCTCGCGCTCCTTGCTATAGCGAGGTCGCCAGACGTACTTGATTATTTCTGCCAGTTGAGAATTTCCTATCTAAAACATTGTCATCTCTATAGGTACATGGCTGCATGTGTGCGTTTTCAGGAGTGATTCACCTCATAGGCTATCCATGGGTACCGATGTGCCCGTTTCTGGTCTCGCTAGGCCCTGGAACTGTGCTTCTGGCTCAAGTATCAATTTTGACTAGGCACATTTTGCCTTGATCTCTTGCGCCAAAAGCTCACTGAGACACCCGCGAGGATGACGATTAAAAGAAACCAGAATAGATTGCCTCTCGTGCGCGGGCTGAAAGGGATTACTAGACATCAGCAAACAGAACGATAGATCAAAGAGGACTTTTCGAGTGATTGAGCCAAGGGAGCTAGCTAGATATGGAACTAGGAGACCTTTTTTTCTCTGTTCCGGATCTCTCTGGCATCTCACCATCTGTAGCCTTCTTTATCATGTTGTAGATCCGTCGCTTGTATGGGAAAATACCTGTCGAACGACCCGCTAGGGCCCCTTACAAGATCCATGCTCACATAAATCCCATCTGTCCACGCTCTTGAACCACGTAATCGCGCCGCATTGTTGAATCCGGCAATGTGCCTGTGATATGTTAGCTTGTTGAACGCTCATACCGGAACTGAACATACATCTCCTTAGTCGACCGATCGTAAATGATATTCGTCATCTGCGGGAAGCCCGGAGCATAATTAAATACTTGAAGCTCTCTAAGCATTGTTAGATTCTAGCCTTCAAAAGGAAGTCATGTGTGGTACTGACTGGTAGCATGATTTGAAAATCTCGCGAATCTCTTGTCGTTCCGCGAAAGGGTAGGTCCAAAACTGATTCAACTCTAAAGATTCCCCTGTCACCTTTTCCCAAAGGACGAATGTCTTGAAACCACCTGGGACTATCACCGTGTTGTCTTGTTGCTCGAATTTATATCCCAAAAGCCTGGGTACGACCGTACAACCCCCCTCGGTGAGCTGTTTCAAAGCCCGTAGCTCGTTGGTTTCAAAGATGCCTTGCAGAGCCTGGGCAGCGCGGCTCGCCACTTGATGGTACTCGCTTCCAATGATAGGGATTTGTTGGTGGACTCGGAGAAATGCCAATCCGTCTGCACCACGTTGGCGGCACAGGAACTTTGCCTTGACGAGTGAGAGTTGTCCTATTTCCCTGCATTCCTGATCCTCAGCCGGTATTGAGTCAACCTCGAGTTGCTCGATAACCTCTCAGATTAGCTCTGGCAGGTGCTTCGCTTCACGCTGACGGGGGAAATGGGATTCGGAACCGGAGTTCCGTGCCGACAAGATCGGCGAGAGGCTTGGCGATGACCATGATAGATGGTGAAGGGCACGCAGATAGCTGAAACTGGAGAGGTGGAGTTGGAAGAAAGTGAAGTTGGAAGAAAGTGAAGTTGGAAGAAAGTGAAGATGATACATTTGGTACGTGCTACATTTCCACCTTAACTTGGGTTTTCACCAGAGCCCACTCAACTCTTTTCTCTTTTCTCTTTTCTCTTTTTTTCCTCTCCCAACTTCATCAGCAGAGACATTCAGTTCATCCATTTGTTATCTTTTAGATCAGAATGTCCACTTACAAGCCCCGCGAGTTTCCAAGTCCCCCCTCTTCGGGCCCGCCAAGCCCCCGGAAGAGGCGTCGGCTTCTGAGGGAGTCAGAGGACAATGAAGGTGAAATGAGGCTGGAGGAGTTCATTTATCGCACAGACCCCTTTCGGAGCAACACATTCCACGGATATGACAACTCAGAAATGAAGACCGAATTTCTCACTGCAGAAGAAAATCCAACACGACATCTTCGGCCTGAGATCGACGCAATCCTCAGTCAACACCGGATACCCACAGAATCTTTCCACCACACCCTGAAAGCAGGAGTTACAGGCCGCTGTTTCTTTTTGCTGCGCGTTACGGTGTCAGGTGATGGGTCAACCTTCATCCGCTTAGGGCCTATCAAAGACAGCCTTGTCAAGCTGCTTCACAAGAATTCCCTTACAAATGTGCACGTTGAGGTTCTCAACGGAGACCACTTCTCTCCACCTCATCTGTACCCCATTGCCTCAACGAGTGCAGTGGTTTCCGCCTTTCACAGGCTCAAGCACAGTATTGTGGAAACGATGAGTTCTGCAGTGGGGGAGAAATGGCAAATGATTTGCCCATTTAATGTCGGTGGCCCTAACATTCGCTCGGCGCGACCTGCAATTGTGATTTTCGTCCAGCCACTACTCATAGCCAACTGGTATGGAATCCGGGCCCGGATCATCAGCCAACTTTCACTGAAGGTGTCAGCTCTGCTTGTTGACGTGGAGTTTGTGCCGGGAACCCTTAATCTCCTGGAAAATGATCATTCCATCTCACTCAGAGGTCGCTTTGATGGCAGAGATTGGGTTGCGATGGGTGATTCAATTGGAATCAGCGGTGATCAGTATGCTGCAACTCTGGGCGGTTTTGTTGAACTAAGATATGACGACCGGGCCCATTTTGGGTTTCTCACTAACTACCATGCTGTGAGACCAACAGCACACACTCCCTTCCGCGATGAGGTTGATCGCACTGGAATTTCCGCCAATTTCCCCCCTGACGACCAAAATGCAACCATCATCGAGTCTATCGCCCAGATGGACCGAGACCGTACACTCGCGGATATTCAGCAACACAGAGAAAGCCTCGCATCCCAGAAGGCTCGGATCGAAGAGACCATTGAGCTGCGGCTTCTCGCCGGAGAAGAACCCAGAAAAGCCTCTCGGCAGCGGCTCCAGGACCTCGACGTCGCCGACGCTAGTCTGATCCAGACACAAAATGTTATGAAGTCTATGCCATACGTTCTCGGCAAAGTCAGATTTGCATCAGGATTATTGGTCCATGGCAAACGGGTCCTTGATTGGGCATTCGTCGAGCTTACAACCGAAGCCCAGCAACGGTACTTCCGCCCGAACATAGTACCTGACATCCCGCAGAAGCAGGGTCCCACGTCGACTAATCTCCTATCTGGTGGATCTGCAACCTTTCTTCCCCGGCCTAACACCCCTATCACACAGTTTGGTGAACTACAGACTGATGAGTACTACTTCAAGAAAGGTCGTACCACAGAGGTGACTGGGGGCATCTGTAATGGTGCGAAAAGCGTCTGTCAGTGGAAAGGGCGACGATATGAAATCGATGGCGCTGAAATATCAATGGCAACCCATATCACCGAAGAATATGTTATCACGGGTGTGGATGGCGATTTCCTGCAGGATGGCGATTCTGGCAGCTTCGTAATATCTGCCGACAGAGATGTTGCAGGAATACTATTTGCTGATGTGATCCACGAGGGAAACCGCATCGGAGTAGCTTTGAATATGCCAGATGTCGTCGAGTCGATGAAGCTCAGGCTCAATCACTCCGTTTCTCTGCGTCTTCCTTGATGGTTCTTTGCTTTTTCTGTCAGAGTACGCTGATAACTCCGCTGTACTCCTTTGACAGCATTTGCTGACTTCTCACCGTGTGCCTTTGATTTTGACTATTGCTGGCCTATATTCTTGTCATCATGGCTCTGCCATCCCCTTTCCTTTTTTGCCTTTTGAAATCCATACTTAGCTTTTTGCTTATTCTTTTACGCAATCAACTCTATCAGTATCAATACATCCACTGTTAGCCCTCTATCTAATATTCTCGAATGTATCAATATACAATAGCAAATAACAAAACAAGGATCATATCAAGAACCAGCGAAGAAGCCGATGGATAGGAATCAGGGAATAAACATGCCATTCCTTCGACAGTAGCGCATATGCAATGGTGGCGCAGTTTCCCCATTATTAACTATTGACTGCATAGAATAATGGGCTTAAGTACAGCTGAGCGGACGAGAAGCCCTGTTCTCCACACCCTGTGGTCGTATGTACTAGCCATAGCATTGAAACAAAACATATACAATGAGCAAACAAATAATGACACATCTTGGTTTTTTTTCCCACTGCTTAGATTAACTAGATGCATTGTAGTATGCCTGATGATTCTACAGACTGTAGTTTCGAAATCCGTTCAATGAGGTATGCCAAGGTGCAAGGTCCCCCTTCTTCCCCCCAAGGTTACCAGAGCAGTTCAATATATCCGCCCGGGCATTTATGTTCGGACGGTACATATCTGTCATTTTCAACTTGTTTGCTCACTGCGGGCCCACATGCATGGGTCAGTACCAAGAGAGAAGACGGAAATTGATATGAACATTTAGATGCTATCTTTTAAGTCAAAGGCAGAGAATCAATTCAGATCTATAGTTTGGTCTTGGCTTATCATCTTGTAATCCGACGGAATTTACCTAGGTCTCGGATATGGGCCGAGGCAGGCCAATGTACTGGATCGGTAAACCCGAAGCTGCAATCATGACAGTATGTGTCATAGCTATCTGGGTGTTCTATCTTTCTAGGTTCATCTTGCGCCACTAACAATTTACATCAGAGATCTTTGCCGATTTAGTAAAAGAACCCGCTGACGTGGGGGGTTCGTTATGCAATTTTGGAAGGAAACCCGATACACTTCGAAAAATGGCGGCTGTGGCAATTAGTCTAGTTTCAGAATCTCCTCTTTTATATTCAATTGAGTTGATGTAAATCTTAGCTGTCCTTCAAATGCTCATCCTGGCCTGGGTTGTCACATGGTTCTCAATGCACTCATATTAACCTTTGGTTAAGTTAATTGAACATCGTGTCCTTGATCGTAGGAACAAGGAAGTGTTTATGGCTCAATTCATCGAAATTCTTCAAATATAAATTGCATGAAGCCCAAAAAGCCCACGCACGCTTCCCCTGACATTATCCGGGGACATCTCAATCTCGTGAAAGAGCGTTATCAATGAGGGAATTTTCTTGGAACTCTACGTATCTCACCTTCCTCCCAGAGTTGATATTCAACCAATGCCTTGGGGTCTAAAGCCCCGAGCCCAACAAGTATGAGAATCTCCGTCCCGATACTTTTCACTCCAATGGAAACGCACGTAGATGTCGGCTCCACTTCCGAGATATCCACCTCGTCAATTTGCGTCAACCTAAAACATCACCGGAAGGCTAAGAGTGAGGGAGGACCCGACCAGCTGTCAGGATTGCGGGGAGAATGCGGAGGTCGCGGCCTCATTGCCTGCTAGGCCATAAGCGGTATATCTTTGGAGTATCTAGCCCGGTGTATCCGGTCCATTTGAACAATCCAAGGTAGTCTATTGGATAACATTACTGATAGTAGGCTATTTAAGAATGCGGTGCCCACTTGGCCAGGAATCTTTTCTCCAGGACAAGTTCAACTTCTTTTGATACTAGCATTACAATGAATATCTCAGATTCAACTGGAACGAAGGACGATCTGAAGGAAAATCCTACAGAAGCCGTCACTCAGGACGTCGTGTTTGGTGAAATCACAGAGGATGGGCCAAATTATCGCAATGTGCATATGAATCACTGTCAACATACCCATGAATGCTAACAAGTTCTAGGTGGGATTTCCCGGGACTGTCATTCTGATGATGAAGACCCAGATTGGCCTCGGGGTTCTTTCAATCCCAACAGCTTTTGACTCCCTAGGCATTGTGCCGGGCATTATCTGCTTATGCGTCATCGCGGCTGTAACTACATGGTCCGACTACGTGATCGGCAGTTTCAAGCTCAACCATCGTGAAATCTATGGTATTGATGATGCTGCAGGCTTAATGTTTGGTACAATAGGCCGTGGAGCCCTCTCGGTGATTTTCTGCCTCTGTGAGTGTTCTAGATAGTAGAAGTTACAACCCGGACTAATTGCCAGTTCGATAGATTGGATATTCGTCAGCGGCTCTGGTATTCTTGGAATCTCAATCGGATTGAATGCAGTCTCTACACATGGCACATGCACGGCTGTGTTTTCTTTGGTCGCCGCTATTCTTGGTTTTTGTTGTAGTAGTGTACGCACGCTCGGTCGCATCACTTGGCTTGCATGGATTGGGCTTCCATGTATCCTTGTCGCAGGTATGCTCCCCCAAATCACTTCAATCCTACTCCACAACTGATTGACATGTTGCAGTCATGATTGTCACAATTGCTGTTGCCGTGCGAGATCGTCCAGCTGCTGCTCCAATGACCACGGAGCCTTGGGTCTCGGATGTGAAAATTATTGGCAACCCAACCTTTACAGAAGGCATTACAGCCGTCTGTAATCTTGTGTTTGCCTTCTCAGGGACACCGGGATTCTTCTCCATCATATCGGAGATGCGTGACCCACGCCAGTACACGCCAGCTATGCTAATTTGCCAAGCTGGTGTAACTGCTATATACTCCGTTGTTGGGTGTGTTGTCTACTATTACTGCGGCTCATATGTTTCCTCGCCTGCTCTGGGCTCGGCGGGTGGGTCAATAAAGCAGATTGCCTATGGTTTCGCACTGCCGGGTTTGATCGTCACTACAACTATTGTCACACATGTAAGCTTGATATGATGCCCGTGAGACTTTGAACCTTGGAAACTGTCGGCTAACTTGATCGCTCCCAGATACCAGCGAAATACATCTTCGTCTACCTGCTCCGCGGCTCTCGGCATTTGACCAGCAACAGTTTCGTTCACTGGGCATCTTGGCTGGGCTGCACCTTTGGTGTCACCGTGGTCGCATACATCATCGCCAGCAGCATTCCAATCTTTGATGCCCTGGTTTCCCTTATTGGTGCCTTGCTGGGAACGATCTTGTGCTTCCAACCCTATGGTTGCATGTGGCTATATGACAATTGGGGAAGAGGTAAAAGTAGTTCTCGGGCTTGGTTACCAATGGTAGGGTTCAGTATCTTCGTTATAGTCATCGGGACGTTCCTGACTGTCGCGGGAACCTACGGGTCAGTGGTTGGGATCATCGAGTCTTACAACCAATCAGGCGGGGTTAAAGCTTTCTCCTGTGCGGATAACTCAAACTCTACATAGAATTTGAAGAGACAACTACTTGAGGTAGATGAGTATCAACTGGCAGGAGCTGACTAAGAGGCGTTCCAGCTTCCAGCCCGGAATCCATCATTCGTAAGTTTAAGAAATATGATACCATCTCGGGATTGTCTCCTTCATAGTAGAGAAATCCAGATCAAGGCAATCATTAATGGTGTAATGATTAGTGAGAACGAACTGGCAAGTGAACACCAAGCAATGGTAGAGAGATTCGAGAAAATGTACAGAGTACAAAGTAAACGCGTTTCATAAGTAGGGGTCGGGAAGATTTCCCAATTCGGCATCCCTAACCGCCCTACTACAAAAGTGGACCTAGGGACACTCCGCAACTATGGATGTCGCCTCTCTGTACTTGGGATAGAATCATTTCTCATTTCTTGCTGTCTAAACCTATGCAAATTGTACCAGTCTGTATACTCTACACCCCCCCGAAGCCATGATTCGTCATGTCAAACCTGGTAGAATCGCGCTGAGCTGTCGAGTCGCTCTTCCATAGACGACTCGGGGACCAACTCTCCCTGCGATCCCTTCCGTCTTTGTTTCTTTTCCATCTTGATAGCTTTCTTCTGTGCTTTTGCCTCCTTCTTCTCGGCCCGGGTCAGTCTAGGGAAGGTCGAATCAGGACCCCGAAGAATATGACCCGGATGGAACACGTTTAGGGCGATTATTCCCAGGAACATGGGTGCTGCATCGAAAACGTATTCATACTCTTCATGAGTGAGGACCGGGTTACTGGCAGATGTCCCTTGCGCATACTGGGCCAGACGAAAGATGATACGGACCTCAAACTTTATGTTAGCCTGTCAGGTGTGCAGTGGGGGTATGTAACTTACAGTGATCATGCCCAAGACGAAATAGATCGAGTAGAACAGCCATCGCCAGGAGAATCTTCCGGTCTGAAGTTTCTCCATGCCAATTTGCCCGCCGGCCTCCATTTGAACCATTTTCCAGTGAAGATAGATTGCGAGGCCCAAAAACCAGAGGATAAAAAATTCTTGCATTCCAATGCCGCCCATGTAGATGTGCAAGCCCAGCATGACTGTCTTGGTTTCCGCGTCCGTGTTGGTTGTCAGCGAGGCGCCCCCGAGCTGAACCAAGAAGGCGACGATGTCCAGCACAACGAACACCATACCGTAGTGACGCGCAGAGATGCTGGCCAATTTACGTTCCGGGACAAAGAAATATATCATCCGCCCTAGAGTCATATAGATAAAGGTATTGATCCCTATGTGCGGATCGACCTAGATCAACAATTGGGTCGGACGGCGAGGGGAGGTGTGTACTCACAAATGGGTGCCAAAAGGAAAAAGATGACGTGGAGAGTACTGTATATCTCACTATCCTGATGACGTGTTTGAAGAGCTCGGAAGATAAAGGCTAGGAGCTCCCAGACTGCACCCATGATGAGTACCCAGGCATATCGCTGTCGATACATTGTTAGTTTGGGTTGGTAGGCGGCGCTGCATTCAGAAACAGTGGGCGAACCTTCTTGTATACAATGGCTTGAACCGTATGTAGCAAGGATACCAGGCCAAATAGAACACAGAAGAGGATGGCAGCTCCAAAAGACGGGACATAGTAGAGAATCACATCGCACGACTCTGGGGGGAGGTATCCATTTTTCCCCGGAGAGACAGTAACGCAGGTCGCGGTCGATGTCGCAGAGGCGGTTGCTGATCCGGTATTTGAAGCCATGTTGGATCAATGATTGAAGATGAAGTTGACGCATTTTGTCTGATCTTCCAGGCGATATTTAAGGACCGAATCTCTGAGCTCGTTCTATTTTTGAGATCGTATCCTTTTGAGGCTGTTCGGATCTTAAACGAACGAACCAATCAGAATGGCGCAGGCAACAGCTTAAAGCAGTGCTTAAATCAGTGCGAGAGTAAGCCAAGAGTCAGGCCAAGCTTGGGGGCCAACGGTGAGATGCCCCATTTTATACTAGACAGCCCTCTGATTGGTCGGTTCGTATAATCCCGTAGGCGGCTGTATTCCTCAAGGAGTTGAGTGTTGTTGGGTATGAGATGATCACACTTTCACTCCCAACCGTGCGCATTTCTCTTGAAATCAGTAGGATTTCCTCATTTTCCCCTTTGAATCCAGAGTTCAACTTTGTCGACGTTCAACTTCGACGTCCCCGGTGACTTCTGCTATAGCGCGACCGTGCCGACCTCTGCACCTGACTCTACCCCTCACCCTAATTCTTCCCAGTGCGCCCACTAGAGATCTTTGGGTGTCGCTGTGACTATGTCAGTGCCCTTCAAGAGGGAGTTCATTCTACCTTGGGAATAGCAGGGGAAATGGTCCGTCATTTAACAGTCATGAGACAAGACCCTGGGACAAATCCAAAAAAAATCCCGGAGCTCGGAAACAAGGAGACTCAGATGAATGAGCGGTGATGGACTTGGGACTTCACAGACTCGTTTGACAGCCAAGACCCCGATGCAAACAGATGCAAACGGATACAAACATGGATGCACCGAAGTGCAGGTACAAGGTACTCTCATCTCCTTACTCCGTATGGAGTAGCGGAAGAGACGAAAAAAGGTAGAAGGGCTAAGAATTTCCTTTGATTTCCATGGAGGGATTTCCCGATGTTCTCAGATTTGGAGATTGGGTTATGGGCCAATGAGAGCCAGCCCGGAGCCCATGCGCCGACGCAGGGGATCCAGAGGGATCGACACGAAAACAGAGCGTGGGTGACTTTTGGTTTTTTGTTCACCACGCAGGGTGGTGTCATGCAGCACATGCGACGGCAGGGGGTTCTGAGAGGATGTTGGGGGGGGGGGGGGGGGGGGGGGGGGGGGGGGGGGGGGGGCGGGGGGGGGCAGCGAGAATCCCACCTCACTGCCTATATAGCCAGACCGTCCCCGTTCTGTAAATCCTGTGTTCATTATATCCTCCAATTACACTATGGCGCGCTCTATACTTCTTGCTGCCCTCACCCTGGGCGCCTCCGCCCTGCCTGCCTCGTCCGGGATGAACAACATCAAGAACATTGTGGTCTTGGTGCAAGAGAATCTGTCCTTTGACCACTTTGCTGGTGGTTTGGACTATGACTCGAGCATCGATGGCCCGCAAAACTATTGCAACCCGGCCAATGTGTCCATCCCTGAGTCGGCCAAAGTGTGTGCCAACCCCATCGCGAAGAACATTGCCTCCGACGATCCCAACCATAGCATCTCGGGTGGAAACATGCAAGTCTTCGGCACCTATCACCCCGTCTCCGGAGCGAAGGCATCCATGGATGGCTTCATCAGTGAGCAGCGCGCCTCCTATCCCAAGGATGACCTCAACCGGGCCGCTGAAGCCATCAACTACTTCACCCCAGACCATATCCCGGTCTTCAACGCCATAGCCCAGAACTTTGTCCTCTTTGACCGCTGGTTCGCCGCCGTGCCGGGGCCCACCAACCCGAACCGGGCCTACCTGACCTCGGGTACCTCACACGGTCACGGAAAGAACGATGACGACTTCCTGACCTCGGCGCTCCCTCAAAAGTCCATCTTCGAGCAGCTCTCGGATAAGGGAATCACATGGAAGAACTATGAGAACTCGACCCAGTCGGACCCTGCGTTCTTGCCCGATGCCCTGTTCTATGACTGGACCGCTAAGAATGGCAAAGACAACGTCGTCCCGATCTCCCAGTTCTACACCGACGCGAAGGCAGGGAACCTGCCGCAGTTCACCTGGATCAACCCCGAGTGCTGCTCGTACATGTCGATGCACCCGCCCTCTCCGATCAACATGGGCGAAAACTTTGTGAAGGGCATCTATGAAGCCGTGCGCAATTCCCCGCAGTGGAATGAGACCCTCTTCATTCTGACCTGGGATGAGCATGGTGGCTTTGCCGACCATGTTTCCCCCCCGTCGGACGTCCCGGCCGGTGACAGTCTGACCTACTCCGAAGCCGCTGGGGATGGTAAGGAATACACCTTCCACTTTGATCGTCTGGGAGTGCGTGTTCCGACTGTTTTGATTTCCCCATGGGTCTCGAAGGGCGTGGTGCAGCATGAGCCCAGTGGAGGGAACGAGTTCACCCACACGTCCATCCTCAAGTTTGTATCCGAGCTTTGGGGACTGGATAGCCTTTCTCCTCGAGTGGAGTGGTCGCCTTCGTTCGGAAACTTGGTCACCAACAAGTTCCGAAGTGACACCCCCGAGAAGCTGCCAGAGGCAGCTGACTTCTGAACATAATCGTATAGTATATCCTGTTAATAGCCATACGCGGGTGTTTCCCGCGTGCATGAAATGATAATGACCTGTTAATGATTCCTTTCTGTTTTTTTTTTTTTTATCCTTTTCTTATCCTTCTACCAGTCCGATCAGGGGTGGTGACAAGCTGAGCGCAGAAAATATAACAGTATTATTAGATGAGACGGATACTGCTGCACAAGCAGTGCTTGGTCCTCAAAGTATATTAGTCGCGTCCGAAGGTAGGTAACCATGATCGACGGCCTGTGGTGGACTGCGATCGACGGGTGATGGCTGAGTTTTGGGTGTTCACGTGGTCTATGTCATAAGGATTGGCATCGTAGGCAGTGTCGATGCGTTCCAAAGATGAACGAGAGGGAATCGACGATGCATCTTCCGAAGCCCTCTGTTGCGAGGTGAGAGGTTCTGCTTTAGCTTCGGTAATTTCCTTATCCGCAGATTCTGATCTTTCTGCCTTCTGAGCCAAGCTGCGCATGAAGCTATCCGCTTCAGCGGCATACTTGCATCTGCGACGAATCACGGGCCCGTAGTGATAGAAGATGAATGGGAAAGGTGCACATGCAAGCGACAGGAATGCGGGGACGCATGATGCCCAATGAATCCCAAGGTTTTGATACATGTAAGTCGTGAAGAGAGGAAATCCAGCACCGAAGCATGAGCGAATGATGGAGTTGGCGGCAAGCACAGATGCCGCATATATGGTGTACGAGTCGATGAGATAGTTCATGATTCCAAGGAAAACGAATACCATGCCAAAGCCAAATGGAGCAGTCGCCAGGACACTCACTATCCATGGGATGGACTCCGAGTTTGTCCACGCAAACCAAAAGAGCCCAACGGGGATAGCAAGACCGCCCCACATGGTGGGAGGAAGACGGGCCTCGGGTGGCGCAAATCCACCGTGTGCCTTGTGAATCCTGACATATCGCTTGTTATCGTACATGTTGAGGCCAACAGCTGCCATCATGCCAATCATGACCGCTAGGAATGGAAGGCTTCCGACACCCTCGCCCCAACCACGGATGTTCTGGAAGATGATTGGGAATGCATCAAACAGCATATAGAGAGTGCCATAGACAATCGCCATGTAGAGTGAGAGTAGCAAAACGATGGGTTCCGAAAAGAGCAGGATCCATGGGCGCGATAGTGCTGCAGTGAAGGCATCCCGAGCTGATAGCCGACCGCGGTCTATCTCGAATTTGCTGCGGTAGACTTGCCCAGTAAGTGAGGATAGTCGATCGGCTCGCTTATTGAGCAACAGAGGCGCATAAGTTTCGGGGATCACAAGGCCCTGGACGATCCAGATCAGGCCCGTGAAGACGGCCAAGAACACCTGGACCCACCTCCAGCCCAGAAAATGATGGGCTGTCGCGTATTCACCCAGGAATCCCCCGACGACCGGACCCAGGGTAGGCCCAAGGAAGGGGGCCCCTGCAAACAGACTAGTCGCGAGCCCTCGCTTGTCTGCAGTGAAGATATCGGCAATGACCCCTCCGGCATTAGTCAGAGGAGAAGATCCGAATGAGCCAGCAAAGAATCGCAGGATGATCAAGGTCCACACATTTTGCGAGCCGACCGCGCCAGCACAGAACGCAGATAGAGAGAAGAATGTGATGAGGAACACGATCTGACGGCCCATGAGCTCACACAAGGGTGCCCAAAGGAGTGGCCCAACCGCAAATCCAAGTACAAACAGAGACACACCGAGCGTTGCCACCTCCTCGCTCACGTTGAAGTCTTTGATCACCTCACTGATACTGCCGGCGTAAGCCGAAGAGGCCAGTGATACCGCGAAGGTGGCGAAGGCGACGATGACTGTGTATATCCATTTGAGGCGTGTATCAAACCCCATTGGGTTGCGTGGATCATCGGGAATCCATTCGACTACAAAAGGATCTTCTTCAGTTCCAGAGCCGACGTAAGGATGATCGATGATTTCGGGGGTGACAACACCCTGGTCCGTCAGGATTCGCCAGTAGGGAATTCGTTTTGGGCGAGGCGCTTCAGCAGGATCGGTCGCCATGGTGAGTAGGCGTGTCAAGGTTGAATTTAGAAAGCACTCTCCCAAAGCGCTGGGGTTGAATTATCTGTTTCATTTCGGCAAAGAGGCATCTCATGATGACCGCCTACGAGTATATATTATACTCATGGGCCCATGTATCCACCAAGTGGAGTGACCATTGCAGGCATAAACCCACTCCTCGGTAAGGCTTCGGCAAGCCGAAGAACTGCTTCCATCGATCTTATTTGCTGCCGTGGACCGCGGTTGGTCAGTGGAGTTGGTTAGTGTGTATCTGTGTGGTCTCCGTATGTACTTGTACGTTCAGATCTGAGAAACCTGGAGGCTTTGCGGCTGGCATACATCGTGAATACCGGTCCAATTGAGATACAGGTACTCGACCGTGTGAGAAAAAAGAAGGTCGATGGAGAAAGCCCATTTCTTCAAATGGATCAATCGATGAGTTCGGCACATGGGAAACTCACATTGCCGGGTATTCAACGAGAACAGGGGGTTCTAGATAATCGGTGTGATTTGCACTGTTTGCACTGTTTGCATCGACACCTGAGAACGGCACATCACAGTACTCCCGAGGTCCGTACTCGCTTTTCATCATCACCCTTAGACTTGCACTTGCACTCTTCAATTGCCGGTGAAAACATGCTACCATGATCTCCACAGATTTGTCTCGAAGCGAGACAGGGATGTGAGGCCAAATGATACATAGGGCGGAGAAAAGCTTTCTCAAGAAGTCCGTTCCACGAATGGAATGGCCCGACCCATCTTCAATCGCCTCTTATTCGTGGCAATTCTCACGTCTTGCTAGGCAACCTCAGAAAGTCATGTCGATCTTTAACGCGAAACATACACAATTTCACGGAGCAACTTCATCAGTCTACTTTAGGCACGGCATTGGAGGGATTCATTCACCCCGCCCGCGCGACGTGGAGGATGGGGCAATTTCCCGTGAAACAGCGGACAACCTCGATATTCCACGGGTGTTAATTATAAAAGAGAGATGAACCAATTTCAAGACCTCCTAGCACTCAATCTACTTCATCCCGCATTGCCCAAAAGATCGCCTATCACTGCAACCTGTCAATCATGATTCCGGGTTCGAAGCTTCTCATACTCGGCCTCCTAGGAGCCGTGGTAGCACACGCACTCCCAGAGCCAGCCAAGGCTCAGGTTACGGCGGCTCCCAAGCTAGAAGAACGAGCGACAAGCTGCACTTTCTCTGGATCTGGTGGTGCCTCGTCAGCGAGCAAGTCCAAGACCGCTTGCGCCACAATTGTACTTTCGGCAGTGGCAGTGCCATCTGGTACAACCTTGGACCTGACTGGCCTCAATGACGGGACAACTGTACATGAAATCTCGATCCACTATCTTAGGTATACTGCTGACGACACTTCTCCCTAGGTGATTTTCGAGGGCGAAACCACATTTGGTTACAAGGAGTGGTCGGGGCCTTTGGTTTCGGTCTCAGGCACTGACATAACAGTCAAAGGTGCCTCTGGTGCAACACTCAATGGCGATGGAAGCCGCTGGTGGGATGGGAAGGGCTCAAACGGAGGCAAGACCAAGCCAAAGTTCTTCTACGCCCATAAAATGGTGTCCTCTACCATCAGCGATATTCATGTCGTGAATTCTCCTGTTCAGGTTTTCAGCATCAATGGCGCGACAGACCTCACACTCAGTGGTATTACGATAGACAACCGTGATGGTGATACCGACGAGGGGGGTCACAACACTGATGCATTCGACGTGGGGTCGAGCACGGGAATTACAATTAGCGGTGCCACGGTCTACAATCAAGATGACTGTCTAGCAGTCAACTCCGGAACGGTAAGAACATGAATCCCGTTGGTCTTGCGTTCCAAGCTAATATGTCGTGTTAGGATATTACGTTTACCGGCGGCCTTTGCTCCGGAGGACATGGCTTGTCTATTGGCTCCGTGGGTGGACGCAGCAACAACGATGTTGCCAACGTTATCATCGAGAACTCGCAGATCAAAGACTCTACAAATGGTATGTGTGCATGAAGGCCGCCGAAGCTTGTCAGGTCTTAACTGTTGGTACAGGCGTGCGTATCAAAACCGTCTATGAGGCGACCGGCTCCGTCAAAAATGTTACGTACAAGGACATCACGCTTTCGGGTATCACAAAATATGGCATTGTGATCGAGCAGGACTACGAGAATGGCAGTCCTACTGGCACCCCGACGGACGGTGTACCAATCACCGGCCTCACCCTTAATGGGGTAAAGGGAACAGTTGCGAGTAGTGGCACAAATGTTTATATCCTTTGCGCCGAAGGGGCTTGCTCCGATTGGACTTGGGACAGTGTCAGTGTGACTGGGGGCAAGACGAGCAGCGCCTGTGAGAATGTGCCGAGTAGCGCCAGCTGCTGAGTTATTTCTAGCTTACGCGAAGGTCAAACCAGTCAACTCCTCAAACTACAAGCCTGAATATACATAACATCTTTGACTCCTCAGAGTACACCCAAAGCAGAATTTACCCGAATTGGTCATATTGAGAATGTCCCGAGAATGTGGTGCCTTGTTTTTCAGGCCGAGAATGTGGAACGCGTCTACACACGCGCGATGAACTTGAGATCCCCACAGTACACACGTTCCTGAAGCGATTTCGGAAGCTGGGGAACAAAGGCCTTCTCCTCCTTTGTACGAGTATGCACAAGTGTACAAAGCATGGCATGCATGTCGAACGCGCGTTGAAACGGCTCATCATCCACAATTTGCCATCGGGGCTGAAGGCTACAGTTATGGATAGAGATCCGGTTTCTACTCGTGCAGGTTTGAAGATCAATCAATACGGAAATTATTCGACACAATGAGCTGAATGTTCACCAACCCCAAGGCTGACCTCAGGCCTAGCGTGATGAAAAAGCTTGCGTGAACAGGAATGCTACTGGTGAATCACCTCAATCATCCAAGCAAGGTCATTGAGCAGGGACCACTTCTGGTGACAATGATCTTCAACTAGCTTGCCAATCTCACCTTTTCCGCGGAATAAACTACCGGCCTGACGTACTGGATCAGCGAGAGCTCCAGGAGTGGTCTGAATATGGCACTTTCAGATACATTTCCAGTTCATCCTGTAGCCACAAGGCTTTGTGCAGCAAGGGAAAGGGATCCCGCCCAATCCCGCCTGAATTCTTCTCCCTTACTGGACTGCTGTGCCAATCACAGTGGGTCGGACACTTTTTGTATTGTGAACTTGGAACCTTCAAAGCCCATCCAACACGCTCTGCAGCACCCCCGATCGACATTCCATTGCCCAATCGGCCCCTAATGTGGGTAGCTTATGCAGCTGTTCAGTGGGGCGGCTTACAACACAGTTGACACCTCCCTAGAATCAATGCTGAGGCAGATCCCGCATCGGATCGGCGCTGTTTCAGGCCATACCGCACTACTTGTACAAGTGCAAATCATTCTACCCGCATATTCAACGTGTCAGTAAAGCTTACGTCGAGGACCGGTATATGCTGCTGAACAACAGAATATCGGATCAAAAACTCAAACAGCATTACAGCCTCGCTGAGGGCTAGACATGTGATCATTACGTCGTCCCAATTGGTACATCTAGGGATTCAACATCACATTACTGGGACCCCGAGACTGCCTGGATTCCAGGTATGTGCTTCTGCATGGATCCTAGCCTGCCAATTGGTAGATCCCCTTCAAGGAAATTTTATTTCGTCATGCTGCTAGCTTCCCGTAAGTTTATTTTGCTCTCGCACGCTGATCTTGGCTTCTTTGGCAATAAGCCGATGCTGTGATAAAGTCCTCAAATGGAGCCTATCCCACGTTCCCTCATGCACATATATTTCTTCATCTGAGAACCTTCGGATCACGGACCACTGCAAAGTTTCGCGATCTCCAAAATGCCTCAAGTCACGATGGAAGCCAAGGAATACACCACCAGCCTGGCGAGCCGGAGCACACCATCCGATCAAGAGTCCGACAGCCAGTCTATCATGGACGACAAAGACCTGCCTCCAGTCGATGGAGGCCCTCAAGCATGGCTCTTTCTGATCGCCTCGGCTATGCTTGAGGCCTTGGTTTGGGGTAAGTGCTCAATCATCACTGCGTGGTTATCTGAGGCCGAGTTAACACAAAACAGGCTATGCATTTGCATTCGGTGTATTTGAGGACTACTATAGCACACACGAGCCATTTCAGGGATCCGGGAACATTGCTAGTGTTGGAACATGTGCCATGGTGAGCTTCTACGACGAGGAGGCTATATATCTCAGTGCTGACCTAACATGCTCCAGGGCATCGCATATCTGTTGGCTCCAGGGGCCATTATCCTGATGATTTTGGTTCCCAAGCTTGCGCGCTGGGTGTCGACCATTGGAGTCGTTATTATGTGCTTGTCGTTGGCACTGAGCTCTTTTTCGACCAATGTGACGCACCTTCTTCTATCCCAAGGCATTGGATTTGGTATCGGTGGATGCTTAGCATATACACCCACCATTTTGTTCATGTCAGAGTGGTTCGTCAAAAGGAAAGGTCTTGCATTCGGCGTTGTCTGGGTAAGTAAATGTGACTCCTAGGAAACCATCTTGATAGGCAATCGCTAACTTTGGACACTAGGCCGGGTCTGGTGTGTCGGGCATCATTTTCCCCCTCGCTATCCAGTGGCTTCTGGGTAAATACGGCATTGCTGCAACCCTTCAAATATCTTCAGTGACCTTGTTCATTCTCGCCATGCCCTTCATCTACTTCCACCGCCCAAGATTGACCACCACGGAGATCGCGTACCATCGTCTCAACTTCCGCTTTTTATACAACAAAGTTTTCATCGTGTACCAGCTTGGAAACACCTTGGAAGCAGTTGGATTTTTCCTACCCACCATTTACCTCCCGAAATTCGCGCGCAGCCTAGGAGCTAGCGACTTCATGGCGTCTCTGACTGTGACCCTCGTCAACCTGTTCCAGGTCTTTGGGTCTGTCCTCATGGGGTTCCTCTCTGACAGGTACCACATCTCCACCTGTATCTTGATATCGACTGTTGGTACCGTTCTATCCGTCTTCTTTGTATGGGGCTTCGCTACAAGCATTCCACCACTCTATATTTTCTGTATCGCTTACGGTCTACTTGCGGGGGGCTTTTCCTCCACATGGGCCGGAGTCTCCAGCGAAGTTCAACGGGCCAACCCTTGCGCAGACGAAACTGTCATTTTCCCATTCATGGAAACAGGCAGAGGAATTGGCAACGTTGTCAGTGGGCCATTAAGCGAAGCTTTACTCAAGGGGTACCCTTGGAAAGGACGTGCGGCGGGAGCTTATGGAAGTGGCTACGGCGCACTGGTGGTATGCACTGGCGCCAGTGCCCTGTTGGGAGGGATCTGCGTGGTTGCACGTCAACTGAAGTGGATATAATTCAAATGCGGCTTTCGTTGTTGATGATTAGACTGTTATAATTATTTTCGTTTACTTGCGATCAAAAGGACATAAAACTTAGAATACAAATGAGCATATTGATAATTTTTACACATCAAAGAGTCTGCTACATACTCCGTACATTATGGGCTGTAAATGAAACAGCAACCTTGAGAACGATGCTTTGCGCTAATAACGAGAGATAGAAAATGCATCACGGACAGCTCGGCGACTGGTAGTGACCCAGCCCCACACCCTCCAGTACCAGGCCTTCGGAGGGTTCACTTCCTTTTCAAAATGCATGCGACCGGTATCGAGATCAGCATCGGCTGAACGCACAAAGGACGTACGATAGAAAATCTTATGCCCGACATAGAGCACCACGAAGACGATGATACAGATATAGGCGACGAAGAAGTCCGTCACTCGGAAATGCGGGATGAAAGAGGTGAAGCCTTGGGTCAAAGCGATGAGGACGTTGAAGAACAACCCGTACCAAGCCAAATAAGGTTGTAGGATGGCTTTGTAAGGGAGGTCATCACGAGAGATACCACGCTTTGACAACGCGCGCATGAATGCAATATGAGAAGCGTTGATGCAAGCCCATGTTACAAAGCCCGCCACGCTGGAGAGGTTCACCAGCCAGTTGAAGACTTGCCCGGCGGCGTTGGAGACATTCATGAAACCCAGCAGACCAAACAAGGCAGTGAAGCCGACACTGATGTATGGGACACCCGACTTGGTGACCCAGCCGAAGCAAGGGGGAGCAAAACCTTCGTTGGCCAATCCGGTCAGCACTCGACTACCGCTGTAGACGTTGGAGTTCGCTGCCGACAAGACCACAGTGAGAAGCACCGCATTGATCAAGCTGGGAAGTACCTTCACACCGGCCAGATCAGCTGCAATGACCATCGGGGAAGAGGAGGCGTTGGTTGTCGTTGTTGCCAGTCTGGGGTTGTCGTAGGGAACGACGAGTCCAATGAAAAACATAGTGAGCACGAAGAAGAGGAGAATTCGGACGAAGGTCTTGCGGATGGCGGAAGGGACGGTCTTCTGAGGGTTTTCGGTTTCACCGGCGGCCACACCGACCAACTCGGTGCCCTGGTAGGAGAAACCAGCTTGAATTAGGACCGCCCAGAATCCAACGAACTTGCCGACGGATTCCGGTGTGTCAACCAGGTAGGTCGCGAATGCTCCCGGGTGGTGCCAGTACTTAAAGCCAAGGTAACCCTGATCTCCTACTCCGCGATCAATGCAGATGGCAAAGATCATGAACCCGATCACCGTGGCGACTTTGATCGTGGAGAACCAGAACTCCAACTCGCCGTAGAAACTGACGGGCAGGAAGTTTAATGCGGTGATAAAGACCCAGAAGACTCCGATAAAGATGGCGATATTCAGGCTCGGATCCCAGTACTGAATGATTGTTCCCGTCGCAGTCAATTCCACCGCAAAGGTCGAGGCCCAGTTGAACCAGTAGATCCAACCCATGGAGAAACCCAAACTCGGATCGATCAGGCGGGCGGCGTAGGATGTGAAGGCACCGGGAATCGGGATGAAGGTTGCGACTTCACCCAATGAGCTCATAACAGAGTAGACGATGGAACCGACGAATAGATAGGCGATAAGCGCTCCGGCAGGGCCAGATTCTGCGATAGCAGTGCCACTGGAAATGAACAGTCCTAAACTGTGGTTAGTTGTCGTCTTTGTGGCGTGCGCATCGTCAAGTACCTGTGCCAATAGTTCCACCTGGGATACCTCGTTAGTCCATGTGTGTAACCGCTGTGAGGCCAAGCGCGAGACGTACCGATTGCGATCATCTGCAGATGTCTGCTCTTCAGCTTGCGCTTCAGTTCCCGGGTTTCCGAGCCCTCAGCGAGGCTCTGCTCAGCGTCGGAAGCCTTGGTATCTTTGAATTCATTCTTGGGCTGTGAAGCTATCGCAGCCGAATCTTTGGCATCGGCATACACCGAGTTGTTTTCGTGCGAGGCCATATTGGACCACCGACAGATCAGAGATCAGAGATCAGATGCCGATCTCCAGAGATGTGTGTAAGTGAAGTGCAAGGTCTCCATAATAATATTTTTTCATTCCGTTTTCGCTTGAATGTCTCGGTGGGGTTCAGACGTGGAGAAATTTTCTTCGGTCCGGAAAGCGGCACGGGCAAGTGGCGAGAGGTTGCCACTGGGGGATTTGGTGATTGATATCACCATGTAGTATTGATGTTGGACATTGAAGAGCATTGGGAGATAGTATTGGTGTTATGTTGGCTCTGTTGTGGTTTTCGTGGACTCGTCACAAAATCTAAGACCGTTTCCGGCTTGATGGCTCAGAACTCATTGCGCCCGAAACACCTGAATCTATCACTGCAGCTGAGTTGGCAGACAATATCTTTTTTTTTTAACGGAGTTCTGAAGTCGACAGAATACCACAGACATCGTGTTTACCGTGTGCATTCCACAAACGTTTGACAATGGACTTGTGTCACATCTCCAAATACGAGCTCTAGACTCATCCTAGATCTTGGCCTTGGACACAGTCTTGTTGAACCCAAAGAGATACGCACCAATCTTGCGCATTTGGATCTCCTCCGCGCCTTCGGTGATCCGATACCGACGGAAATGACGATAGATGTGCTCAAAGGGAAAGTGGCGAGAATATCCATCCCCTCCGTGTATCTAATCCATGGATCAGGTTAGTGCTGTGTCAACAGCCAAAACAGAAGGCGAAAGGAGAAACCCTACTTGAATCGCGCGATCAGCAGCTTGACAGCATAACCGATTTGCCCAAAAGTTACACATGGCGACTTGATCGCCCAGTCGACGTTCAATTGCAACCCACGGGGGCCCATCGAGCTGAGGGTCAGCCATAATGCGATCCATCTCCCAACTGGTCTTGAAGATGAACAGTTGCAACATCTTCACCTGGGTCATCAATTCCACCACCGGGAACTGTATCGCCTGGTGGTCCGCTAACGTCTTGCCCTCACCCCAAATCTGCCGTGCTCGGGCGCGTTCAATGCTGCGGTCCAGGCAATACTGAGCCGCCCCACAGGAGCTGGCGGCCTGTCGAATACGATTTTCATGGAGGAAGGTCTGCGCGATGTCGAGACCGGCGTCGACACGTCCTAAGACCGCCGATGCAGGCACCCATGCTCCGTCCAACTCCACGGTCGCATGGTCGGTCGGCATATTAAGCGTCCACTCATAACTGGCAATACGAACTCCCCGGGTCGCACGAGGGACCAGGAACGCGGTGATTCCGCGGGTTGAGCCCGGGGAGCCCGACGTTCGCGCGAAAATGAGAAAGTGGGTACAATGATGCGCTCCTGTCTGCCACTTCTTCGCCCCGGTGATTTGAAACCCGTCGCGAGCGCGGCGCGCGGTGGTGGACAGGAACGTGGCATCACTCCCATGGCCCGGCTCTGTGAGTCCGAACGTCGTTCTAAACTCCCCCCGGAGGCGTGCCTCAATGAGGGTCTGCTTTTGTTCCGCAGTACCAAAATGGTGGAGCATCAAAATATCCGGAAAGTTGCCCACTACACTATGTTCGTTTTGCAGGTCATTCGCCAGTCCCAGACCCCCACCATATATCGCATGAGATGACAGGTGATAGCGAATAACCGACATCCACAGGTTCGTATTGGGGTGGGACTGTCCTCCGTAAGCACGGGGTAGGGCGAATCTATAGAAACCCGCCTCGTCGGCCAGCATGCGAGCTTTGTCTGTCACAGAATCAACCATCAGCCTGGGACAAATCGGTGCACTCAGTTTGCAGGACTTAGTAATTCTTCCCACTCCCTCTTGGGATTTCCGTGATTTTCCCAATCCGTACGTGCATACTCTCGGCGATGGTCGAAGAATCGGTTATTGTCATCGGAATGCTGGAGCGGCAATAGGGTGGATTGGATAAAAGCATCCAGAGATTCTATGTAGGCGTTGAGTTCGGTTGGGATCTCAAAATTCATGGTGACAGTGGAAGGAATCCAGTCAGGCCACTTCGGGTGCAGTTATACTCGTAGATGCCCAGGTGTCTTCCCCGCATTCGGACCTCGGCGCACAAGAACAATTTTGGGTGGTCAGAACTTCCTTCAGATTCTTGTTGATGACATGAATTGAATGACAACCCCTTGGAGAACCTGGAGTAACACCTGAGAGACCTACAGGGCTGGAGAAAGTACTCGAGTGTTTGGGATATTGGATGATGCCTGGCTCTTCAGGCACCAATCGCTTATAAGAGCCATACCTAAGTATACGGGTACTGCTTGAACGTTCTTTGAGTTGTGCCACTGCCATTACTTTTAAATTTGAGTAGATGCAAAACATTTTCCTGTCCTGGGTGCCAGGTGTGATGCCGATAACGCTACTTGGTACACCCCAGGGCGAAGTGTTTAAGTATTTGAGGGACTGATCGGGAATATATTTAGGGCACATTTGGAGTTTCAAGGTTCCAAATTCGATAGCCCTGGAGGTTAGCTCTAGAGTACTTAAGTACTTAGTCACAGGAATTGTAAAGAGGCAAAGCAAGCAGAATAGCGATCAGTGCATACCAAGCCAGAAAAATAATACAGGACTGCCTAGGTGTCCAGGTGAGAGAGGCTAGCCTAGCGTTGACATCGAGGTTGTGGGTGTACGAAGTGCAAAAGCTAAGGCGGTCCAATCAGGCAATGAGGCAACGAGGAGGCAACGAATACCGAGGTGCAAAGTAGGCAAACTTCCATGGACGGCATGCAGAGCAGTCTCCAGCACCCGGGACTCGGGAACTTCAGGTCCTGCTTGTCTACATGTCCACTTTGTACTCGAAGTTCTACTTCAGCCCAACGAGGAGAGATCGGCTCAAAGCACCTAGACCGTGCTGTCCACCACAAAGTTGCAGGTTTGTACTTAAGTAATGCCCCAGAAATATCAATTTTAGGATGATCCTGGCTTGTGGTCCTGGCTTGGAGTCTGATGCTTGGTGCAATTCTGCTCAGGGTCGCATTCATGGATATACTGAAGTAATCTTCACCTAAGTAAGAAGAACTTTGCAAAAGCACCCCACGCATTGACATTTCCACGTGGGTCAGGCCCTGCAGATACAATATGCATACTAGTACTACGTTGTAGAGACCAGATTGCATGATACAAAAAATCTTGGAAGACGAAGACCGATAGGGTGACAGGTGTGAAATCCACCTGGATGTATTCGTACAGAGTACAGAGTAACTTTAAAAGGAATATTGACAGAAACTTCCCGAGGTCGTTTCCTGGCCCTGTTTTATCCCTCTTCTCTCCCCCTTTTTGTAATGATTGGAGCAAGTGTGAGTGGAGCCTTGATCGCCTCAGGGTTGAGAGGAAATGACAAGGTTTCATGATTCAGGATTTGTGAAGAATGGCGTTGTGCAGTGGATAATGTCATTGTGCCGCCTTACCCTAATAGGATCGCCTCGAGACGACCGTTGTCTCCACAGACCCCTGACGCGACACAAAACACCAGAACACAACACAAAAGAGAACAAGTACAGAGTCAGAGCAACCGCAGTACTCCGTATCATTGAGCATGCGAATATTTTATTGACTTGGGAGGGGGTGGGGGAGTCCCCTCCTGCGCTTGGTCCTCATGTGGAAAGGTTTCCAAGGACCCGTGCCCTAGAAAGAGTTTCGAGGATTACAGTTCCGAGCCGCTTCTATGGAAGACTGTCAAAGATCTTCACAGCTCTGGACCCATTGTTCAGACCCACGGCCGAGTTAGCGTTCAAAACATCAGCCACCGGTGCTGCCACGGCGGTGCCGCGATAGGTTGCTGCCACCCGACTAATGCACAGCGCCCCAGATGTTCTTACCTCTACCGTCCGGATGGTGAATAGTACGACATACCATGGCACCGACACAGCGGACTCCAATCAGCGTCTGGCAAGCCCGAAGCTCAGGAGCATAATGTCTTTTTGTCTGACAGGCGTGGGGCGACAGAGCTTGCCCATAAAAAGGTCCCGCGACCGGGGATTGCGAGGCGAATGCTGACCCCCCCGACTCTTGGATATACCACAACGTCCAATCTTCCATACGAGTCATGGTGTGGTGGCAGGAAATGATCACACAGCCCATCCTCGCGTTGAGTGCGGCTGGGGTGCTATATGCAGGATGGTTGGCGATATCTCGATTATGGCTCTCCCCTCTCGCTCGGTTCCCCGGCCCGAAGCTGGCTGCGCTGACGATGTGGTATGAGTTCTATTTTGATTCACTCCTAGGCGGCCAGTACACCTTCCAGATTGCCGAGATGCATCGCAAGTATGGCCCAATTGTGAGAATCAGCCCATTCGAACTGCACATCGACGACCCGGAGTATTACGATATCTTGTATTCGCGTGACAAGCCACGGAACAAATCCCTCCACCTGACGGGGATGTTTGGTGCACCCGCCTCGGCATTCGGATCAGTCGATCACCGTCGCCATCGCATCCGCCGGCAACCCATGAACCCGTTCTTTTCTCAACAGCGTATTCGAACCTTAGAGCCCATGCTCCGGACGATGGTGGACAAGTTATGCACAGGGCTCCGAGCGTGGAAAGAAAGAAATGTCCCGCTTCATCTGTATCATGCGTTCAATGCCTACACAACGGATGTGGTAGTGGAGTACTCGATGGGCGAATCATTCCACTACCTAGATGATCCAGACTTTACCCCACAATGGTCGAAAACCATCGAAGCCATCGTGGAAGTCGGAGTACAGTTCAAACAGTTTCAATGGGTCATTGGTCTGTTCGAGTTGCTTCCCCGCTGGGTCGTAGTATTAATCAACCCGGATATTGGCCCTGTGATTGACCAGAAGGTCGAGAGTTTGCGGTTGGCCAATCTGATTATAGACAGCCAGACGAATGGAGGGAACCTCACGGACCAGAAATCAACCGTGCCAAAGGGCACTTTGTTCCACGCATTGCTCAACAGCAAGCTTCCTGCGGAGGAAAAGGCACCTGACCGCTTAAGTCAAGAAGTATTCACGGTAATTTCGGCCGGAGGAGAAACAACAGCAAAAAATTTGTCCACACTGAGTTTCCATCTTTTGAACAACCCGGATAAGCTGCAGAGGTTACGGGAGGAGCTAGATCGACTTGATCCCGATGGAACGGCATCTCTGGTTGAATATGAGACGATGCCTTATTTGGTATGCTTTGAGATCATTTCCGCTTGTTCGGGGGAGCATTCACTGACTGAGCGGATTGCAGACATCTGTCATGCTCGAGGGCCTTAGGTAAGAGCGCTTCACTTGACATCTTGCCATTGTCATGATAATATACTAATCAAACACCGAGTAGACTTACCAATGCTGTTGCGACCAGGCTTCAGCGTAGCTCCCCAGATCAAGTCATGATGTACAAAGACTGGGCTATACCTCCCGGTGTAAGGAGTTTTATACCTGTTAATTGATACTTGATAGCCCTTTGCTAACCGCCTCAACCAGACACCCGTCGGCATGACAAGTATGTTCTTGCATCATAATGAGGACATATTTCCCAATGCGCAAAGCTTCATCCCAGAGCGATGGATGGACCCAGAGCAACGAAAAGCGCTCGAGAAATATCTCGTGCCCTTTAGCAAAGGATCAAGACAGTGTGTTGGGATACCGTGCGTGAACCTCCCTTGGCGACAAATTTGGGTTATTGAGACTAATATGAAGAATTACATAGCCTTGCGCGGGCGGAGATCCTGTTGGCGATTGCCACGATCTTCCGAGAGTTTGAGATGGAGCTCTACGAGACTACCATCGATGATGTGCGGATAGTGCGAGATATGTTCAATGGTCACCCACGGAAGGGAAGCCAAGGTGTTCGTGTCATGATCAAGGGCTGGAATGGAAATTCCGGGGTAGGTGGGACGCTTTGAACAGCCCTTTCTAATAAAGGCGCGGGAATCTTAATGACTATTTGACTGCATGATTCACTGGTTTTCACAGACCACTATGCCAAAATTCACGATCAAAGAAGTTTGAGAAGGTCCTACTGTTGCCGATAGCCCAATGTTGTCTCTAGAAAGGAGGACGCAAGGGCAATAGCAGACACTCAGAGAGATCATACACCTTACTCATAGGTACCTACTCTGTACATACAGCAGGGTTGAACCCCGCGAGACGTCTCCAACCACATCCACAATGTAAGAGATCGTTCGTGAATTGCAATGCGTTTCTCCTTGGCGGCTGTGAATGGGAATTCCTCACAATTGCGAATCCACCTGAGCACTGGCCAAGAATGCGGCAAAGGTTGGGCTCCAGCCCCCCTTGCTGTCTATTCTCCGCTCCGGTCGAGAATGAAATCCCCGTCAAGATGGCATATTTTCAGGTTCCAGAACGGGCCTGATTAATCCGCCAAATCTTCCCTGTGGTCTAGGGCTCAACATTTGATTTCAGATGTCGTCCCAAATCCAGATAACCGGGCCTTTTCAGGAAGTCTGTGGGGTTTCCTGCACGGCAGTGTTTTGGCCACCTCTTATCGGCTCGGCTTTGGTCTCATATGTTCGGCCGAGTGAGAATCTGTAAACTACTTCGTACATGAACCTCAATCGGGTCACCAGAATCATCACTCAACACCGAGGAAGAGGCGAGAGGCCTTCCTGGGAAGCTTGGAAGCATACACGGCAACCCAGTCCTTATTCTCGCTAAGTTCGTCCCAGAACTGAGTCCAGGTTCGTGACGTGAAACGGCATATCTGGTACCACTGCAGATATCCTCTCAGATGCTTCACCAATTTTTGGCCCTGTGTAACGGCGTCCCTAACCTCTAATGCACCTCGTACCAGGGCTTTGGGGGTTAGACTTCAGAAGATACAACAGGAATTCCCCTTGGAAACATGTCCGCATGGCCGCATGTCATACACCTGTTGTGAGAGGTTCCGTTGGAAGAGCCCGACCCTTCGAAATTGTAGCAACGCTGAAAGTTGAGCGAATGGTCAAATGTAATTAGGTTCTAGCACATGGTGAATCATGGCAGGAAGATCATACAGATGCAGTGACACCTATCCACGCGCTTTCATGATCTATTGCCCACGCGCTGATTGAGAATAAAACCGCTGTACCTCAATCCTGAAAGTCTGTTTTAATGTGCTTCCCTTAGACCGGAAGACTTCATTGCCTCCATTTATCTACGCATATCATTGTGGTCAGATCCATCAATTCTTACCAGTCCACCCACTCCACCCTCCGTTTACTCTTTCCTCTAGCCTGAGGATGCATCCGGCTCACAACTATCGTCACTCCCGGAGATCTGCTTGCGATCGTTGCCGTGGACAGAAGCTTCGATGTGAGCGTGCCAACATGAATGGGATGTCTTGCGAGCGTTGTCTGAAAGCACAAGAAATATGCATCACAAGTGTAAATCATCCTGCGGCCGTTCTATCCTCAAGCCCCGGCCAAGATGTTATCTCCAACCAGCAAGATGGCCCTGGGTTCATTGGACGTCCTGATCCTATGGCGCTACTCCATAAATCCTTTGCTCCCAAAGTGGGAAAGTCGGTACCTCTGTCTGCGTCGGACATGGGAAGGCACCGCTCAAAGATGCATAGCTACTGGAACGAGCCAGCTGATTTGTCGCCAGCCCCAGGAGGCGATTTATTTTTACCACCCAACGAGGGGGAGTTCACCCTGTCTCATGACCCCGGGAGTCTTCCCGTGCCGCCGCAGCTCTGGGGAGACTGGAATCCATATTGGGCCCTTGGACCCCAAAATCTTGCAAGTTTACTTGACTTCAGAAGTTGGTGACCGATTGCTGATCGTTGGATTGCGTACAGGACTGCCCGGAAGACCTCATGCCAGAGCAAATGTATCGCCACGAGGGATCAAATGCGAGTACCTCAGCATTGACCAATGAGGACTGGTGGAATAATTGTATCTACAATGAAGCCCCAACAGGAGTATATGTGGAAACCCAACAGTTGAATTGCGTGGGACCTCCGCCGGCTGTATCATCAAGCAAGGTGCCAGAATTCGACTGGGCGACTTATCCGGATGTCATAAATGTCGAGCAGCCGCTTCACCCGCAAGTCTATCAGCAGAGAGTACCAACTCAGCAAGAAATTCGAAAATCCTTGCTAAAGCTAAAGGCAGAACTTCTTCATGATCTGGATTTGCTCGATGACGGCTCCTATGGTTTCACGCCCCCGTATCATGCACAGGACAGTTGCAATCCCTCAATGGAAACACTCAATCTTCCCATAACTCAATTGTTTCACCATTCATCTTGGCTTTTGGAAATTGTGCACTCCTTCCGTGGCACAAGCAATACATCCGACGATGAATCTGGCTTGGCCCTGTCGACCCAACTTTATCCGACTCAGAATTGCCATTTCGAAGGTTCAATCAGCAATAATTCAGATTCTGGCGAAAGTGGCTTAGAAGAAAGTGCAGCCATATCATCCCCTACTGATTCAGGATATCAGACCAGGATCACTTCTCCTGGTCAAACGACGCTCCCATCTTATGACGTAACGCTATGGCTTAGCGTCCTCGAAGCACATTGCTATTTAGCACGCATCTATCGCGCTATTTTCACTCGTCTGTATCAATTGTTTCTTATCATCCCCCCGAATGAAGCGGATGGATTTTTACTGTTGCCAGCACTCCGGCATGGACCTACCCAATTGGATGGAAATTTCACCAAGCAAGTAAAGACACTTGTTGAGATTGGCTCTACAATGATGGGCGAAATTGTAGTCGCACTTAGATGGTGCTCTGACTACGATCAAGCTCACGTGGATGGGGAGTTCAGTGTGCTCGAAAGAACGTCTGAGAATAGTTGGACAACATCTATTCGCGAATGTGTACTTGCACAGGAACAAGACCCATGTGAGATGCCTTTGGTGGATATCATGAAGTGTTTACGCCAACTTCTTAGAGATACGGTGGTTCCTTAGACACTTGAGAAATTAAAATTTAACGATTTATTATGCTGTACTTGAGATCTCTCGCCACTTGACGAGACTGTAAAACTAGACCTTTGAGTATGCCAGACCCACGAAGAGCCCGTGAGTCATGTGGGGATGGCAGATAATATTCCGAGGTCAGAAACAGAAGGTCAGTTTTGTAATCTTGGATATCATTTTGTGTTTGAATTTGAAAGACATGCCAGCCAGGCCAATTGCCATACTAACTTAGTGCATCAGAGTGGTCGGAATGGGATGATTGGATCCCCCTAGGACCGATTTAGTCTTGCCCGAGAGCCGCGCCCTTTTGCATATTTCAGACTTCAGGAAACCCAACAGGATATCCTGGCGACTTTCTGTCTGGCACATCCATTTTGATTGGAATGTTCAACTTCCCACGCACATGTCGAGTTTCAAACTGAAACCTCCGAGCACAGCTCGAATAGTTAGTACTACCTCAACATCTACAATTTAGCTCCGAAGGCAATTGGAATTGCGAGGTTAGACTGTATAGATAATAACGAAAATGCTGTAGGGCTGCCTACAAAAGACGGCAATCTCGCACTGGCAAAACACGCCTCGCACCCTACTCATCCGTTCTACCGCCCAATAGCATAGCAGCCTAAAATGTCGGCTTTGAACCAAAGTAACATTCCAGACCTCACTGGAACCTGGGTTTTTGTTAGTCTCCCTCATCCCCAGGTATAGTTGCAAGTACTAACACAAAAACTAGAATCGAAAATTGTCCGATGATCCGGATGAAGTTTTTGCCTTGGTAAGAAAGACAGCGAAGGCCACTTTGAAGTATAACTTTGCTAAAATAAAATGGCAGCAAGGGGTATCTGGTATCATCCGGAAGGTATTGAAATATGCTCGGCTTTCGTTGGAAATTTGCCAGACAACTGGCCCAGTCGAGAGTCCCAGCACAGATGAAACTCGCAATGGAGATGCTTTTGTGTCCGGCGAACCCACGGTAACATCGCTTCAAGTCAAGCAAATCGTCAATCCTGGCGGATTCGACAGCCAGGGGTGTTACATCGTGGATGGACGGATGCAGGATTTGACGGTGCCAGTTTTCGGCACTGTTCGGACGCAGTTGAAGTTTGTTGATATCCACGAAGTTGGTGACGACTCAATTCGTCAAGCATTCGAGATCGCAAACTACAGCGAGAAAGTCATTCAAGAACTAGCCCACGACATTCCGAAGCCGTCGGCTCGCGATCAGTCCAAGACCTGGGAGGCAGAAGTTATCTGGGCATTCGAAAACATCGACGGAAAAAGATGTCTGACCCGGAATGTTAGCATAGTTGGGGGCGAGAAAAAAATCACCGTGAAGATGATCTATGACAATCGGGTCTGATTCCCCTCCCACATTGTGAGCGCCTGCTCTTCTGTGAAAGGATTGAATCCAGAGAAGAAGTCCAGAATTTTAAGAGCTTCAAATTTCATTTACATACTGCTTGAGGTACTTGGAATTAAGAACCGCATTTTAAATCGTATTTGGCTTTTTCTTTTGTGATTTTTTAATCACTTCAGTTTACAAGTAAGACCAGAGACCTGCGAGAATAGATCCTTGAATAAATCGTAAGCCTTAGCGGGGACCAGAATAGCACAGAGGCAAGTTTAGATTAATACCTGTGTATCGATAAAGCGATGTTAAGCGACCAGGACTTCGCAGATTCAAACGTTGATGTTTGCATTTATGATCTAGAGATAATCCGAAGCTCCTAACCGCCCGCAAGGAGAACTCTACATATCAATCATAGGCACGACGAGCTTTTTACCCGACACCTTCCCATTTCGAAGCAAATCAAGTCCCTCTAAGATTCCTTCAAATTTGCCGCTGAGGACTTGCATAGGACATGGCTTCAGCTTTCCCTCATCAATAAGCTCTTGAACGATACGGTACCATTTACGAGCCCAGTTACCGATCTCGGGCCGGGGGGCAATCCCATATGGCTCTGGGAGCTCAACGCCTTGTCCGGAAATAGCACCTCCCATCACTAGCTCATGCTTAACAGTCTTTCGAGTGCAAAGGCTCTCCTGATATTGCTCGAGGGCACAATACCTGCCCCCTGTACGGCCTATGGCCGCGTAGCATAGCCGGACTGTCTTTGCTTCCGCAAATGGATCAAGGGCGAAGCGCAATGTGTTTTTGGTAGCCACCCGGATGTCTTCGGCACAGGTAGGCGAGCTGTAATCAAACACCAAATCAGCTCCGTATGATCGAACCAAATCAGTGTTGTGAGGTGAGCATGTAGTGATAACTCGGTGGCCACAGCTAAAGAAACAAGGTCAGTTCGATGTTGGGAGATGCGCAAAAAGTGGGAGTAATACGAACAGTTTGACCATCTGGATTGCTAGAAGTCCGATAGTGCTGCTTCCTCCATAAATCAGCACATCCTCCGCCTTGGCTGCAGGTGCCTCAAAGGTCCCAGGCAGCTGAAGAGACCAAAAGAGTGCTACTCCTAGTGTCGCAATGCCAGTTCCCGATATGGATGGAGCATCTGTCAATGCCATCCCCTTTGGAACTCGGAACGCCAGCTCGGGATCCGTCCGCACGTATTCGCAGTACGCCCCAGACATGGGATCGGAGAGGTTGGACCCTTGAACAGCACCAAAAGCCATGTCTCCGACACGAAACAGCCCTTGCGCAGCTGCCTCGCTCCCCAGTGCGACAACTGTTCCCGCAAAGTCACAGCCATCCCAAAGGCCAGGGGTGGGAAATCGCAACGGCATCTTGAAATCACAAGGGTTGAGGGCCACAGCAGTGGTTTTCACCAGCATCTGGTTGGGGGAAAGCTCAGGAATGGGAAGGCCGTGAGTGATCCTGAGCGCTCCATTTTCGTGCTGGATAATAGCTGTCTGAGTCTTAGGGAAGCTGCCTGAGGCCATCTTGAGACGTTGATGAAGGCGAAAGAATTTATGTGGCTGCTACTAAGTAGCTCTTTGATCAAGATCCGCACCTGTGCCTTATATAAATATCGCAGACAGTACAGGACAGATAAAAATATAATCAAGATGACTGGTTGTGCAACAAACGGACCTGCGAATGCAACATTACGATGGGATCGAAATCTCCTATGCTGGTCAGAACGAACATATTATCAACAATTGAAACAGGGTTGGATTTGAAAGTAGAAACCACTTGTTTAGCGAGCGACTGGTGGCGTAGAGTGTCCGGCCTTTTCTTAAGATTTGTGGGATTGGCTGCAAGGTTCGCTATGTGCTGAATCCTCAGTCCGAACCAAATGAAGATGAACGTTAAGTCCCAACGCAGGATTCCTATCTTCGCTTCTTGGGGATCAAATTATATTCGGGGTGGTTTGCCCTAGCCCCGAGTAGATAGCCCGATATCCTCGATCTCTCTCTCCTCTTGCCGGGTAGGCTCAACAAATTCAAGTAAGTAACAGAAACGGGGGAGAAAAGACAGTGTTGAAATTCACAGACCTAGAAAAGCCGGGGTTTTGGCCCTTCGGAAAGGTTCTTTATGTTTACACAACTGTGAGAAGCTATAAGCACACACGAAAAATCGAAAGGATATGTGTGTTGTTGGGTTCAGGGGTTTGGAGGAGAGTATTGTGGTAGGCTGCGTGACCCCGTAACCAGCATAATTGATCTCAAACCTCATGATGCGAGTAATTCAATAACGTAGAACCAAGCAATGAGACTGGATGACGCCAAGTCGAATTGCGGATGAGTTTCCTGAGAATGGGTTGCCATCTGGGATTATTAGGCCATGGTAAGAAGTAAAAGAAGAAAAACCCAGGATAAAACTACTAAAAGTATCTCACTTCTAACAAAGAATACTCGCTAACATTCTAAAAACGCCGAAGAAGCAAGCTAAATACAAAGTTGATGCACAGTTCTAGGACATGTCAAATTTCCGTTACAATCCTCATTCGTGTGTCAAAGCCCCATTTCCTTTCAGCAACCGTGGAAGCAAAACTTGTCCATCGGAGGATCTGCGTAGATATTCACCGAGCAGTTGACTCATTCCTGCGTTTTCAGCAGCAACAACCCAATCTTCAAGAGGAACAACCTGGAATTCGAATCCGGTTCCAGACTCTAGGAGGGGTATGATCTCATCACGGCCGATCTCCATTTCACCAGACTCATAGCAATAAGTAACGCCACTCCCTCGCGACATGGAAACACTAGACTCGTAGACGGCCCTTAGAATTTGACTTGCGGCCGACTCCACAGATATCAGATCAAAGACCCCGGTCCATGAGCTCGAATCGGGCAGTTTCTGCGTCTCTTTGGCGTATCGCATGACATTGCCCATCAAATCAAGTTCAGGGGCATCGGTGCCGGTAATGCTTGACGGGCGGTGGATCCACAGAGGGAGCGCGTATGCTTCATGGATGTGCTCCAAGTAGACCTCACTTACCCACTTGGCAGCAATATATCCATCAGTTGGTGAAGACGGGGGAGGATAAGATGCCACAGAGACCTCCCCAAAGGTTTCCTGGCCAGCAAGACGCGCAACGCCGGCAGTGGAGATAAAGTGGAATGGAATTCTCCGAGGCAAGGCAAGTTTCGCGAGCTCCTTAGTCGATGCAACATTGATAAGGTTCAGTGACTGGTATGATTTCATGAATGACACGTCAGCCCCATTGTGAATGACTATGTCCGCAGAGGAGAAGATGGCGTTGGCTTCAGGGGCCGAGAGCCCTAACAAAGGGGCCCCCAGATCTCCAAAGTGCAAGCGAACCTTTGGGTGAGCGAATAAGTCGGGAAGCGCGGAAGATCGTTTTCGCACTGCGAGACAATGGATCAAAAGGACTCTCTCATCATTTAACAAAAGCCGAAGGACTTCCTTTCCAAGGAACCCGGTCGCACCGGTAAGTACCACGACTCCGACCCCGGAGGGAATGACTTGGGCGTTCCCGCCATCCATAGATGGCGCGGCGTCCGGTGCAACTCGAACTTCAGCATCCCAATCCACATTTTGTTGGGGCTCGGGAGTAGAGCTGCTTTGGATCTTGGCGGCCATCGCATTCAAAGTGCTTGATTCAAAGAGCTCATACAAGGCCACAGAGATGCCGAGATGCTCTTTGATAAGCGCCTGCAGATTGACCAGGGCGATGGAAGACCCACCGACGTGGAAAAAGTCGGATTGTGACTCAATTAGGTGAAAGCTGGCGACTTCCCGTGGAAGCGCTTGTTGCCAAAGCTGACGCAGCCTTTTCTCGAATGCCGAGAGAGAATCGCCGTCGAGTTTCTGAGATGCGATGAGGGGGATGGGAATTTGGTCGACGGCCCTTCGATCTATTTTCCCAGACGTATTTTGAGGGAAGGTCTCGACGGGAACGATCGCGGCTGGTCGCATGTGAGTTGGTAAGGGCACCTCCCGGAGAATACGATTCAACAATAACATCGAGGTTTCCAGAGGTTTCGGGTCGGACATCGTAGCGAAGGCAACAAGAAATTGATTATCGTTGTTGGAATCGGCATCTGATCGAATCGAGACTATTATCTGTGAGATGGCCCCCGCAGAAGCATTGAGTATGGTGGTTTCGATTTCCTCGAGATTCATTCTCATGCCGCGCAATTTGACCTGGTTGTCGCCATCCATCCGGCCCAGAAGGACCAATCCTCCCCCCTTTATCAGTGTTCCGCGATCACCAGTCCGATAGATTGACTTCCACTGTTTTTCCTGGAAAAAGGCGCTCGCGTGCTGGTCTTCTAAAAATCGTTCAGTTGTTTTCAACCCATTAAGATAACCCTGGGCGACTCCTGCACCCGCGACAACAACCTCGCCAGGAACTCCCATAGGAAGGGGGTTGAAGAGTTGGTCAACAATGTATACTGAGTAGTTAGGCAAAGTAGAAAGGGGGTGCGCAATGGACCCAGGACCTGGCGACTTGTACTCAATCTCTTTAGCGGAGCAGGCGAAAGTGACCTCGGCTGGCCCATAGGCGTTTATTAGCCGCAGGTCTTGCTTCTGGATAGCTCTGAATGCACGAATGAGACCGTTTGACAAAAATTCGCCAGCAGTGATGGCGGTGGTTAAAGTCGAGTCTCGCAGCTTGATACTATCATGGCGAAGCCAAGCCAAATACTCTGTTGGAGTGGCAAGTGTGCATGTTACCTTCTCCGAGATGATGAGATCCGTGAGAGCAACAGGGTCACCGCGAATGAGATTAGAGGCGACAACAATCGTTGCCCCAATGCACAGTGAAACCATGATCTGCCACAATGAGGCGTCCCACGCGTAGGACGATTGGTGAAGCACGGTCTCAGTCCCATGCGCAAAGTTCCACAGCTCACTGGCGGACTGAGCATGGTGAATATACGCTGAGTGCGAAAGCATAATCCCTTTGGGGGTTCCAGTTGACCCACTAGTGTACATAATGACAGCCGTCTGATCTGGGGCTGCCATATTTGGCACAGAAGCAGCAGCGGAGCCGCTTAGGTTGCTGACATTGATAGGTTCAGCTGTGGTGTGTAAAAGACCATAGTCAGACATCGTTGTTGTATCAAGAAGCATCACTTGCGTGTGTGTTTCTTCGGCGACCATGGCAAGCCGTTCAATGCCAACCTTCTTGTCCAGCGGAACGTAAGAGCCACCGACGCGGAAAATGGCCAGCATCGAACAGATCCAGTCGGAGCTGGGTGATTGGAAAACACCAACTCTTGTTCCCGCGCCGGCTCCCTTCCTCAACAACTCAGTTGCAATCAGGTTGACTCGGTGGTGAATCTCAGTGTATGTAAGGGAGATTCCGTCGTGGTTTTTCACTGCAATGCGATCGGGGTGTAGTGATATGACCTCTTCTAGTTGGTGAACAATAGTGGGAGGCCATTCTCTCCGAAGCTCCGGCCCTGAACAGAAGAAGGAAACATTAGCAGAAAAAGCAAAAATGGAAAAGGATATCACCTACCTCGCCCTGCTGCCACTGCTCTTTCAATCTCCCCTTTGGGGTGCAAATTAGGCCAAGTCACCCGAGTCGCCGGGTTTTGAAGGAAAGATTGTAGAAGGTTCACGTAGGAGCGGATCATGATCTCGGCCTGCTCAATACCATAAAGACTTTTCTGAACCGATAAATGAACCAACGTTTCACCGGCACCCACGTTCGCGACATCCAGTGCAATGTCGAACGAGGTTTCGCCGCCACTCATGAGGGAGCCCTCAGCGACAATCCCACAGAATTGCCTGGCCTGCTCGGCTTTTGGTCGATAATTGAAGATGACTTGACACAACGGGTTATGCGAGGCCGACCTTTGGACATCGAGTTCTGCCAGAATCACATCAAAGGGCACTCGGGAGTGGGAAAATGCTCCCTGTGAAATGTCTCTAGCTTGCTTCAAACACTCCCCAAATGATTGCCCTGACTGGCGGGAGAGCTTGACAGGGAGTAAGTTCAGGTAGAGACCCACGCTGCGGATGATATCGGCCTCTGTGCGATTTCCGTCTCCCAGACCAATACAAACATCTTCCAGGTCAAACCAACGTAGCAGGAAAATTTGCCAAACTGCAAGATGGAAATGGAAGGGTGTTGATTTGAACAGTCGGCAGCAGTGCTCAATGGCCTCCGAGACGCTCGCATCCAGACGGACAACAGTGGTTTCAGATTCGAACTGAGCGATTTTGGGGCGCCCGGGCTGAAGTGCGAACGGAAGAAGCGGGATTACAGGTGGCATCTCGTTGAATTGGGATCTCCAGTACGCGAGATCCGCTGCCCAGTCACCATCTTCACGTTCTCGAATCTGCCTCGTGGTGAAGTCTGCGTATTGAAGCCCATCCTCAGAAAGTGGTTGGCCTTGGTAGACCTTTTCCACATCTGACCAGAAGATCTCGAAGCTTATACCATCCATATTGATATGGTGGAAGCCGAAGACCAACCAGTGTGTTTCAGGGTTGAGCGTCAGTAAACGAACACGCATAATTTCACCCTCCGAAAGGTTAAAGACATGGTCCTTCATCTGCTTGGTGATCTCTTTGACCTCTTTCTCATTCGATATTTCGATGTGCTCCAGCCGCAAGCTTGATTCGGACCAGATACCTTGCATGTGATTCCGCTCCTCATCAGTAAAGAAGAAGGTTCGCAAGGCCTCATGATGTTGGCCGGCCAATTCTATTGCTCTCGTGAAGTCTGCAATTCTGAGTCGACCTGAGAGCTTGAATGTCGGTGTGATGTTGAAGGCGGTTTTGTTTTCCACGAGATGTTCCAAAAACCAGAATCGCGACTGACCATACGACATTGGAACTGTTCTTGCAATGTCACGCTTGAGTGGCCCTATCTCGCTGGTATCACTGGAGATGGATGACGAAGTATCTTCATTGTTCTCCGAATTCGAGTCATCGGCGTTTAACGATGTGACCGAGCTGGCACTATAAGCGTTCGTTGCATCCGGAATTTCGAACCTGTCACTCGTCAGGTGCTCTTTGGTCTCTATCTCTGTCGCGCTCATTCGAATGTCGTCGATAGAAGCATCCCTTCCTGGGGATGGAATCGCTGGCTGAGTGGAGGCGGCGTTCACATGTGGATCGGCGATGTTGAGATTGGGGACCAATGCCGCGGGCAGGGCTTCTGCGGCGGTGGCTAACAGCTCTCGAATCGACGCAGCATTGAAAATTTTGAGCACCGGTATATCAACCCCGAGCTCTTTCAAGAACCACGAACGGAGGTCAACAGCGACCAAAGAGTCGACTCCAAGCTCGTCTGGACTCATTTCCAACATAGGCTTACTGGGATCTGCTTGCAGGGCGGACTGGAGTTTCAAAATGAAGCCATCTAGAAAACAGGTTAGTATGAGGTTGGCTGGGGAATTTCGATGGACGTGCCTTGCAATATCTCATCAACTTCCTCCTTCGACGTTGCCTCAAACAGGCGCGTTTTGATCATGACCCCTGATTTGCCTTTCTTGTCCGCAATGACCAGATTGCTTGATTTGTACACGAGATGCTGGAACATGGGATTCGAGACCCAGATCTTGCTCTCATCATCGTCTATTCTGAGACCGCAGCACAATTCAGCGCTTCCCACTCTATCCAAACAAGAGAGAACACCTTCGGCAAACACTTCATGGAAATCCTGCTCAGACATCCACGAATGACCGACTCGGTAGAGATATGACTGCTGGCCCATGTTTAGCTCCCGTGTCACGTAGCCATTGCCCACAATGGCTCCGATATTGATGGCGTGTCCCGCCAAGCCACGCTGTCGACGCTGAGCAGCTAAGCTTGCCATGAACATGTTGGCAGCATTGTAGGCAACCTGACCGGGATTTCCTGTCATGGCGGCCATCGAGGAAAAGAAAACCATGAAATCCAGAGTATCTTCTGGGAAGAGTTCATCCAACAAGATGCTACCTTCGACTTTGGGGCGCAGAACTTTGTCAAAGCGAGGAAGATCAAGATCGATGAACATGGTATCTTGGAGAACCATGGCACCTTGCGCAACACCAGCAATTGGAGGCATTGTCTCCTTGATACGGCGATAGGTGGATTGAACCGATTCACGGTTCGTGATATCGCTAAAACGTTGCGTCAACAAGGAAGTCATTAGTTGGACTGGAAATGCACTCACTTGGAAAACACACGGACTGTACACCCATCAACAGCCATTCGTGCCAACCACTGGTCATCGATCTTTGGATTTCGACTGGATATAGCAATGTAGCGTGCACCCTGTCGGCTCATCCACTGACAAAGTGACAGCCCAAGCCCACCAGTCAATCCAACTAACCAGTATGTCTTGTCTTTGGAGAACTTGACATGTTTTGTTGCCGGCTGAACCTGAACAGGGAGGCTTGACTGGCCCCAAGTTACCAATGATTGGGACGTGAACGGCTCGCGGGCACGAATCAAATCGTCCAATTTCAGAGATGCAAACTTGAGTAAATCGACAGGCAGCAAGTCGTATTCTGTCCTTCTCCAAGACTTTTGGAGCTGCGTGGTGATATGGCTCATATCGGACATGTAATCAGATAAAGGCAAGTCGGCAGTCAATGTGATCTCGGACTCAAATTGACAATTGGGCTTAAAGCAAGACTCAAGCAGAGACAATACTTCATCGCTTCCGCCCATGTTGACAAGACGCACGATATTGCGAGGCAGCCTACTTAGCAGCTCTCGCCTGGTAGAATTCGGATGGATTCGAATCCATGGCCAAGAGAAATGCCCTTCTTTTGTCGTCAAGAGCACAAGTTGCACACCTGTCTCGGTTGCATACTTCGTGAGGAGTGGGGCTAGGGAGAAATCGGGGTCGAGCACAGCGAGCGTGTCTCCAGCCTTCGTTCTCTGGAAAATTGAAAGAGCAAGAATGTGAAGATAGAGCGTGAGCAGAGACCGGAGTCCATGTTCTTCTGTCTCTCCGCACTGCATCACTAGGTTTTGTGGTACATAGACTCGAGATCCCAGACTGCTGGACAAAGCCACCACGTATTCGTTGGTTTGGGCCTTTTTGCCTGCGACCAAGAAGAGACTGCTTGCTTCGGTGAGTCTTGCGGCGCGTAATAAGGAGTGTGTGACCTGAACTTCAACGTGGTTAGAGAGAGAGGGCGATGTGCGAAGGTCCTGTTCTTCTACTAGGTAGCCCGTCTTCGTTGGCTGAATAGTCACGGTAGTCCCGGCACGAGAGACTTCTTTGGTGATCAGTCGTTTTGAAGAGTTGTATCGATTGTTTCGAATGGTATTGAGACGGAACCGAGGCACTTTCAACTGCCCGTTCTCTAGTAGCAACTCAGCCTCGTTAGACCAAAGAATACCATCAAGCTGGCCACTCTGATCCCAGATTTCAGCGGCTTCCAAATGGAGGAGTTTTGTAGCGATAATATTGCCATCCGCATCAGCCAATGAATGCAAATTGAGGAAGTGAATGTGAAGATGCGTCATCTCAATTGTCAGCGTGCGCTGGACTCCAGTGAACATGTTGGCGTGAGGATTGGATCCTTGTGCTCCGTGCCCCACCCAAAGAACGTTTTTGCTCTGTTTAAAGAGCTCTTGGAATGACTTTAAGTCCTCGGCAGACATTTGGTTAAACACTGGCTCGTCAAGTTCGATAAGACTGACAATGGTACCCATGACAGGAAGCTCTGTTAATACGAGGTCGCCCAGCGAGCTGGCCGTGTAAATTTTACTGTAATGAGGACGAACGGCAACTGTGATATCGTCGATGAGTTGGGATGTCAAGGGAGCCTTGCCTCCGATGATTGTCAGGGCGTCCACAGCCAATGGTTGGTGGACGGATGCCACTGGGTCACGCAAGAAGTTGATACGGTGATCGACCGCCTGAGTGACCATGACAGAGAATGGCACGGGCGAGGTCGACGAACACGGCGCCAGGGCCTCGAACTTCGAGAATCCGACCTGTTTCATCAATGTTTCCCACTTGTTGGCTGAGATGCAAGGAGAAAGGGTGCGACCTTCTTCAACGCCAAGCCACCATCCTGGAAGACCCCCTAGCATAAGTCCGAAGCGCATTGCCTCTGGGTCCGTGATCTCCAGCAAAATGAGGTAGCCACCCGGTTTGAGTAACTTGCGGACGTTTGTGAGCGTCGAGTCGAGTTTCTTGGTGGCGTAAAGTGCCAAGGGAGCAATCACGAGGTCGAAGCAAGCCTCTTGGAAATCCTGCTCCCCCAGGTCTTTCTCAATGTCCAACACCTTGAACGCCATTCTTGACTGGTAATCTGAGAACCTTTCACGCGCAGCATCAAACTGGGTGTCAAGGATGTCTGAGTACGTGTACGATGCGAAGGCCAGCCCCATGGCACGCATCACTCGTTCTGAGGTACCACCTGCACCAGCTCCTAAGGCGAATTAGCATCAGTGAAGAAGAAGGGAAACGGCACTGGTAGACTGACCAATTTCTAGAACGTTGAGATGAGGGTATCTATGACTGATCTGATGGGCAACTCGAGCAACCTCGTCCAAGTAAGCGCCTATTCCGAGCGATTGAGCGTAGATTTTGGAGAGCATGTCATCCTTCATCAGAGTCTCAAGCAGGTTCACATCCCCGCGAACAACTGCTGGAAGAATTTCACCAATTTGGCGCATACCCTGCACTTCCACGTGGTGGGAGTTACTAGAAGAAGTTAGTTATATCTGATGCCCAGGTAAATATTCTCCGTGCCTACCGTTCCAAAATTGGTAAAATGTTATCGATCGTATCGCTGGCCCATTCTAGCTTCCCGTGCTTGTGTCTGCCACTAGCAACAGATAAAATACAATGTTCCATGTAGGAAAGAAGATGGACATGATGCCGAGCAGCATTTGTGCGGTCCGCGGGCTGCAGCAAGCGATCGAGCTCTTTGAAGTAAAAGTGAGCGACACGTTCAAGATCCAGCGACAGGGAGTGTTCATCCATGGTCATTTCGTGGTCAATGTTGAACTCTCCCCCTATTGGTTTGTCAACGCCCCATGTGACTTCTGTAAAGAAGGGAACGTCGCTGGAGGACGTCAATGGGCTGAGGGGGGTTGTGTGAAGACCCTCCAGTTGAATCAGTGTGTCAGTTCCATCCACAGAGAAGATGTCAACATCACCGGAAAGCTCAGAGAATCGGGCTTCGGTGACCACAGAATAGAATGGCAGGTCGGCGCCCGCAGCGCCGAGGGTAGCACAGGCCAATGGGTTGACACAGAGCCGATCAATTCGAGTCGGCAGATAGAGGGTGCGCAGGCGTCCATCTCCTGGGAAGGAATAGGCGAGCATGATGGACTGTATAGCACCGTCAAGGGAAGCAGGGTGAACGATCAGGGATTGTCCTGTTTCATCTGGCCCCGGGACCGCAATTAACCCGGAGGCCTCGTCCATTTTCCTGCGCAAGCCGGAGAGCGCTTGGAAGGGGCCCGTATATCCAAAGCCAAGCTCGGAGACCGAGTTGTAAAATCGATCAGTCTCCAGATCAAGGAAGAGACCTTGAGGTTCGCATCTCTTTGGGAGCAGGTCACTCTTAGGATCTCCCAGCGTAACCTTCAACTTCGCCGATGCATGCAATGACATTGTGGATGATCCTTTGTTGGCGTCAGAGTGACAGGCAAAGGATGCCGAAACGAGATCTCCCTCAACTGAATCAACGGAAAGTCTAAAGATTGTCTCGACTCCGCCATTCTCCTCGAGGACCAAAGCTTGTCCGATGACAATGTCGTGAAAGTCGATCAGCCGCAAAGACCCTAACCCGTACCTTTGAACAATGGATTCAACCGCGGCAGAAATATATCCAGCAGCTGGGAAAACCATTTGTCCTTGAACTTGATGATGCGCTAACCATGGAACCTCACGGGGATGGAGATAATTGCGCCAGCGTAGCTCCTTGTCAGTCCCATCTGCACATTTGACCCCAAGCAGTGGGTGGAAGGGCTGGCTTTCAGCGCGGAACGCGAGGGACGATCGTGATTCGTGCCAGTAGACCCTATCATGATCCCAGGAGTAGGATGGAAGGCCTTTGAGTAAGGTCGGCGTCTGACCAGCATGACTCGATTTAGTCTCATAGCCTGAGAAGTCCACAACACCGTCTCCTAGTGCGATCCATAAGGCGCCCAGGGCTGAAGAGAAAGACTCTACATCATTTTTGCCACGATTCAGCGTCCCAGTATAGGGCAATGTTTTCCCAGAGACTTCCGATATCGTTTGCAGAGCAGGTCCTTTCAAGGCTGGATGGGGGCCAACTTCAATCGACATATCGAAGGGTCCGGCTGCACCAACGGCGTAGGTGACGGCCTGTGAAAACAGGACAGGGTTGATCATATTGTTGCTCCAGTATGTGTCGGCAAGACTATCATCCACTTGATCGATATGCTCACCATAGACACTAGAGATCCAGGTAGGGCTGTCTCTAGGCCGATGTTGAATCGTGATTCCACACTTGCGTATCGCGGCGATATAAGGAGCTGCGCAAGACAACATGTGATGGGAATGGTAAGCTTTGTCAACTTTCAACAAGCGTGCAAACTTTTTCTCATCTTCCAGAATCTCCCTAGCCTCGTCAATGGCATCAGCGTCCCCAGAGAGTGTCACACTCGCGGACGAGTTACTGGCAGCCACACAAATTCTATTCTCCAATGACGGCATTTCACAAAGCTCCTTGGCGTCTTCGAAAGAGGTGCCCGCAGCCATCATCGCCCCCTTTGGTCCATCTAAATCATTTGCGTACTGAAGAGACCACCCACGGTAATACGCGATCCTGATCGCATCGCCTTCATTCAGGTACCCGGCCGCATAGGCAGCCGCGATCTCACCGGAAGAATGGCCAACAACAGCTGTGAATTTCAGGTTCGCTGCGGTCAAAAGTTGCACCAGTGAGATCTGAATAGCGGTACAAAGAGGTTGTGAGAAAGCTGCCTCTCCAATTCGGGAGGTGTGTTTGTCTTTCAGAATTTCCTCTCGAAGGGACCAGAGGGGGCGATGTTCAGTGGGCAAATCCTGTAAGGACTGATCAAGTCGAGCTATGCAATCTCTGACAATCAAAGAGCTTTCGAGCAGTTCAGCACCCATTCGAGCCCATTGTGCACCCTGTCCGGTGAATACACCCAGCAGCTTCGGTGCGCGCAAAGTCGCTGTCTGTGTACTTGGTGTGAAGGATGAAGACTGGATTGCTTCATCCAATCTCGCAGTAAGGGCTCCCACCGTCGATGCGGAGACTGACAGTCGTACTGGCAACGTCGAACGTCGACAGTTTAATGTCCATGACAAATCACGAATGTTGACATCAGGATGATCTCTCAGGTATAATGAGTACGCCGCGAGATTCGCAAGCAACGACTTTTCAGAAGATGCAGAGAAATTGAAAGGCGATACAACGGCATCGGAAACATTTCTTGGTTTTTGGTTGAGATAACTCGGGTTGAGATAACTCGGGTTGAATTCCTCCAAGATGGCATGGGCGTTGGCTCCACCAAATCCGAAGCTGTTGACACTGGCACGGCGGGGGGTGTTCTCCGGAAGTGGAGGCCATTCGCGGGCATCAGTCAAAATTTTCAGATCGTTGTAAAATGGTCGCACGGTCGAGCTCAACTCGTCCAAGAGCATATTAGGTGGGATTACTGCATTTTGCAAAGCAAGAGACGCTTTCAGGACAGCAGCCAGACCGGCTGTGCCCTCAGTGTGTCCAATCACTGTCTTGATTGATCCAACGTACAGAGGATGCTCGTGGTCACCCTTTCTCGCGTAGTTGGCAGCAGGCCCAAAGAATGCGGTACTGATGGCTTCAGCTTCGACCGGGTCACCCGCCGGGGTTCCTGTGCATGTTAGAAAATCTCGAAAGCCATCGACCCTGTGTTTGGTTGACTTACCAGTTCCGTGAGCCTCGAAATACTGTGGTCTGTCAGCCTGTTTAGAAAGATCAAGTCCAGCTCGAGCGTATGTGGTCCGAATAAGGTCTGCCTGAGACATTGGGTTGGGCATCGTGATTCCCTTTGTACGACCGTCTTGGTTGGCGCCGGTCTCTCTGACAATGCATTCGATATGATCACCATCCGCCAGGGCGGCACTCAACGGCTTTAGTATGACCGCAGCAATACCGTCACCACGTGCGTAGCCATTGGCACCCTTGTCCCACATTCGCGAGCGACCAGTTGGAGAAAGCATCTTCAGCTTGCTTTCTGCGATGTACTGCTCGGGTCCAAGTAACAGGTTTGTTCCCGCAGCCACCGCCACATTTGTCTCGCCGCTGCGCAGACTCTGCACTGCTTGGTGGAGCGCGATCAGACTAGATGAACATGCTGTGTCGATTGTCATGGATGGCCCGCGCCAATCGAAAAAGTAGGAGATTCGATTGGACAGAATGCTCCGAGCTGTGCCAGATGCAAAGTAGGTGGGGAAATTTTGAACATCTCGGCCTAGCATATCGGCATAGTCATTTGTCATGAGCCCGACATAAACACCGGTATCAGACCCTTGGAGACTTTCCATGGGGATTCCCGCTGTTTCGAGGCCCTCATAGACAGTCTCAAGCAACAATCTTTGCTGGGGATCTATGGAGTTTGCTTCGACTGGTTTCGTTCCAAAGAATTGGGCGTCAAACAAGCGATGGTCATCCGACAACAGATAGGAGTGTCGAACGTTTGTTGTACCATGGTGGAGCCCGTCGGGGTGGTAAAAAGTCTTTGTGCTGAATCGGGTGTCTGGAATCTCACTGAGAACATCGCGAGGGGCTTTGAGCAGTTCCCAAAGCTTGGAGGGAGTTGTTGCATCACCAGGAAAGCGGCAAGCACTTCCCACGATGGCAATGGGCTCTCCAATCTTCTCACGATCACCCGTCATAGTGTGTTGCGGGTATCACTAGGTGTCGACGGTTTGGTATAACGAGTGTACGACTCGATGTTCGGTAAAAAAAATCTAGAGGGTATCAATTATGACCGTCGGGACGAGTGATTCTCCGCAAGATTCAAGTTCCTGCGTTGATGGACGGGCAGCGGTACATATCAATGTGCCGAGGCTCGCCTTGATGCTGAATATAAGTCAATTCGGAGATCTAGTCTCGCATCAGCTTACGATTGTATTCAGCTGCTTCCGACTCCGAAGCTAGCTCTGGGGTGAGATGTGAAACGGAGCAAATCATCGCATCGGCGTGGAATCCACCGTGTATTGACCCAGTGCGAAAAATTGTACCTTGGTCTGTCCCTGCTTTGTGAGAGCATGGATATTTTCAATTCCTCGGGTCATGGCAAAAGTTAGTTCTTATGGCTCAAACACCGAACATGCGAGCGCCACCAGGGGTTCCCGTTCTGACTGGTTTGAATCTCAAGTCCGAGTCCGAGTCCGATGCCGCGTGCCTTTGTGATCCTATTTTCACTTCCGGGCTAGATAAACAGTCAATCTAGAAGGGCGATAGTTCGGCTTGCAGGCACTTGGAGTCAGGTGTCACTGCATGGCTCCCATCTCACGCTCGCCGGGCCGATGTTCCTGAATTGGTTTCCATTCTTATGCATCCATCTTTCTAGGCCCCTAGGTACGAGTTTACTACACGTGCGTTGCCGATCAGCTGATGATATGATCAACGAACCTTGACGTCTTACCAGGTAGAAGTGATAGCGAGCATGCACTCTTGAATCATGTTTGGGAACTTTTCGTGGGCGATCATTTCACCCTGGCCTTCCAAGGTTTGATGGTAAACAAGCGGAACTCAGTACGAAAAGTGAGGAATTGGACTGGGTGAGATAAGGTGCGAAATTTGTATGGCTCATGATTCCAGCCAGCGACATTGCTCTTTCGGACCTTGATTCAACACGCCAGGGCTCGGTTCTACTCGGTGTCAGCATCAGACTTAGGAGATCGATTGATGTGAACAGAGACGCGACGTGTTGACTGTTTGCTCTGTTTGCTCTATCTGCTCTGTTTGCTCTGTCTGCTCTGTTTGCTGTGTTTGCTGTGTTTGCTGTCAGTCACCTGCAGTGAAACTTCCAACAATGCAGCTCTCCCAAGGGTTTCTAGATAATGATCTGGGCACTGTGAGCCTAGAACTTTAGAACCTCAGAATTATGTTCCATTCTCTTCATACATTCAAATGGGCACAACTGGGTTAGGTCCAGGGCTTTCTAAAGTTGTGGGCTGGTGCGGACTTCGGGAGCACTGCTTCCAATGCCTCGGGTACTTAAGTTGTTACTTGTGCAACTTTGAAGGCAAACCTTGGAATAACCCTCTTACGCAGTGGCTACACAACTCTGGAAAGAGGATTTGCAATCTGAGGAAAAAACTTTAGAACGTAAAATACAAAGACAAATTCGATCATCGCCCACGGAAGGCACTTTATACCCAAGATCTAGATTGCACGAAGGCATTCATGGATATATATCTGCCTAGGTGAGTTCAGTCGAAATTTCGTTCGCACTGGAGCATAACATGAATTGAGCATTGTATCGTAATTCTACCATTTAATAGATATAAACGAACTCATCGTTCTCCCGATCAGTCAAGTCTTGGAATGCATTATCCCCGACCGGTACTGCGTCACCACCAGCGTCCTCCAGGTTATTCTCCTGCATTTCGTGGTAATGTGTCTGCATGGAGTGATCCACGATCTCGGCTCTCTTGCCATTTCGCACTCGGAGATGAGCTTGTTGTTTGTTGAGGAACCAGAGGTTGACCCACTGAAGGAGCACCACGGCCGCTAGAGTGCTGAAAATACCAAGGCATGCGCGCAGGCCCGGGTGGTAGGACGGCTTATCCTTTTCGTTGAAAAGCAGTGGCCCGATGATATTGCCTGCCGAGCTTGCGGCATTGTATAAACTCATGATGACTGACTTTTTCGTAGTACCCGCCGTATTGCCGATGATCCAGGTAACAATTAACGGGTTACCGCCAAACAAGAAGGCCAGTAAATAATAGCCAGCCAAAAGCTCACTCTGGACTGATTTGGTTCGCGCCACAGCGTACAGAATGGCTAGACCTGCTATGACGGGCAGCATGAACGCCGCGATGATAGCACCCTTCAGACGTGCGGTTTGGGCAAGATAACTCGCCAATAAGATGATGAGGAATTGCAATGCACCGAATGGCATGGTCAGTAAGGTGGTTCTGTATTTGTCGTAGCCGAGTCCACTTAGAATCAAGGGGCCAAAAATGTTGGTCACGCTGGCTCCAATGTTTAGGAGCATTGCCATTCCAACCCAGAGATATGTTTTTGGCTCCAGAGAAGCCTCAAGAACATGACCGAGCTTGAACTCAGTGTTTCCCGTTCCAGTCTGGTTAGCTCGAAGGCGTTCGATTCCTTGGGACCTCTCACTCTCAGTGAGGAATCGTGCGGTTGAAATGTCGTTATCCAGGCGCCAGTAGACAATGGGGGAGGAGGCCACGGTGATCAAGCCGACGACGAGGAAAATACTGTGTAGGAGAAATTGGTTCAGTAAATTGCTCCTTTTAGCTTTGCGGTCTCATCACTTACATTTGCCAAGACTTCAATATATCCGACTCGATCTGTGCCAGCCCGTAGGACAATGCAGCGGCGACAATTGTAGCGAGGCCGTTCGTGCTGTACCAGGCCGCAATTCTGATCGGCTGCTCCGCTCGTCGGTACCATTGACTAGTGATCACACCGAAGAGTGGTAGACATCCCGCTTCAAACAAGCCGAGAAAAAAGCGAGCCGCCATCAAAGTGCTGAAGTTATGACACGCGGCCATGCAGGTCTGCGCGATTCCCCACCCCAGGCACAGGGCTGGCATCAGAATCTTGTGGGGAACCTTGACAATGAGATAAGACGAGAAGGGCTGCCATGCTAGTTGTGCGATTGGACTGATTGACCCGACGAGGGAATATTCGTTGCCCGTGAGGCCTGTATCGGTTTGGAGGCCAAACGTTGCCCCGTAGCCCAGGACTGTTTTGTCCAAGATTTGTAAGAAGTACACCCAAGCAAGCACCACGAGAATCGTCCTATCAGTCTTGCGACAGATCCTCTTGCTTTCTTCCTCGGTCAACGGGACCCGTTCGATACCACTCGTATCCGTGAGCTTGTTTCGCGCTGCTTCATCGTGGGTAACATCTGGTTTGGACATTTTCAAGGTTGATTACACCCTGTGTGCTTCGATTCGCTCCGCAGAATATATGTATGGTGAGGCCTTCCCCCACGCTCCGCGTCATTCACTGCTTTCCCCGTATTTTCCCCCCACGTCTCCGCACCCCACGAAAGCTCGATCATCCGATCATCCTAACAGCCAAGACAATTAGCGAAAGAGCCTTGCCTTAAGCTTCTTAGTGCCCCTTGGGTCAAACCAATCACCCCGCGGATCCTCGTCGCCTTCCCGGTCCCAAGTCCAATGTGCCATCGGAGTGGAGATCCCTATCCGGGAAGCCCGTGATTACCGAGGCAAACCGAAACTCGGGGTCGTGGGGGTTGCCGCCTCCGGTCATTGTTCAACGGAGTTTGATTCGATGCTCGGATGAGTGGCATGTCGGTGACTGGCATCGGCGTTTGAGTCAAGGGATGACCATCGTTCTGAGCCGAAATTGTGCCTTACTGATCCGGTGACCGAGTCCTGAAGCCGGTAAGATACTACGTGCATGTGGCCCTGGGGCGCAAAGAGAGATTTTACATATTCTTCATCGCTGGGATGTTGATTTGACCGCTACATCCGAAGCACTCAAAGAGGTACTCTATACCCCTACTCCGTGCGGAGTACATACCATCCGGTTTCATCATCTCATCATACTAGCTGACCCTCGGCATTCGCGTTTCCCCCAACGCACCTTCTTACGACTCTGGGCACCCCCAGCTATACCCGTGGACGTTGAACTGGATTCACGAATAAACGAACCCCCACACTCCCCCACGTTTTGACACATACCAGAATCACTGAGCTATCCTTACATCGAGATGATTCGCTTTGTCCTACTCATCTCCGTCGGGGCAAGACCTTTGTGCTTGGAAAGGACTGGTATGCGACCGTGAAAAAGAAATGTTGTTTCCTCCTTCCTTGATCTGGCACAGCCCCTTCGTTTCCGTAGTCACCACCTCACTCCTTGAGGGCATCATGACCCCAATTCTTCAGCGACCGATAACTCTTGCTGTCTGTGTTGTGTTTGGCTTGTTCCTCCTGTGCCAAATGACGCTTGCAATATGACACCACTCGGCGCATGTGCTCGATGTCATCATCCCTGTAGTCCGATGGATTTTCCGATGGATTGTGCTCGAGAATATCCACGATCTTCCGGCCACTGTTGACAAGTGTACTGCGTTAGCAACATATAAATTGCGTGTGATCTGATCGGGAAGGTCTGTCGACTAACCTTTCATGGCCAATGGTCTCTCCAGAGTCATTGGTCCAACCAGATGATACGGATTTCTCCTCTTTGAGCCATTCCCGAAGCTCCTTAGGGGTCATGTTGACCAGATCATTGAATTCGCTAGGTCATCCCGAGGTCGTCAGTGACTATGGCTCCTACAGCCGGGAAGGGCTGCCATGCAACTCACCCAATGACGGTGGCCTTGTCTTTCACCATTGTTGCAGATTCAAACTCCAACGAAGTTGTGGAGAAATGGATTCATGCAATGATTTTGGAGAGTCCTGCTATACTGTTTTAAGGTCAGCTCTAACCCTGGAGGCCGACGCCACTTGAGCATCAATGACATAGGTCGAGGTTCGTCATCGGTCTGTAATACTTGAAGTATTGAACTAATCACTGTTGACTGTGTACGCTGCTCTGCTAAATATCATGACATCTATCTAAAATCGCAGGAACCATCTCCGCGGAAATAGGAGTTCACTCCTATCGCGCCAAGATTCCGTGATAACTGCACCCTCTGTGACTTGCTGGATCTCTCAGTCTCGGTAAAGATCGCCCGTCCTATCCACAACCTTAACCCGTTATCTTTGATTCAATGCATGGATGATCGGCATATAGTAGAGAATATGGAGAGTTAAGTCAATAGTTGCATTCCAGAAGCAGGGAGTCTATACTTAGGCATGGAAAGAGATAAGCGTTCTTGTACTTACCTAGGTAAGTATATATTGCATGTACTAAGCCCCCTCTGGCTGCTCGAGTGGTGCTAGAGCGATCATCTCCATTTCTATTTACCCAACTGCTCCTCTAGCCCAGGCCACAGTGAACTTGAGAAACAAAACCCCGGGGTCCCTGAAACAACCACAAACCATCACAAGACTTCAGAGTGACCACCGATCTGTAATTTTCCAAGTCGGAATGATGCATCCAAGTACTCTTTGCCCCCGGGAAGTGGCCGAGCTCCTTTCCAATGTAGGGGCCCAAAAGGGCAACATGCGCTTGGACAAAACGTTTATGAGCGCTGTCTCAGCGGGCTGCCTACTAGCCTTTGCGTGTGGCACTGTTCTGAGCACAAATGCCACCCCTTGGTTTCAAACAAACGCCCCCGGTCTGATGCGAACCATAAGTGCATTGGTGTTTCCCTATGGGTTGTGCATGATTATCCTCACCGGAGCTGACCTGTGCACAGGATCATTCATGGTATGGCCGTTTCCAAGACAAAGACATATTCCATGATGAAGAAGCTGTCAAAGATCGATGATTTCGGAACTAAAAGATTTTAGTTCACCACGATTGCCGCCCTGCATCGCCGGTTATCTTGGAGTAAAATGCTCATCCACTGGGGACTGACATTCCTCGGAAATTTGGCCGGATCGTTGTTTGTCGTGGCTATCATATTTGGATGTGAGCGAGCTATTCCAAAATGCCCCATCGCTCTACAAAGCCGACTAACAGATGAACCATAGACGGAGATGTATTCTCGGCAGACCCCTTTCGATCCGCCGTGATCTCTTTCGCGACAAAAAAGCAGATCGCGCCTGAATTTCACACTATACTGCTACGGGGTATCGGTTGCAACTGGCTCGTATGTCTGGCATGTTTCTTTGGGTTTCAAGGTCAAGATTTGGCATCCAAAGTTATTGGAATTTGGGGGCCGACCTTTGCGTTCGTTTCCCTTGGGTTTGACCACGTTGTCGCGAACATGACATTCATCCCGCTGGCAATCTGGGTTGGAGCCCCAGAGATCACAGTCGGTCTTTATATTTGGAAAGGAATTATTCCCACCCTGCTGGGGAACATAATTGGCGGTGGCCTTTTCTGCGGTATGTCAGCCCTGCGACTTCAGGAATATGTGGAAATATGAGCTAAACAAAAACCCAGGAACCTATTATTGGTACATGCAACTACTCGATATGAACACCTTACCCTTGTACAACACCAAGGCAAAGGGGATTACTTCGCCAGATTCAGCATCGCACTCCGACGAAGCAGCCGTGAAATAGACCATTAAATACTCCGTAGACAAGTATCTACATTGACCAAAGCGAGGAAAACTAAGTACCATCAATTCAACACTGCCTATAGGTCATATCAGAGTAAAAGGGGTTTCAGTTCAGTTTCAGGTGTCGATACAGGAGACCTGGGCATTTTTAATGTCTAGATGTCTGCCATTCATGTGAATTGCGGAGACAACCCTGCTGCCCAGGTGATAACAGCGACCCGCGCACAAGACAATGATTCCGATCAACGGACCGCATTGGCAATCTTGGAGTGACCTGTTTGCGACATTGCTGATACCTCTTGCGTGATGTCAATGTCGATATTTCTCCACTAGCCGACCGTCCGAAAGGGGTAACCTCGCATTGAACCCGCTCGTTGCTCCCCGGGGCCTACTTAAGTATGCTTAAGTAGGGAGCCGGAATAACGGCGGAGTAGAGAGATTCTATCTTCTTCCAAATCCCAGATGAGTTCAAACATTTTGGAACCGTAATGAGCCACGAAAGATGCCATGAGAGCATCGTGAGCTGTCAAACCCCGCGTATTTTTAAAGTTGAAGAAGCGAGGTGCCGAACCGATCGTCACGATGAGCCGACCGACCTTACTCTGATGTGCCGTCGGGACCTCACAAGTAGTCCTTGAAGAGCCAAAGGCGGAGCCAAGTATACAAGTATATATACCAAGCACATTCCGTTCTTTTCCAAGGTTTCCAAACGTCCAAGTCCAACCACGAGGTCAATATCAACGATACTCACTCAACATATTTCGTTTGTATAACCTTAAAACCTACTAGGCACAAGTTGAACTCCAAGATGGCGCCTGGTATACTACAAGCAACGGACCTACAGCAGCCCTTGACAGGCCAAGTTAAGCGTTCAGTATTTCCAGACGGTCTGAAGACATCCGGGCAACACCCCCCTGTGTATTCACAAGTGCGACCTTACGAAGACTTCCCTGTGATTCACACTGGACCCACAGTCTGGAAGGCCGAGGATTATCGAGAGAACCCGGAGCTTTGGACGCATCGGTTCAGCCCAGAGGAAATCGATGAAATAAGTGTTGCTTCAGATGAATTCATTCAGAAAGGAACACCTTTGACTGGTATATCCAAGGCATGCAAAATGAGACAATACCCAAGACGGCAAAAACCGTAGTCTGACTTATATCCAGACAAACTTCCTGCTCCCAAGGCTTTCCGCCCGATTGGAAGAACTTCGCCGGGATCTTATCGATGGAAAGGGATTCTTTCTCTTCAGAGGCCTCCCTGTTCGAGAGTGGGATCTGCAGAAGTGTGCAACTGCCTATATGGGACTTGGGACCTACTTAGGTTATTTTGTCAGTCAGAACGGAAGAGGCCATGTTCTTGGCCATGTGAAAGACCTGGGGGAAGATCCCACAAAGACCGACCGAGTTCGAATCTACCGAACTAACGCCCGGTATGAGCCAGATCAGACTAAGGCCCCATGAGCGCAAAAGAATCTCAAGGCTAACAAATCATTCAGTCAGTATTTCCATACAGACGGAGCCGACTTTGTTGGTCTTCTTTGCATCGCGAAATCCCTGTCTGGGGGCGAGTCCGACATTGCTTCAACACATCATGTGTTTAATACACTGCAGGAGAGACATCCCGATGTCGCCCAAACGCTGTGCGAGCCGAACTGGTATTTCGACCGCAAGGGTGAAGTCTCAGAAGGCGAGGAAGAGTGGATTCGAGGCAGTATCCTCTACCTTGAACATGACCGCAGCGGTTTGAACCCCCGGGTATATGCGAAATTCGACCCGATGAACGTGACCTCACTAGCTCGGTTCAACTCAGGACCAGATGCACAAATCCCCCCGTTATCTGAGAAGCAGAAATACGCGTTGGAAGTGTTTGAGAAGACATGTTCGGAGCTGTCCCTGCACATGATTTTGGCCCCTGGTGATATTCAATTCTTGAGCAATGCGCAGGTATTCCACGCACGAACTGCCTATACCGACCACCCTCCAGGTGCAGTTGATGAAGATGGACACCCTGCCCGCCGGCGACACCTGATGCGACTATGGCTCGCAGCTCCTGAGTCTGAAGGAGGATGGAGACTCCCTTACCACGACACTTTGGAAAAGAAGCGGGGTGGCATTCAAGTGAATGACACACCACCGGTCTGTCCCTTGGATGCCGAGTGAGCCTGATATGAATGTTCTGTGACATATGATAGCTCGTGATGAATGAATCAACATGATTGTTTTATATTGGTGAGACTTGATAAAATATTCGATGGATTTGTACAGCCTCGCATCAACGAGGACGCCAATTTCTCCTAAATTTTATTCAGATAGAGGCCAAGTTAGGTAGGGGTAAGCATGCGCGAAGTCGAAGATCGAAGTGATTAGTTTTGCGGAAATGGAAACACAGGTAACCAGGACTCCGTCTGAGCAGAGGGATATCCTCCAGCCCACGGGAGCAGACCAGCCCCCTCGGTTCCTGACCCAACCGCCGTGTCTGCAGGCTGCCATGCCCAGCCTAAATCGGACATGAACAAATTCTGTAGCTCTTCCAAACTCGCATGACCGAGACCTGGCTCAATTGCTGTCTCACCAGACCGGGATTTGCTAGATGCCCCACAAGACGGGTTGTCAAAATCACCACTCTGATCATACAGAGTACTACTTGGAGCGGATGAGGTGCGAACAGTTTCTGGAGCATGACGTTCGGGAATCGATTTACGCGCCATTCGGAAGATAGTCAAAGGATTCAGGACGTAATCCGGGGCACTTTGTACTGGTGGTTCCAAGGATAGTTCACTGTGATCTTTTGTTAGATGTTCATCAACATTTGGGATATTGTCACCCTGACCTTGGGTCGTCCGCTTTATTAGGCTGGTACGGATCATCGGGAATGATATTCTGACGGACTATCTCTGACTCTATACCGGATCGATCAAGCATTGTTTCCGCCGCTGCACACTGCATAATGTAGGCGGATTAGCGGGCCAGAGGCCTTTAGATATCGGGGGACGATAAACAAGAGTGAACCAACCAGTGAATTTGCAATGGAATTAAGAGATCCCATTAGCCTGAGTCCATTAATGTTACCATGAAGCAAAGGAATCGTAGTTATTATCAAGGACTTGGTAGATTCTAATTCAGGGTCGAGGACCTGGGTTAGGTGGTATATCATGATGCGGCAGCTGTCGTATAATATCGTAGGGAGCCAGGAGTCTGATAACATTCGAGGCCCATGGCAAGCTGTCTGTCCTATGATACTCGCCAACGCTCTAGCAGCATCAAAAAGAACCTGCTGGAGATGCCGAAGGAAATCGTGCTGCTCCGGTGGAAAGTCAAAGGCTGCTCGGAGTTTGTAAAGAGCTGGAGCCCCGAGTCGGTACAAATCACAGATGGTCTGATAATAGGCACAGTGAAGCAAGCAAAGAGCCCCCAGTTGTGATGTATCTTTGCGAATATAGACTGCTGCTGGTGTGAACTGCAGACTTGGGGGAAGTGATGCATACCACGCTCGGCAGTCGGAGTCCAAAACCGAAAACTCGGACTCGGGATCCCAAGGGACGATAGCATCTCCCAAATGCTTGATGTATCTGCTCCAGGTCTGGTTAATTCACAACCCCCAGGGTAACGCAAAATCATTGGAAAGGAGATTTACCTCAGAACCCTTTTCCGGATCGAAATATGTCGGATGAAATATGCCATTATGCCCATGTTGGGCAAAAGAGCATCAGGCTCGAAATGCCCTGGTAGTATTTTAAGCCAACTTCCAGGAGAAAGAGTTTCTGTGAGGCAGGGGAGTTGTTGGGTAAAATTTCGCTCGTTACATGGAAGCTGGATCTTGATATCCCTTTCATCCATGAGGGTGAGTTGGTCGACTCCGCTGCCAACGAGGGCATCCATGACATAACAACTCCACATCAGGCGTCTCCGAGACTCTTTTTCAGTAACTGAAAGGCCTCCATCGTCGTCGTGGCACAGAATGTCAATGTTGAACTCAAGGTTGATTTGAAGTGCCTGCGTCATCCGAGTGGTGATCCCACTCAACATAAACGCATTTGCAAAATTTCCCAGTCGAACTGCATAGTCATGCAGTAGCACAGCTGCCTTGGAGAATATTAACACCCGATTGGCAAGAACGACAGGTCCAAACATCATCGAGGACCTACCATCAGGTTTTCGATTGTTACTGTGTCCAATGCTTCAAGAATAAGTCGCTGGGTTGTTTTAGCCCACTGCGCCCCTGCAATCAAGATAGCCCTTTGGGGCAAAGCCTCTATAGTCTCGCTGTAGTTGAGAGCGAAAAACCTGTAGTATACCGAATAAGTCACTCAAGATTCAAGGTGGTGAATTTATTCTGAGCCTTACTGAGCTCCCAAGGCACAAATGATATGCAGCAGAGCATGTCTCTGATAGTCCTGAGAAAGTTCTCCATCCAGTCTTTGAAGAAATGTTGGCTTATGAATGAACGTGAAGGCACGAAGAGGATGGATGTTGTTGAAATATTCATCAACTAATTTCCTTACCCTGGAGGGGGATGGGAGGTGAGGTGTGGCTAGCCTATGATTCTGTAAGCATCTACCAAGAGAAATGTGATCTGTTTAAACTAACCAATCCAGTGGAGATGACAGCAAGTCCACCAAACTTTCAGGCGGAGGACAAGGCTGATGCTGCTGCGGCGGAGGCAAAGTATCAAACAACCCCAGGACACCGTCTTGTCCCGATGCTGTATTCCCAGGAGATGTAATTGGCATAGCGGTCTCAGACGGGCATGACTCTGGGTCAGCCGTCGGGTGGATATTGATCCTTCGGACCCAACTAGGCTGTGATGACTCTGCATATACGCATCGCGCCTCCTTATCTTGGCATCGTTGACAAGTTGGTCGCTCCCCAGAGCATTTGGTCTTTGAAACACGACAAGCGGTGCAAGATCGATAGGTTCGCTTTGGGGGTTAGGGGTTAGGGGT